GAGTTGTAAGTTAACTTCCCCGAGTATCAAAGTTCAATGCTTAGTTTCGCAAGCAGAAAATTTCAGTTTTCCGAAAAAACAGGTGTTTTCGAAATTGAGCGACACGTAACAATGGCCCTATGGAGTTAAACTTCTTTTCATTTTATATTAAGTAAGATTTTCTTCACTAAACCACAACAACAAGGGTTTGAATGCATATTTTCGCAACAAAGTTAAAAACATAAACATATTAAGAGTTGAGGAAGACTGAATTGAAAGTGACAGAAGTTTTTTTTGCATGACCCAAGTGAAAATGAATACAAGGATGCACCAGATATTTCGGAGAAATGCTCATATCTCATAAAAATATAGAGAAATCAGTTTTGATTTAAAAAAATCGTTAAACAGGTGAAAATCAAATGTATTCCTTACAGTTGCGCCGCCTACATTACAATTATTATGATAGAATTATTTTATTTATGGACTTCAATTCTCGTTCTTACAAATATTAAAAATGAAAAAGTAATAAATATCACTGAAACATCTTTTAACTGAAATAATTCTTATTATTGAAATCCCCGAAGTGTTCGGAATACAAGACGTTAAATAATAATGCTATTCATTTGGTTTTTTGTTTGAAAACAAAATTTCTCTGAGAAACTTTCGCGAAAATATAATAAACGGGTTGTTCAGATGATCTAAATTTTGAGAAACGAAAAGTAATTTTCAATCATCTTCCGATAAATCGTGGATGGAAAATCTGAAATCCCTCTTCACCGTTTTAGATGTTTTTGCTAGAAATGAGAGATGCTGCGGTTACAACAGATAATGGAACAAGAAGCACATAGCAATATTGCGTGTAATGAATTTATAAAATAAGGTGATCCTGTTCCAAAATTGGAAAAAAGAAAAAATTCTGAATAATCGAAGAAAAACAAAAATAAATTAACCGTGATTCTACTCGTGAAAATACCCACGCCGAATTGCGAGGTACTTGTGTTTGTTCTACTAAATAGCTCACCGTAATTAAATATATACTAAGCTTTTGTAACATTGACAAGGATTCGATCACTCTTTGAGAGGTTCCTATGAAACGGCCAAATCATCAGCAGACGATTTTAATGTTCTTTTTTTTAAGTACGCATTGTCATTTATTGAAAATGTTTTACATCAGAACAAAATATCTCTTCATTGTAAGGACAATTAACAAATTATCACCTTTATTATCAATATTTTTCCCGCAGGAAAACAACACAAAGGCAATTATAGATTGTCGAAGAAAAACGAAATCGTTTCTTTTTGAAAATTGTTATTTACATAATATAAATATTATTTTTGACATCTTCAAGTTATGCGGAATTGCCTGATTTTCTTTCATTTTCTTCGGAGAAACGGGGCCTCAACGTGATTGAACCGTCTGATGTAGGCTTGATCTTGGCGGACTCTCTCTACTGCCCTGAAAAATACGATTATTCACATAAACTCGTATCCGAAACAAAGGAAATAAGGCTAATTTCCGTGTAGTATTCATTCTATTTTTTCCAGAAATGATTGTTTTCATAAAAGTGCTATGGTAACCTCATAAGAGTATCCATATCGTCGAATTTTGAGGATTCTGGTATCATTGATCTTTTGCCAACGCGAGGATACGGGAGGAGGAGAGCAGCTTTTTCTTTTGGAGCACGTACCATTCGATGAAGACTGATATCTTTAAAAAATATATAATTCCAATTTCTTCAGTGATTACTTTTATCCAATTCTTAGTTAAAGCTACCACTTGAGAGAAACAAGTATAGAGTTTAAATAGTAATTTGAATTGTGTAACCAAATGGTCACAGCTACGGCAAAGATGCCTCTGATTATTTGATTCTTTGTAGCTTCTATTTTATTAATAACTACTTATTAATTTTTTTTTACTTATTTTAAATATGTTGATTTTGTTCAATAGTTTAATATTAGAATATTTTAATGCCGAATTAATCCTAAAATGATGTCTAACTCTTAAATTAGCAAGTCCACTTATTCGTGGTTTTTTTTTATTTTATAGAGACTAATTTAAATTTTGCAGTAATTGAAATTTCGTTGAAAGTATTATTAAACCTCAGACGTACCATTGTATTCATAAGAGGAAATCTGGTGAATGGCAATGAGAAGAAGCAGAACGAAGATGGATTGCATGTCTCGTGTCGTCAAGAACTCGAATGAAACTATCGTATAAAATAATTAATACGTTTTTGTTTTCCGCTCGCAACGTATTCAAATAAAGCCTCCGCCTATTCAATTTCCGGTCCATATCTATACTTTCTAGACGTAGTAAACTTGTAAATTGTTTAACAGAGGAAGCTAGAAGACCGACTACGAATCCATCCGTGGCATGTGCGTCATTTCAAATCACATTTTCATGTGCAAAAAATAGAATTTTGAGGCTACGACGAAACATTGAAGCGGAAAATAATAACAACACTAACCGATTTCAAATTAATATCAGTGAAACAAATAAAATATTTTTTGAAAAGGAATGCGAACAGAAAGTTGAAGGAAAATGAGAAATGTGAACACTTACTGGCCAATAGCCTACAATTTTTAAGGCAAATGTTGTCTAAAATATGCACCCTTGAATGAAGAGAAAATACAAATTTTTAACCGTCTCACTGAGAAGAAACGTACTTTACTTTATAAGGAATGTATGAGAGTTGTTTGGGAAAGGGGGGGGGAAGTGAAAACAACTTTCAAATTATTTCTTCATAATAGGCGGACTGAAAAAGTTCGAAACAATTGTGTTGCAGTTTTCCTTTTTGCGGTTAGTTTTAGATTGTATAGACAGAGTTAGATCATTTCGAAATTTTTGGAAATTTAATAATTTTTGTTGTTGTCGTTGTTAATGAATATGAGATATGAATTTTCTTCGAAACTACATTGTTTTTGGTGAACGCCACGGTAATCCAGTATGCGTTTTTTTTGCTGAAAATCCATGTATAAGTTTCGTCTTTCCTATTAATAATAATAAATTGCAATCAATCCATATTATATTTTTTGTTCTAATTTCTTTTTTTTCTGTGCGCAGTAGTCAATAAATACACATTGTAAAAAATTGTCCCCTCTCTGGAAACATTGATTATTGATGCTATTCGTAATCAGTTTGGGACCAATAAAAATTTTAAAAGTGTGATAGATCACCCAATTATGAGAATAATGCAACGGTGACACAATTTTGTCAAGTATAAGGGCTTTTTATAAATGCACACTTGAGACATTGGAAATAAATTTTCAAAGGAATTTCTATAGAAACGTCATTAATATTTCTGAAGTCATGTTTTGACATTAATTTTCAATATGATGCTATATTAAAACACAAATGATTTGACATACGTCGATTAGTTCGATTTTGATTTTCTCTACTCCCAAAACGATAGCAAAAACAGTTATTGTGAACGTTTTTACGGTCACACTCATTGTTGGCAGTGACCGTAATAACGGTCACAATACCATTTTTGCTAAAATATCGCCGAAATATGTCGCAAGCAAAAAATTGGCACCCGACGGAAGGAATGCGCTAATAGACTGATGAGGTTGGCCAAATTTAAGTAGCATTGTTTGCCACCCGGATTGCTACAGATTCTCCGCCCGTTTGATGAGGATTAGTTGCTCGGTCTGTGTATTGTACGGTTCTCTCGTCGTGCACAGCGAGCAAAGAGCAACGGCGTGCTACTTTTAGACATAATTTCGTACAAAAGGATTATTCGCTTAGTGAGACATTCTTTCCATCTCGAACACAAAGCAAAACACATGAGATTAGGTAAAGATAATAGAACTAAAATTAGTTCATTTAAACAAACGTTTTCATCTTTTTGTGCGAAGATATTTACTAAAATCCTTTGTTAATATTGTTTAGCAACTTATGTGGACCCAAAAAATTTAGTAAGGCCTAGTGATTTTTGAGACTATGAAAAGTTCTATATTAACTTTATCAAAATGATAAGCACAAAAAGTTCAATAAAATTTTTTATGTACTGAAATAAAATATATATTTGGTTAATATTTCAATGTATACCAAGCGTAATTGGGTTACTTTAAAATTCCGCATGATTTGAGTTGAAAGAAAATAAGTGGCATAAGAAATATCTGTTTTATATTCGTAAGTCACAAATTCTAAAACGACAGTAGATAAAGTAATTTCAAACAGTTTTAGTGTATAATATCAGAATGTCTTTATATGAAAATGGAATTTAACACATTTATCTCGAAAAAGTATGCAGAACTGAATAGATCAATATTTACAAAGGTGCTTAGAAATTTCTTTGTTTTTTCCCATCATCAGAAGAATCTGTATTCAGAAGTTAGAATTCTACTATATACTTGTTTACGACTCTGAGCTATTGAATTCACTTCAAGCGAGTTAACCGATGTTGTCGCCGAAAATGAACAGTGCCAGTTTAAACAAATTCGATGTTGTACTGGGAATTAGGTGAGAGTGAGAATTCGTTTTATAACACTCTCCTACTCTTTATATCAATTAGCTTAATTTTCGAATTTAGAAGCCTCCCATTTTGCATTTTTTTAAAACTCATATTTGCTCAAACTTTATTGTTGACTGTGACCCCGCTTTGAATGCTTTGTTTAAGTTGTCACCTGGGTCTTTGAATTTTAAATTTAAAAAAAAAACGAAAATTTTACTTCCGTTCACATCATTTCCGTAATGAATTGTATTGTTTCGAAGGCAAGGTTTAACATGTCGCATACTTTATTTTGATTGAATGGCTTTTAACATGGTGGGTTTAAAAGGGGGTGAAGAAGCTAATAGGCGAGGGCACACAAATTGAATTGATTTGAATAAAAATTGTCTGGTGGTAACGAATTTTAGAACAGCTTGATGGTGACGACACGAGATGGTATTTGGCATTTCATAATGTTTAAGACAACGAGATAAAGGGGAACACATCATGATGGGTTTATCATAATATGGTTAACATTGATATTTTGAACGAATTTGACCATTTTTAACGTTGGAATGTGACGTTGATCTACTTCCTGCCGGACGGCATGAAATGGAAGTTATCACCGCCTTGTGGTGAAGCCATGTATTCGGCAAGAGAAAGACCCATTGATGCTGAAATTTGAATTGTCAGATATTTATTTGGAACATTTCAGACTAACGGCTTCTCTTGGACTTCAAAAGAACAGTTCGGTAAACGCGAGACATCAGTTGGTCGATGTTAGCATCTTCGGACTGAAAATGAGACATTTCAAAATTCGTTCTTGTTGTATTATAACTCACCCCATCAGCCCACGCGTAAGCAGCAATGCAGAAAAGAGCCAAAAGTAGCCACTTCATCATTTTTTGTGATTTACCTAAATTTTCGAATCAATATTAGTTTTTGGTGAATGCTCTAGAAGACAGGCCAACAAAACAGAATAACATGGTTTCATTAAAATGGGCGGTCTCGCCAAAGAAAGAAAAATTTTGGGCAGGAAGTTTGCTAGCGATTTTTCTTGAACAATCCGACATCTAATTGACACATTGCTGTTTGGCGTCATCGAGAAAAAAAAAGACAAAATTCGGTTGTTTTCTCTCTCGCTTTCGAAACATTGCCAGTAAGAGATTCTTTGAAAAAGTGCAACGACACAGATAGTGAAACCCAAAATGGAGGTGAGGAAAATCTCCAAGGGTGAAATGAACACAACTGTGGGATATCGATGCTTTATTTGGGAAGGCTTATATATGAAGCATTGACGCAATCGTCAAGAAACTGCCATATGTGTTCTTTGTGTTTCAATAAATTGAATTAGGCTTAGATTTGTCAAAGCATCTGTAGAGATGCGCCTTATAGAATTGGTAACTAAACTAATTACGCCTACCAGATAAGATTGCAGGCTCTCGTCATTATATCGAGAATATACAATTTTGGCCAAAAGAAAACGCATTAAATTATATTTCTATGCCATTATTGAATATCCTAAAGTAAAACCTTTGCTGATTTTAATTTCTTCTCTCAGATCATTAAGAGAATGCAAGTTTTTTTTGTAGAAATTCCATAACGCCAGTAATTTTTTGGCTCTGAAATTTAGAGCAAACCTTACAATCTGTTCTACAAAATTAAGGTAAGGTTGGCAAAAAAAAAGCGAGAAATGGTTGTGGACCAATTTGAATGACCAACTGAGACTCAAACACCCAATCATACATAAAGAATTCCATTATCATTAAAAATTTTGTAATTAATTTTTAGTTACAACAAAACTTAGTTCCATGGCGCATCATCATCTTCTAGTCATTTGTCTACGCAGGAATAGATAAGTAACATTGAAAAAATAGTCGGTTCGTGATGTCAGAATGCTTTTTTGTCGAGTCAGAACAGTTTTTATAGGTACACGACTACAAGCTCAAACAATATTAGGCGTGTTTTCATTATACGTTTTCAAATTAACTCAACACATATTCTATTTAATTACACACCATAAAATAACAATGAGGGTGAATAACCTTTTCTTGAAAATAACAAATTTAATCAAAAAGGCTTTGTCCCACATTACATTGTAACTAATGCCATGATTGGTACGGCGCATCGTAAAACAAGAATGCGCTATAGCAAAAGCTACGTGAATTCTCAATGAGATCTCTTGCCTTAAGAAAAAATGTAAAGAAATAATCAAGAAGAAAACAGTTGTGGTTCACATTAATTTCGGAAAATGAAAAATTGACATAAATCACCAAATGTCCAATGTGAAACATGTGATGAAGTTTTAATATTATGAAATGGGTAGAATAAAGCATTTAAGAATATAACAGCTAGCAGAAAATATGCATATTCAAATATCATTAGCAATTAGTACATTTTCAATATATAAGTTGCATCTGGAAAATTTTGTTATTGTTTTTCAAAAAAAAAAAAATTGAAATTATTGTTATAATGATTTTTTTCGATTGATTTTTGCGAAAATTGTTTTTCTGAAGAACCTATTAAAAGAATATGATTTGATGTTTTTTGTGTTTATATTTTCCTAATATATTATATAAACACAATTTAATATATTATATAAACACATTATAATAGCACATTTATTACGATATATAAGATTACAACAAGTGTTCGATGGTGTATTTTATGAAAAAAATGCTTTTATATAAAACAGGCAAATTCTTCAAAAGCCAATAAACGTCTAAGCTCTCAAATGGGCCACATTAGAAGTCACCATGGATAAATTTGTTTGCGAAATAGCTTTTTAAATACTTATGATGTTTTATTAGCCATTGCAGAGTGAGAAGAGCGAAATAAAACAATTCATATGACTTTATGTATATATTTTTTCTTATATACGCATGTATCAAGCTTAAAAAAATGTTCTAGAATAACTTGGAACATTTGAGAAACTTAAATTATCACATCATCGTTAAAAAAACATTATAATTTCTTAATCTTAATAAATTGAGAGTAATCCACAACGCATTTCTGTAAATAAATTGCATCATTTTCATGAAAATTAATACATACTGTTATTATGAAACTATGAATGCATGGCAGAAGGGCTAACAATGTTTTCATAATAAAACAATTAAGCTATTTTAAAAAATTTTTAATTGAAAGCCTCCCTAATAGCAAGCACATTGTTAAACGGTATTAAACCCTATGCAATTAGCAAGATATGTGGATTTTCTATTGAAATCCAGCGATAAAATCTAAGTAAAATAAAAAAAAAGTGCAAGGAAAAATGAGAGAACGCATATAGAAAAATTATTATCGATATGGACAGTTTGCGCAGTCCGGATGACTCTGAAACCATCAATTCAAAATAGATTCGAATGTTTTACAAAAACCTTATTACAATAATAAACTTGGAATGGTTTATGGGTATCCCATTGTTCCACTTCATGAGAGCAAAGACCTTCCAAAACACAGGGAACTTTTTCGAGTCTTGTAAATTGGAATAACAATCCACGTGCCTGTAATCATTTTTCCATTATTTGATTAGCAATAATTGCCGACTTTTTGTAAGACAATGCTTGCGTCCATATGATTTGCTAGAGATGCAAAAAACAATAATATCTCATCGTGTGGTAGTTGCTGAGTTATAACATCTACTCCATATATTGAGACAATCGCTACGCAAACAAACAAATGAAAATAATTTGTTCGATAATTTGCCCAACAACTCTGCAAAAGACTCGTTATATTTTAATCATATCCTAATGTACATGCCTCCCATATATGAAGAGCATGATTCTCCGAGAATTCTCTCTTGAACCATAGTAAAATCCAGCGATGTACAAACATTAGCTGCATTGCATCTGGCTTCTGTTTTTTAAGATGTTCGAAGAATTTTGGGACAAACAGCTCAAGCATGTGGCGTAGATAATTCTGAGCAAAAGTTTTAAATTCGAGCAAATAAGACGATGAATTACAAGATTGAGTTCCATAAGATTTTCGTTTCCTTGGGGAGTCGACGAAAAAACGGTCTGCTGCATAAAACTATTGAAACACCAAAATGCGTCAACTTCATCTCTGCAATATTTCAATAAACGATTCCATGTATACAGTTTTCAACTTCATAGTGCTAAGAAGAGGTGCTAAAAGGTCTGACATTCCTTGAATGTAATTGATTTCGGGATGTGCCGAAGCGTAGTTTAATAAAATGTTTCTGAAAATGAAACATTTTTTTGACATCTTAATAGATCTTTGAACTTCATTAGGTCAACATTTGGATTATTTTCTCCCGAGAAATATGGATTTTTCCTATCTGTTCTAACAACATCTTTGAGAATTGAATTCTCAATCGCGTGCCAACGCTGCGTGTTCGCATCAACTACTTTATATCTAAATCAATATTTTTTTAACGTTAAAACACTGAAAATTACCGTTTCTTCTTAATACTTTGGTACTCCAAGAACAAATCGTTTTTGATAGTTTCTCTCTCATCAGAGGTTGATTCCCACGGATATACTCTTAAAAGAAAAGGCCAAACTTTTTCCCTCATTTCAACTTCCATGGATGCAAAAAATATATGCTGAAAATTGGATAAAACTTATTCATCCTGTCTTTAATAATTCTAAATACTTTGCGAATAGTTGCTCGATCGCCAATGACACCAAACTTATTCTCGTAACTCCTCCAAATATGAATATTGAGTTTTTCATAGAGCCCTTCTTCTGGATCTTTCTCATTTCTAGTTACTGCCGGCTGACAAATTATCAGCTGCTTGTCTGCAATTGCAGATGGAGAACCACCCTGAAAAACAGATGAATACACTAATCGGAAAGAATTGTGAACTTCATGAACACTTCGCGCCTTGATTGCCGACCACTGCTCAAAAATAAACGCTAGTTTATTTAATCCACCATGATGAAAATGGAGAATCTAAAAATAATGATTATAAATGTAATTTGAATGCATGCTATGCCATGCCTTGTAATGGGCATCGAGAGTCGCAATGACAAGTTGCCCACAAGTGCATTCCGGATTCGAATAAAAAACACGCATACTGCGCATTTTTGCTAAAATTGAACATTACTTGTAATTCTTTAGCGTAGTTTTATTTTTCAAAAAAATCTGCGTGATTCACCAATATTCAGCGTTCACTAAACTTAAACGACAATAATGCAAAGAAAACAATTGTAAAAATGTTTTTTTATTTAAATGTTGCATTTGTGGAATTCCACATAATTTTAAATCATTTTCTTTTGTTTTTTACATCAATAAATGAGTTTTGTTTTTTCTTAGCTACTCTTTTTTCCTTTAAAATTTCAAAGTGTAAGGCATTATAATTAGGGCGATTTTTTACGTACTATAAAATTTGAATGAGAAAAAACAGTTTTGACTTCAAATTGGATTGTTTTCGCATTTATATCAACGTTTACCAAGATTCACTGAGAAAAGGCTCGTTGTGCTACTTCTAGCTTGTCGACCGCGACATTCGTCAAGTTCGATCTTAAAAAAAACAATATAATCGCATCAGCACATCACTTCCTAATACAATTTTTGTGTCAATAAGCATCAAGTCATGCTCTAGAGCAAATTGTTCCGGAGTCTTATCGAACATATCGGTCGACTCGCGATATTTTTCGAGAAGCGGTATCTGAGCATGATCTGAAATTAATGAAAAAATACACATCACTAAACGAGAAGAGTAATTACCATCTTCATCTTCGTCTTCTGATGAGCTAACATTTTTCTCGGACATTTCGTCGGCGCAAGATGTGGATAATGAAGATTGAGATGATTTATCCAATTCTTCCAAATTTTTTGTTTCCTAAATTGGATTTCGAAAAAATCACATTAAATTAAATATTTACAACTTCTTGAAGGTTTTTCACTGGGGTATTCGGAATGACATTTATTTCGGGAACACCTAAGCCATTAGAAGCAGTAGTCTGCAAATATGGCTTCAAACATATTAAAACAAATTTTGACTATATACCATTGGAACAAGAGTGGTTGGCCGTTTAACCTGTTCAATTGGTGTCGCAATTCCACACTCTTCTACGATAATATCAAATGAAGAACTCTAAATTGACTAGGTTTAATTTGTTCCATTTTCATTCGAAACGTACACTTTCATCATCAGATGGAGCAGATATGCTGCCTACTTCCTTTCGTTCATCAATTTTCTGTGAACTGATTTCATCGGGCTAAATAATTAATATCTATGTGAATTTTCGTGTCGTTTTCAATGTCTTACAACACTATTTCGTGGTCTTCCACGCGGCGATACACTCCGAATGCTGGCTGGATTTTTATGAAGCGTGACATTTGGAAGCCATTGCAAGATCAAAGTAATCCCAATCGCCTCATCCGATTGACAATGAACCGTGAGATATCCTGGACAGTGCACTTCATCTTCATTCTAAAACTCCAAATTTAAAATCTATTCATTTCGTACGCAATTAATATACCATATTGGGGTTTGACTCGTGCACACATATGTTATTCTTGGAAAAAACAACGTCACCATCTTTGCCAAGGAAAAACGAATTACCTCCTGGAAATAATGCGTCAGTTGGAAAATTGAAAGTTTCCTTGAGTTTTTTGGAAAGAGATACGCTTGGGCTTCGTTTTTTTTTGAGAGAATTTCTTTTCAATCCACATCTTACACTTTTTTGAAAATAATTTTTTCATTTTTTCATAAACGGTTTTATTGTTAAATACCTCGCATTCCGTTGAACGCATCTTGTGCCTTCTTAAATAATTCACTGAACGCGCTCATATGAGTCTGAAGAATAACATATCATTCGGCGACATCTATTTAATTCGAGAAAAAGCTCTCTTCACGGATTATCGGGTGAAGACAAAAATAATTACAACTTGCATCAGAAAAGACTTGGTGAGAAAATGAAGGAAGAATAGATAAGATAACAAAAAGGAAAAAGAAAAGAGGAAGTTAAAATCATGCGAGTGTGCTAGAAAAGCATCAAAGAGCATCAAAACTTTTTCCACTGAGAAATAGGCAGGATTGAAATTCAAAATGTTCGTGCACATAAGTCCCTACAAAAAAAAACAAAATGACGCGAATTCCCATAACCACTCGGAAATGCACAAATCGAGTAAGTAGGAGTAATGAGCACTGGTCGGGGTGCCAATCGATAACAAAGAGCCTATATATAGAAGCGTGATGTTGGTTGAGCTCTTAGTAGCTCTGCTCCTCACTCGTAGGCTCAATTTCGATAACTAAATGGATGTCAAAGCTGCTGGTGAAGAAGTGTCTCTCCAAAGATGCAATATAATAAATGAATATGCACGCAGAAAAAAACGCTATTTTTGCTACTTGTTTCCTTCTTTTGTTTAGTTGTTTTTTTTTTGGTTTTTCAAGAAATGTTGGCGTGATAAATAAAAAACCAAACATGAGCGTTTCAAGTGAAAAAATTGTGAGAATTGGTTGAGATATCGAAAAAACGGAAAGAATGCGCATATCGGGAATAAATCCATGCAAATGTGGATTCGGCAAAAAAAATGGAAGGATTAAATGTGTACATGCACAATCTATTTTTGCCAGAATAAGAAAATCGACAATTGTGAAATTCTTTAATCAGAACATACAAATTTTATAGCCGACATTAAGATGAGCTACAAACGGACGAAAGCGAATGTCATTCTAAACTTCTAATTTCAGCGAATCTAGCAATCCCTAATGAGAATGTCTCATTTAAAATAAATTTCTGATTGGCCAATGGGGCAATGCAGTCAAATAAAAAAAAAGATCTCAAAATATCTTATTTTTACATTGCATAATTTACTGCAAAAAAAACTTTTAAAAAGTTTCAAGAGAGCTCATTGTTTTTATATTTTTTACTGCATTGTCCCTAAGAGAAAATAAAAAGATTAATCATTTCGTAAACCTTAATGAAATTTTGCAGTAAAGATGGTGTCTTTTCATATTATTTGCACAATTATTGCTCGATAAATCTCTCCTTGTAAAAAATAGAAAAAGAATCAAAAAGAGGGTTTTCTTGGAATTCGTACAAAATTACCTGTTAAGTTTCGAAATTGAGATGAATTTAGAATTGGCATAACCAAATTGAAATGAAACGCATCTTTTCGTCAATGAAAAAAAGAAAAGATTTCGAATAGCTTTTCGTACAAACTCATTATTCTCTTTTGCAAATAGTCATAAAATTCCGAGCCAACATCGCGCTAAAATTGCTTGGCTCCAGATTTTGTTTTCAAACATATCGGAATATTTGCAAAATTCGACTTGTAGAAAACGTTGAGCAATTTTTATTGCGACAAAATAAAAAATAAGAACCAGTAGAATCAAAAATGTGAAAGATGAAAAGAATATGAAAGAACAAATTAAATAAAACGTCGTAATACACACTTTTTAAGCATAATACCTGCTCAAAAATATGGACGATTCGCCCTACTGAAGGATCAATTCTCGCCTAACAAATAGAAATGGGTTTGAAAAAAATCTCATATCGAAGACATGAAAGATGGTTTCGCAATTATTCATCCAAAACGAATAGGCGCTTGTTCAGTTGGCACTGCTTCGGAAGCCATTTGTTTTAAAGATGGCTGGATGTTCGGGCTGTCGGTGGGAGAAGTTTTTCGATTGGCACGTCCCATACGGAATCGTTCGGCATACGATGAGGCAATTGGGGCCATCCATCTGTAATGTTATGAAAGATAAAATAAAATAAATCAAAGATGAAAATGAAGAATGAAATAAATAGAACAATCGTATTGACTTGGAAATTAGGACTATGTCCATTTACTTATTTCATTAGTGTTAGTTTTTTTAATTGAACTATTGGGTTTCTGGCGACTACGACAAAATGAAATGCACAATTATTTTGAGTGAAATTAATGAATTAATCAAGGTTACGATTCAATATAGTTTCGTAAACGGATGCTTACTTCGCAGCAGTTTTCCCTTGTTTCCAACATAATTCATTTGAGATTGAACTAAAAACTTTTGGTAGCCAGGAGCACAAAGCGTCTAATGTCTGATTGTAAATGTCATCCATTGATCCTGTTGACCCAACTGACTTCTGATCTGTGACCTTATTCTCAGCAATATTTGGTGTAACAACAGTTTTAGTTTGCTTTTCTTCTACCCTTTTGGACACTGGGAACAATGGTGGAAGGGTATTTTGTCCACTTTGAACCTTCTGCCACCACGGAGCCTGTAACATATAGTTTTTCACGTAGTTCTCCGCGTTTCGCCAACTTCAGATGATCCAGATGCAAGTGGCCACCATCGTGGAATCTTGGGCGTGGTCGTTGGAACAGTTTTAGCTTAAAATAGAAATTAATACCATGTAATGAACATTCGCTAACGTGTTGTTCTTTGAGTTGTAGTTGTAGAAGGAGTTGTCCATGTTTGGGTTGTCATTGTCTCGGGTGCTTCCGATGTTGTCTTCGGACTCGTTGTTGGTTTTGGAGTGGTAGTCGTAGTTGTAGTGGTTGTTGTACTTGTTGATGTTGTTGATCGCGTTGTTGTCTTAGGAGTGGTTGTCGTTGTTGTTGATTTTGCAGTTGATGACTCTGTCGACGTTGTCGGCATTACTGTCGACACCTTTCGCAAAGGTAAGGTGGCGAAACCATGCTAAACAAAACAAATGAATATGGTTGGACAAATACGATATTTACCTTCTTCTCCATTGGTCTGAATTGACTAGCCATTACTTGGAATCCTTCGGGTAGGCCAAGGTCTTTCTTTGAGAAGAATCTGAAGTCAAAAAAATTTATAATTATCTTAATTCTAAGATATGCCTATTGTGGAATCCGAAAGGAATTGAAATTGGCACATAAGCCCTTCCAAGTTCAACCATATTTTCAGCATCAATAACCAAAAGTACGCCTTTGTTTTCAGCGGTGTCCAAACCACGGACCAACAAGACACCCTCGTCTTCTTTCTTTGTGTCTGGTTTCTGGACAAACCATGGCTCATGGATAACCAAGCTAGCCTCAGCACGGAACTCCAAGTTACGTTCACCAGCTGGTTCATCGACATTGATTTTCAAAATGCTGTTTCCAGATGCGAATGGGTGTTGTACAATGTAAGCCCATTGGTAAGCTTTCTGCTCGTAATTGTGATTGATTTGTGGGAAATCGGCGGAGACGGTTTCCTGGGGAATGAGGTAGTTGTACATTACGCGTTGCTTCTTGCTGTCAAGTGTAAAACGTAGTACTCGGGCAGTGCTTGGATAAAGTTGCTTGGTGAGGAAATCGGTGTAGAAGTATTTAACGTACGGATCATGGGAATCATACACAACCTGCAACACAACCAATATCAACTAAGAATTTTTTTATTCAATACCATGTCAGCAACAAGATTTCCATCCTCGGCTTCAAACGCATTTAGCTGATGAGTGATGAACATTGATGGAAAAACTTCAAGAGGTTTTGGAGTAGTAAATTCGAATGTCTTTTTGTTGAAAATAAGGAATCTTTGAAATAAATTGAATGTTTAAAATTTCTATAAGCCCATGAATACCTCATTGGTACCATGTCATAGAAGTCCATTCCCCACAGTCCGCCCTTTTGTATAGCAGATCGAACATTGCTCAATGGAGGCTCTTTGAACTTGCAAGGGTTTATCAGGAGAGATGTGATCGGAAGAATGATGAAGTTCTCAGTAGATGTAATGGAATGAATGTAACCAGGAAGCAAAGTCTTATCCCCTGTAACTCATTTCTGATGCACAAACATATTTTCTGTGCGCATACCAATGTACTCATCGTTACTTCCGCATGCATTCGTGTCCCATACTCCGTAATCATACAATCCGACAACGCGGCGAACACCATTCGTGTCTACGGTGAAGATTCCCTGCAAAAAAAACCGTGAAATGTACTCAGCCAAACTATTTACACATTAACAATCTTCAAATGAGGTAAAGTGTAAATTGTAACTTGATCTTAAACATTTCTGTCGAGTGGTTTAGGTTTTCTGTACTCTATTTTTCTTAATTCTTTTTTTTTTATCGCCGTTCTTTTGGCTGCTGCAACATCGAAATAGATACAACTAGACGAGCCGGCGGTCATTTCTTCAATGTTGTTTCACATATTCGTGTGCGGCTGCCTTATTGACATTTCAACTTATTTCCATTTGTGTGTGCTGGATTTATCGGCGAGGCGTGAGCTACCGTTCACGCCACCCACAATTCCATATTACGAACAAAGGGGTCAACGGAATGTTTGATCGATGTTCAGCACATAAAAAACACAAAAAAATATGAGTGAGCAAACATACTTGGTAGAACCGCTGTTCTTCAAAGTTCATCGCCGAAAATGAACCCCAAATCGTACCATCTGGATCATTTCTTTCATGGATTGCCATCGAAATTGGTATCATTGTGTGTCTTGGCGTTGAGAAAATGTCATTTTCCTCTTTGAATGGGAACAGTTTGAATTTTTGAAGGGTTCGAACCTAAAATTGAGGAATTTAGAAATATTTTTACATTCGAAATACATCAAACTCGTATCCAACCCAATACGGTGCTTCAGTTCCAGCAATAATACGATTTCCAACCTTCCAGAAATCAAGATTTGGATGGAATCTCGCTGAATCGGGGTTAGCTGGAACTTGCTCCCAACGAGACATTGCAGTCAAATTGTAATCGGACCATCCTGCCCACGGAACGTTGGCTTTGCTCATATTACGATCATAGAACTCCCAGATTTTGTACGGTCTAGCTGGATAATATTGAGCAGAAAATACAACCTACAAATTCAAATAAAAATAAATATTGAGTTATACAGTATTACTTGTCCGTTGCTAATATGGAATGATCCTACAGCTCCGATAGCATCAATCATGTGATTGAGTTTCTTACCCAATGGAGCAGATGAGTTACCATAAGATGCAGATAATTGGCACAGAAAGTAACCATCTGTAAAGAAGCATCTCAAACAAGCTTTATAAAATTACAATTTTTTAAACAAACGGCCACTTTCGATATTTTTAAATTTACACATGTTTATTATGTGCTCAAATTCTTCAACCATGTAACAAATTATTATTTAATTGTTGTTAAGTAATTTTTATGCCACACGTTTCTTTAGATAGAAAAACTAATGCTTTTCTGCACAAAATGTATCAATAACGAAATACAATTAGCTAAAACTTGTTTGATCATTTGTCACTTCATTGTGATGTTATTGATAGTTTATCAAGGATGAAAAATTTACAAAGCTTTATGAATTTAACGTCTATGCATGGCGGAATGTAACTTACCAATCCATTTTGGAATGTTTTTGCTTGGACAATACAATTCTCGGTATTTGTCTCCATCCCATGATTCGGGGAATCCCAAATGACTTCGATTAAAACTTTGGGCTAATGATGACGGTAATAATATCAGAAATAGGTACAGTGGTAACATGTTGGTCGGAATCAGAGCTGATTTGCTCAAGATATTGCTCACTTTATTGAAAGATGCTATAGGTAAAGTGTCTATGAAAATGTGCGCCTCGTTTGTTCCCGACTTTGGAAATGGGCGTGGCGCGGTTATGGAGCAAACGCGGGTTTGTACGGTGTGTGGCCGGCGGCTTATCGTCGGACGCTTCTGCGCGAAATGTTCGCGATTCTCCGAACAATCGTGTGCTATTTCGTCGAGATGACCCAACGTATCAGGGGTTCCGCATCCATCGCGGTGAAAGTTTTAAGCAAAACCCCTCGAAATTCGCTATACACGATGCATACCAACGTGCAAATAGTGAACAGCGCGCAGGGTAACAGATAAAAAAAATTCCGACATGAATTGAAGCTAACAGTTAGGAGGGACGTTCATTTAATTCCTTTGTTACGTTTGGCTTTTTTTTAGTAAACAGAATCCTCATACCAAAAATCAACGCGACTATTTTTTTTTGGAATGACACCATCGGTTCTATTGTTGTTCTTTTTTGACTCTAATGACAATGTTTGTCCAATTTAATTAGGCCTCCCATTAAGTATCAATCGGATCGTGATTGGCGTCTTCTCTCAGAAATAGCCTCTCATTATTTCTGATTTCGCGGCGAAACGATAGAAAAAAACAACAAAGAATTTTGATTCCTATCGCGATATTCGTGTGTTCAACAATAACTCTTGTTCTTTATTTTTATATTCATATAATCTCAACACTTGCAATTAACCTTTTTTGTTTGAAACAAATAGCATTGCAGTTCAAGACCGAATACTAATGAGTTTTTGGAATGTTTGGTAAAACAATATATGTAAACTATTTAATTAATTTTTTAAATTCAGTTTTTCTGTTCATATAATAGAGATTGTGGGGAAAACAAAAACATTGAAAAAAATGATAACGGAATAAAAAATATTTATTTTTTAGATTTTTTCATAACGTTCTTCATAGGGGTTCTTCGTAAGAATGAGACGAGATATTTTTTAATTACAAGGTGAGAATAAAACAAATTGGTGTTTCATAATTTCAAAAAAAACTGTTTTCTTACTTCATCTAATAAATGGCAGGTTTTATAATTTTTGTTATCAGCTTCTCATAAAATTCATTCGAAGATTTTAATAAATAAATTTAAAGAGCATCGTTTGTCATCAAAATAAAGTTCATTCGTTACAAAGGCATGAAGTCCCCCTCCCCTCACATACACACAACATTACATACAGACTTGTGGCCTTTTTGAAATGTGCAATTTTCGAAATGCATTCATCCGGCTTTTGGACGAGAAAATTGTTGAAATATAAATTCGATTGGTTTTCAATGTTAGGAAATTACCAGTGAACTCTCAATATTCTCTCCCACTCCAATATTCTTTAATAAAAAAGAAGATAATTTTTTTGCAAACTGTTTATGGCACGATTTTGTGTCAAATGAATCATTTCTTCTGAATACCACTTTGTCCATAAATCAACACAAAAGGAAAAATAATCATTGTTCGTCCGGTTGGAAATCATCAGTGCTGCGCTTTCCGAAGCGAACCATGCTTGAACGATCCATCGGGGAACGTTTTCCAAATCTAGAAAGGGATATATTGGAAAATAAATTTATTTTGGGTTTTCTTACCTAACCATCGATGAACGATCCATTGGTGAGCGTTTTCCAAATCGAATCATCGACGAGCGATCAAATGACGAGCGGCCAAAGCGAACCATAGCTGATCGATCCATTGGTGAACGCTTGCCAAATCGAACCATTGCTGACCGGTCCATTGGGCTTCTCTTACCTAGACGTATCATGGAAGATCTATCGATTGGCGATCTTCCAAATCTGAACAAGCATAAATCAAGATCCCAGAAACATTCGCAATCTGCACACCTGACCATTGCTGAGCGATCCATAGGAGATCTTCCAAATCGAACCATGGCTGACCGATCCATTGGGCTTTTCTTTTCGAGTTGCATCCTGTATTATATATGAAAACGTATTTGTTTGTTGCTCGTGGAAAACCAAAATAAATAATTAACATACATCACCGTGTCGTCAACATCAGAGAGTTCCTCGTTGGTTATTCTTAAAATAAAGAAGAACGCGAAAAATGAAATTTCGAAAAAAAAACATTCTTACTCTTTTGATGCCGGCTCATCTTGAGCAAAAGTATCAATGACAAAAAGGGAAAAAATCAGAAGAACTGTGCCAAAATGCAATCCAAGCATGTCTGAAATGATAAATAGTATTTTTTTAAATTTATGAGCCTAAAATAAAACGCCGATTGCAATTTAAAATAAAGAAATCAATATTGATGCAATGATGACGGAATATTTTATGAAAATTCGTTCGGTCGTTCGTCAAGATGATTCCGGAAAACGCTCATAAATTAGAAGGCAACACACGATGGAAACAAGAAAAGGAAGTCATTTGTACATCATGGCGCAAGAAATAAGTTTCATGTAAACATAGTGATAGAACTCTTAGAGATGCCAATAATGGACTCCAGCCTCAAATCATATTACTCCGCTCAACAAGTTCTAACGAAAGATTTTTGGCTGGCGCGTATTTTGATGCGTTGTTGAAAAATTTCAATTTCTTCAATATTTATGCGCACATTCTCGAGGAGCTGGTCTATAAGAGCAACTAGTGTAAGACTAATGTATGCAACGATTTTTGCAAGTTTCTCCGAACACATTATCAAATGGGAAGAAGAAAGTTTCGTTAATATTTTAAATACTGTTTTGTGTTACAAAATGAGTGTAGTTAAGGCCTACTGGAAACTTTGTATTGATGAAAAAAGGCGTTAGTATTATCTTCAGCAACTGCAATTTGAGCTCCGCCTTAACTGGTGAGCGACACCACCCGGCATTCGTGGCGCCCCGCCCACAATTGCTTTTTCTTCAATTCGTCATCGCAATTTCTGTCGGATAAGAACAATATTAATTAATTGCTAAGACTCTTGAAAAAATCATATAATGGTATTTTACACGAAGGCGATCTGGATTCTATTTATTTAGGGATCATAACCAAAAATATATAAGACTATCTGTTCAAGAAAAAAAATTTATTAAGTTTTGATTTGTTACTAGCTGAAAATTTTTCCAACATTTTTATATAAACTTTCCATTCGTTCCAACTTGAGAACAAGTTTCAACAATTCAATTGAGCTAATATCTCAGATGTTGATGATGCAATAGCACTTTTTTCTTCAAATTAAATTGTTTTTTATTCAAGTGAAATGAAAAGCATATTAATAATAGATACTGTGCCGTTCTAGCGCGCATTTTCGCCAATTCTCATTTTCGCAATTTTAAGCCATTTTAAGGTTTTTATTTTATAAAAAGAAACGGCCTCTGATATTCTGATGAAAAATATCTGATTGGCATCATGGTGTCGTCGGCAACATCCGATTTACCCCTTGTAAAATGCATTTAGCATTTTTAAAATCAAAATTGTTAGTACACATTTCGACCACATACAAAATTTTAGATTAAAAACCCTTAAAATGGCTTAAAATTGTAAAAAATAAGAACGGGTAAAAAGGTGCGTTAGAACGACATATTATTTATATTCCGAGCTATAATAATGACATAAACGCTTCTTAAACCAACGAAATTCGAAGAAAGTCTTAATTTTTTAATTTTACTGACCTTTTTTTACAAGAGATTAGAATATATGTACATAATTAAAGAATGAAAGTGTGAAAGAATGAGCATAAAACTTTTTTATTCATCATAGAATCATAGAGAAATAATCAACTTTCTTTCTATACTCTTATTTACATTTCATAGGCAATTCCCGGAAGTCGTCAAGGGGTATATTTCACTTAAAAAGATTACTTTCAATTTAATACAGTAGGCCGTAAATGGATGCAAATTATAGCCTATGAAATCATTTCCGTGAGTTTTCGAGAAACCAATTCAAGAATTGGACCCACATAAATTTTGGGGAAACTACCTATTATAAGACGTAATATATTGAGTTGAACCAAAAAAATTAATCATGAACTTTTTGCGGAATAAATTATATTTGCTGAGAAATTTTGAAAAAGTTCAAGTTTCGATGTTGGTTTTGACAAAAATTACAAAAAAGAACAAAAGGAACTTGAAGGGGCTTTGAAAACTTCGAATGCTCAATGTGCTTGCAATTCATCATTGAGATTTTGAATTGATGATGTTTTCTTTTCATGCACAATTCCATCAAAAGAAAATAAGAAAAAAACAACAACGATTTCTTCTCTAGCCTAGCCGCGGCATGTGACTATCTGTTGATATATTATAGATGGAAAACTGAAAATTGGACTATCATCATTCTCACATTCGTATGTTTTTCTTGGATTTAAATCACTCTAGAGAATTCAGTAATTATTTTCTTTAAATTTCGCTAATTTTTCTAACAGTTATACTCATGAACAACACAATGTTTTTCATCATTTTTACTGGAAAAAATTTTTGATAGGATAAATAATGTTATTTTCAAAACAAGCTCTCAATAATAGTATCTAATTTGTGATGAGGAATCATAGATTATCGCGGCTAGTTATTACGGAAGAATATAACGTAATATTGGTATGTCTTTTTGATATAAGTATTATTTTGGTTTATTTTCCCGTTGAGAATTGAATTCTATTTATTCAAAATCAAGAGTTGAACAGTTAAAATTATTTTGTCTTTTGTATGTTTTATTAATATTAATTATAATAAATTATTGTAATATGATATAAACGCTTAAAATTTTTATGGTCAATTCAATTTTCATCAAAAATATAAATGAATCTTATATATGAAATGAACAGAAGAATATAGCCAATCAAAGAGCTATAGTATTGAATGCATAAAAACGGCAATATTTCAGAGGCTTTTTTGGTGGCAATAAAACGTTTTTGGAATGAAGTACGTTTTTTCAATTGGTTATGAATATGCGGAATTCTTGTACCCCAATAAACACATTGATACTTGATGTTCGTTTGGTTGATTACATCATAAATAAGAAGATCCAATGCAGAAGCAAATGTTTCAAGACATCTCAAATAAATTGGATGGTTTTAACCTTGCATGAATCGGCCGAGAAAGCAGCTTGCAATAAAATGATTCAGCCATGCCTTTATTAGTTTCATTTGGGAAAGAAATGATTTCAAGTTGAATCACAAAATGAAGGAGGAAATTTTCTCGGTGAACGTGTAAATCGACAATAATGATGTAAAAACGTTGATGAGTTTGAAGGGAAGATTATTTTGCAGAATATTTTTACATACAAATATATTTTTTAGATTTTTCCACCTTGAAAAAAACTGAAATATATTTTCAATTCAAAAAATTACATTTTTCTAAGAAAATCCATTAAGAAATCTTTTTGCCTAGATATTTCAAATTTAAGTGAGAAAATTCGCAATTGAATATCTAACATTAAATCTAAGAATAGGCGCAGCAATGAAATGGACTTTCATAGAACTATTTTAATTAAAAATTTTGGCGTGTGTGATCTACATTATATGAGTATTTATTTAGTTATTTAGCGGTTTTAACATATAAGTTATAGCCAATGGATAAGGAAATATAACAATTATGCTGGATAATTTCACGTATTTGAAGGCTGCAAAACTCATTCGTTTAAATATGTAGTAATGACGAAATTGTTATTAAAAATATACACCTGCTTTTTGAATGGTAACCGGTTTATTTTAATAAAAATAATTGCGTAATTACATATTAAGATGGAAGATTAAATGTAATGTTATATATCCGAATATGGGGTTAGGTGAGAACGATAGCCTTCAAAAGAACACGGTTTGTTTCAGTGTCAATCAACGCAGGCCAAATAAAATGTGCGATTTCGTTGGTCGAGCCGGAGTAAGCTCCACGTGAATGTCGGCTCGGCTCAAAATTGGTTCCTTCGTATTCAAGACGTAGTCTGAAAAAAATAGTGTCTTGTTTGAAAAATGATTATTTATTCATTTTTCGCCGTAATTCATGCTTTTTTACACCAGTTAAGAATTCATACAATGTCAATATATAGAATGAAATAACCAAAAAATATATTGATGTTTAAAAATAATAGAAATAGTAAGGTATGATTTCATACTACGAAAGAAATGTTTTAATATTTATAAATTATTAATCTGATATACAGCATTTAAATTTGAATAATTTATCGAGGTCACTCATACGTTTAATCAATTATTGCGGATGACACGTGTGCAATTTCAATTAATTTTCTCACAAAACATTTCCCAGGGACCTGAACTTACTTTTTTTCCTGACAGTTTAAAATTTCCCAGGATATTTTAATGCATTTTTGGATGAATTCGTGAACCGTAATGCATTCTTCAATTCCCGGATAGTTCTTTAGACTAATCCAAACCATTTGTGTAATTTCCTGAACATTAAAGTTTTAGTTTCTTGAAAAATATTTTAACGAGACTTCCATTATTTTTGGGCCCCTTGTTGTAGACAAGAATTGTTTGAAATAATGTGAGTTAATCGCTGACTCGAACGTGCGAATTTCGTCACAATCCTTTGTGTTATTATTCACTGAAGTTTTTTTTAATTAAAAAGAGCTAATTTTAAAATACCTGATCCAATTGCACTCAAAATTTCACGTTTACGATCTTCTAAGTAATTACTGACAATTCTATGAACAGTCTGAATTGCAATAACATATTCGGTGCTTTTAGATAAATATATATCAATACCACGAGAATCTCATGCGCAAAAACTGATTGTAAATCATCTTCTCCTTCTAACTCGGGAAGTGTGTCGAGAGAATCCCGCAAGTCCTCAAAACATAACATTGCACAAACTATATTTTCATATCTCTTCATGCAAAAAACGAAAACTTCATAATTTTGACCTACATTGCTTGCAAAAACAAACAGTTCGCTCAACTTTGCGACCAATTGCGATATACTTTCTCTGGCTTGCGTGTTATAATATGACGGCGCATCAGGGTAATCGGGAATCGGAAGAGCACTGAACAAAACTTGCTGTTTGCATTTCAAATATTGCAAACAAACCTTTCTTTGATTATCAAGCTTTCCTCTGATTTTTCCCGCAGCTGGGCAATTGTGTAATTAGCAACACGTAATTCTTTGCGAAGTTTTGAAATCTAAACATTCAATTTTGAAATATTTGAATCATTAACCATCGGAATATCAGAAACTACATCTCACTTCTTGCTTCAATGAATCGAAATGAATTACAGAGTCGGATCTTCCAGATGAGCTTTTCTGTGAATTGCCTGAAACAGATCAATAAGGCATTTATTGTTTAATCACATTATTACTGATAGATGGAGCATGAGACCCAGATGTAGTTGAAGAACCGGAAGATATTTTCTGAATTTCCTCTGGACAAAGCATCAGAAGCTGAAATAACTCTGAATCGATTATTTGTTTTCTACTAACAAAAACCTTATTATAAGCATTATTGAAGACAACAATTAGTTGCGCAACGATTGGATCCATTTGCTGAAGCGCAAAGTCGTCAGGAGCTGCTCTTGCAAACGCGTTGAAGAGTCCTATTAAAAGCTTATCCGAAGACACTCGTTTTCTACAAATTCGTAGAAGAGATCCCAACTGAAAATAATAATTCGCTAGGAAATAAAAAAAGCAAGTTACATGCTGATTTTGGAACGTTTCTTCTAAAACACATTGCAATGTTTCGTTCAATTTCAGTCGTTCGAAAACTTGAGAAAGTCGCATGCTCATTTGTCGTTGGTGACTTTCAAATGACGGATCTAAAACTCAAAAGTTTCACATTTTTAAGTTTTCCTAGTTTCCGTACCAGGTCCTGCCGATTTCGGATCTTGCATCTCTTTGATTTGGCTCGAAATCATTTTCAAGTTCTCAATGTGCTTCAGAAGTTCCAAATGCACTGCATCAGTCATTCTGCAATAACAATTTCTTACTTCCTGGTTTCATGTACTAATAATTCATGTTATGTGTGTGTGTGGGTGTGTGTAATATAGTGCCAGACATATTCGCCATCTCATAAAACCAACGAGACAGTAATTAATCGCAACAAGTTATGTAATAATGACAACTACATATTGCTTGAGGGTTGTACATATTATGGGAACGAATATAATGGCAATAAAGTAATGTTTCTTGAATGTTAAAAAATATGAAATAACAAAAACTAGTGGTAAAAGGATAAATGAAATTTCATTGTTTTCTCTGCCATCAGAACGATAGGAAAAACAATATCAATATTAAAGTTTTTGCGATTTTACATTTTTTAAAAATTGTAGCAATTATTATATAATCGAGAAGCATTCATGCGGTAAGCTATTTGAACATCCATTAAACTATTTCACAATACCTTATAAGCCCCGATGAACAGTTGACTAAACCGTGACATCCGAGACTCTCCAAACATGCATTCAACTGTGTTTTATCTTCGTGTGCCCGCTTCACTAAATCTGGACATTGGCGCCCAATGATTCCCATCAGTGTAGCCAGGCATGGTTGGAATTCCTGAAACGAATTTTCCTTCGCATGTTGGAAATAACGCCGTTAATTTTACTTTGAACAAGCTGCAATGTTTTTTAGCGTTCGCAGTGTTGTTTTGTTCACAAAATGCTGTCCACCAGACTAATTGGCAAAACAATAGCTCGCAGCAAAGTTGTTTTGTCGGAAATGAAATTTCATCTTCCACTGATTTCTGGAAGCGTTCCATTATTCATTTAAAGCATCGAGATGATTATAATGTTTACCAGATCGCATTTCAAATAAATTGCTTCAAGAAGAGGCAACGTGTATGGAATTTCCGTGATAAGTTGATCAAGTGGTGGAAGAATGTTGAACAGAACACTAAGATCATCCGTTGATTGAACCTGAAATCAATGATCAAAGGATACGGTTCAATGAATCTCAAAATCTGAAGTTGCTGTGTGTTTGTTTATTTAAATATCCTTTTCTGACAGGACACTGTTCGATCTGCTTGACATTATATAAATAAGGCTTTGCGTTTTTTTCGCAAAAAGATAAGATGACAAAATTCAATAATAAATCGTACTAATTCTATAATTGAAAATCAAGAAAGTATTGAAGATGACAGTTAAAAATATTCTAGATTATTCAAAAATACTAACTGAATTCTCTTATTTTAAGCAAAAAAGATTTGAAGCAAAAAAAAAAACACAAAATTGAGAGAATGATCTTACTCAATCAATTTGAGAACGTCAAGTTCGCTAAACTTTAAATATTCACTTTCTTTTGTGAAAAAAAAACATGGAAAATTTGTTTGAAAAAATTCATAAACCAATTTTTCAATGCTTGACATTATCAGACGTTTGTTTACTTTCTTCGACTTTCAAAAAGCAATTAATCCCTGACAACCTGGTATGCATTTACGATTATGCTTGCCACACCGGATTTTTTATGTGGATCAATGTTCTTGGGCTTACCTGTTCACGAAGATGATTCAAAAGTTGTGTGTCCAATGGCTCCGCTTGACACGTGAATTGAATCAAGTTAAGCTCTGGTTTCGGCGATTTGAAGCTCCAGCCGGCCGATTTGCTGGTTTTGTGCGCCATGCATACGAAATTCAGTTTGCCTATTTCCGATTTTAATTTATTTCTCAGATATATATATATATATATACAAACAATTCGATACATAAATATATGAAGGATTGGAATCAAAAGTAAGCAAAGGGGATTGAAGGAATGAAAAAAAACGTGTCATTGGTTCCAAATTAGGTAGACACAAGAAACTAGACAATTTGACAAAAGCAAGTGGTCACTATAAGACATCCTTGAAACAAGTGTTCGCGCTCACTTTCAACAAATTGGACTTGAAATTAATACGGTGATCTTTCTTCATAACTTGTTCAAAAAACGATACCAACGATCGAGCCGAATATCATAACAAGTAATGCATTTCGCTGACGAGAAGCTTAGCGTGACGCCCAGATTCTTCCTTGGCAGTTTTGAAAGTGAAACGTATAAATATTTGATAGTGTGTATGAATAGGTGGTGTTCTTTTTTCTTGAAAAGTAAAGCAAAATATGTTTTGAAAAAATTGAATCGAAAGGTAATTGAATAGCGAATGTAGAAGTCAAAAAATATGATTCGATATTCTGAAGAAGTTCGAAGAAACGAGAAGTCAACAATTTTTCAGTGGAAATTGATTTGTCATATATTATGTATTACATTATTTTTTACCATACCTTAAATATTAAAGAGAAAAAATCGTTTTAAAAAATGGCTTAAATCCACAATTTTGACAAAGTAGGACTTGATGATTTCAAATTTTAAAGTGCTAATTTTTAAAGAGTAAAAAACAAAAAGCGAGTAGCCATGGGATATTCATCTGACGACTAATAATAGAAATTGAGCGGGGATATATAAGACCGCAGTGTATCGGTTTTCGAAACTTGATACCGCCGACAATTAGAGGTGCCAATAATGAGGTACTGTAGGCAGCTGTCGAAGACATTTCCTGTCAGGATTTTGTTTGTACTGTTGCGCGGTTGCCCAACCGTCCCAACAACCGGGCGGGCACGGCAGGAAGAGCGCGCACGAAAGAAAAAAAAACCGCTGACGGAGATGCGCAAAAAAAAGTGAGAAGTGAGAAAGGCGGCGCCAGTAAGAAGAAGAAGGAGCAAAGGTAACATCATTCAGAATACTGCTTCAAAATCCAATTTACAAGTTTTTATCTCGGGGTGTGCCGCGCGGGCGCATTGACAAACGATAACAGGATCAACTTCGACCAACAATGAATGTAACTAGCAACACCTAGAGAAACATAAAAGACGAGAAGGTAAGTGGACGAAATTCAAAGGAATCCCGAAAACGACAATTGAAAAGCGTGTTATTGTTGAACTAAACATTGTCGCTCTCAACGCCTTCAAATAGTAATTTCGAGAAAACCACGCTTTTCTTTTCTTTCTTTTCAAGTGTATTCCGTGTTTTGTGTATGTATGAAATGGTTTTTAGGTCGTCTTTATTCCATCCGATTGGAATGAGTTTTCAGTTTCGCTGCGGCTAAACGTCGAAACTTCGCGTCACATTTATTTGTCGTTGTGTATTTTAATTAAATGTTTTCGCTTGGTTTTTTCGGCGGTGACTTATTGTTTCGCGCAAAGACTCTGTGCAAACGGGGGACGACATTTGCAAAAAATGCTTGCACAAAACATGTGCGAAGCGGCTGGAAGACAATGGTGTGACGATGATTGTCGCTTGATGAATTCAAACTTTTCAAGGAAATGAACTTGACAACGAATTGAATTGAAAATTTGAAAAAAAATCAGAATGGAAAATAAAGCCACAATGTTTAGTTTTCCATATCATGAATGCTTTGTGTAAAATTATTTTAAATTATGATGAAAATTATGAAATTCAAACAAAAAGATATTACCTAATACTGCCTTCGGTAATCTAATGATTGACGTTTTATGTATGAAATCGTTTTGAAAACTTATAAATATGAAATTTGTTTTGCCATAAGTGCTCAAATGAATACAATAATTTATATTTTTCAAGATACAAACCACTCAAGTTTGAAAATTTGAACATTTGAAAAAAAATATTACTAGATTAATAGTAATGTTTTTTTCCGTAAATAAAACATTTCAAGAAAATTAAATAATAGAAGTTAATGTTGTAGAACAGTCAAATTTTCATCAACTTAAAAGCTTTTAAATAATTTTTAATACAACTAACATGCATAATGTTGTTTATTCTCTTCTGTAAAAAAAGAGAAGAACTGAAATAATAGTATAATCATATTCTTAAAAGAATTCTTAAAATAAATTCTTAAAAGTTGAACTATCATTTTTGTATTTATATCATTATTGTTGGTCATTTGTATTCAGTACTTTTTAAGAGCCCATTTCTAAGAGCCCCTAATCAGTAGAAAATTTCGTATTTTTGATAGAATCGGTTGATAAACTGAAAAACAAATTTAAGATGCAGATATTATTAAAGAAAAAAATTTGAAAATATTTTACAAGTTCGGCCAGTAATGTTTTTAATAGCGAAAAAAATTCCAAGGATATAAAATATAGATTGCACTGGTAATTTTGTAACACGACTTCAGATTTTTGAAGTAGTGTGTTAAAGAAAAATGTTAATTTATTCTATGAAACAATTGAAATTTCTGAAAATAATTCGAATTCAGTTATTTTTTCTTTTTCTTTTAAATTTAAATTTTTACCAGATTGCAAATTTTACATTATATTCTTTGACACGGTTCCAGATATATGACCAACTTTGTACACCAAAAAACCTTCTAAGAAGGTATCGTATTCATCTAAAACGTTTCAGTGAATTTTGTGAAAGCCCCTACACACGTACGATTCTGCTTCTCTCATTTGTCTTCGTTACACCTTTGACAAGTTCTATGATGATTAAAGCCGCGCAACACAAAGCCTAATGGCAAGAATCGAAACATCGCTGGTGGCATCGGATCAATCCAACTTTCGCTCTTATATTTGTCATTCATCTGTTTCAAGTGAGAAACATCGCGTGCGCGCCGCCAAGAACGTATTAAAAACACAGACAGCGATTTGGTCGAATTACCGTTGAAGCAAGATTACCTCTGAACCTTGACGTGCTTTACAACGCTTGCCTAGTCAATGGGATAACAATAAAATGCTGAAGATGGTATGTGATTGGAATTAGCATTACAACGATTGAGCGCTAACCGTGGAATGTATACAATACCTAAAAGTTTCAATTAAACTCAACTCGAGTGAAGGCTCTTTCTCATTTCCATATCATATTTTGCCTTGAAATAATCGATTTATCTCATTGAAACAACAACAACAACAGTAATAATAACAATTATTATAAAACAATTATTATTTTTATTGACACATTTTTGTTTATCACAAAAATATTTTGCTAGGAGTTGCAAGTAAAATACCATTGCTTGCGCAATTCTATATCTGTAATTATTATCAAGCTGATGATTACAATTTATCGAAACGCGTGTTTATATGAAACGATTCAAGTTCACATGTGAAGCAAGATGCTAAATAGACTTGATAAATCAATTTACAAATAAAAATCTTCTACAGAATCATATCATACAAAGACTGACGAAATTGGTTTCAAATTTGATTACCGTCACTTGCTGTTTAATCCCCCATTTGCACTATGTATAATGTTCTTGCACCAGAACATTCATTTGTTTGCTTAAAGACACCCCTTCTACCATCATATATTCGCTTAGATATCCGCTACCGTTATCAGTTGTTTGTCAGTCATTGGATAGGAGCTCGGAGCAACACACAGCGATAACCGTCCCTAGCCGGAATATTTTTTGAACATGTACGCTCTGATACGAGGTGCTACAGAAAAAAATACGCACAACTAATCGCTGAGTCGTATTCGCCTTTATGAGTAATAACCCGCGCGAGGATTGATCCAGGCCTTGAGTTTCTCTCTCTCTCTCTCTCTTTCTCTCTATTTTTTCTTCTACTCGTATAGGAATATTTGCTTATCAACAAAAAACTTTATGCGATGGTGTCGAAATGGCACCAGAACCTTCTTCCTGATTTTAATAAAGGTTTGATGTCGATTTATAGTTTTTGATTTTGAAATATCGAAGCGAGTTTAGATGATAAGGAAAGACAGGATCACACATTTCAACGAGTACTCAACAAGAGTTTACTGATAGTGCCGGAAACAATCGTCGTGATTTATTCCTATCCAAAAAAAAGCTTTCATGTGACGCATTGCAAAGAGTAATAAAACTAACGTGGAAATGTGACAGCAGGCCCTTCTTTAGATATAAGGATATTTGTACAATGCTTTACCTTTTTCTTTGCAATAGCTGAACAACTGATTCATCCAATGACGTCATAAAAGAACGTTCTGGTACGATATTTGAATAGGATTTTGAAATATCGTGAAAAAAACCATAAATAGAATTGCTTGGTGCTAACTTTAATCTATCATCTTTGATAATAAAACTCAATTCTAAACAATGCTGTTTTTACTGTTTTTTTTGGAAAATATATCTAGAGAACTAATTCTATAAATCTTGAACATTTTAACGTTTCCAGTTGAATAATTGTGGCAACGTTGTTAATTGAACATCTTACCATACTTTTGTTTTTCTTGCTGTCAATAAGGGTTAGTTGAAATTCGCAATTTGTAATTTCTTTTCCTTAAACCGTACTTGATAAAACAAAAATTCCAAGGTTTGCACATGCCCTTATCGTGCTGAAAACAACAAGCTTCTGGCGTTTCCATTTTTAAAGTTATCAATGTGATTTCTAGTTAATGAAGCATATTAAAATATTATTGACTCTGCCTTTTGTATTTATGCCTTAATACATAGTAATGAAGCGCACGACAAAATGTTTTTGTTTGTGGAATATAAACAATATCCCGGTAACATTAAAATTTATTATTTCTGTGCGCACGGACGCTTTATTGATATTCTCCGCTAAAGGTGAGTCGATCGCATCTGCTTTTGTATTAAAACAAACGTTTTGTACAGTCTTTTTTTCCTTATATTGGCCAATCCGCGGGCGACCGAGCGTCATGGTGTTCGAAAATTTATTTTTGATTTCCGTTTACATTGTTTATGATGTCCAATATCGAACGATGCATTGTCACAAAACATATATGTACATTCCTTTCATTTTGCTGATGAAGATTTTCAATAAGCGCATACAATAGTGTGAGGGTGATGGAAAGAAGGAAAAGAAACGAAACGATTCTCCACAATACAAAAACCCCCGGAGCGTTATGTTTGATTTCAAAAATGCCGGTGTGCGTTGAAATAACGCGCCGGAGGCGATTAGTCATTTCAGCACGATCCACAAAAATTTCGTTTCACTTGGCGTCCGAAAACGATAGTGGGGATTGTTGTCACTGATAATTCGCTGCAACAGCTATTGTGTATTGATTATTTTATGGTTGAGAAACCGCCTTACGCAGTACGATATAATCATACACTCACATGTTTGAAATCCATGGCCAGGTGAACAATTCGAACTAGTAAGAAAGAGAGAGAGGGTGGTTTAGAGAACATTAATTTTTCTAAGGCTCTAACACAAATGCTAAGCAAACACTGATTCATTTAAATCGTTGTCATCCATGGATGATTGGTTTAGCAAATTCAATTCGAGTTTTATTTTTGGCATTCCAATCCCTTACAATATTCCAATCTTGATAACACGCATATGCATGCATATACAAAATGTCCGTTTGCGACTCTTTACCATACTGTCTAACACTCTTCTATTTTATATTGATCTCTTCGTATTAATCCTATTCATATCAATAGCAGCTTATCTGTACATGCCCTTTCGCTCAACGGCGCGATACTCGTGTGAACATTTAGTGCGCTCATTGATATCTACACAATGGATAAATTATGGTAATGTATGAGAATGGAAGTTAGAGAGCAGAAGAGCAAATAAGGAATAAGAAACATTAATTTTTTTTTGAATGGGAGAGGAAAATCCACAACTATTATTAGAGAAAGATTTACAGTAACGTGCAGTTAGAAATCTGAAATTTCAGTAAATATGAGAAAACCTAAATATGGTTTAACATAGATTTTTCACTATTTGAGAAGTGGCAATAGTTTTCACTAAATTTAACATATAAAAAAATACATTAATCTTTTATTAATTTGATTCTCATTTAAAAATGGCATTGTATTTAAGACTCGCAGCCAATTGAACAAATTCATATTAATATTCCCAAATATGCATCCTTACAATGATGTCATTTTTTGTCGGGAACAATCCATTGACAAATTTAACTTTTCTTTTTTGACCCGCCATCAATATGCCATCTCGCTTCCGATTTTCCCAAAATTTAAATTTATCGAACGTAGGCTGAGAAAATGACACTGGCAGGATGGTATGTTTCACATTCGAATCATTATGAATCACATATTGTCTATGCCCAACAAGGTCTCATTCCATATTTGGTTTTTTTTTTCATCATCAGCACCGGCTTCAATTTTTTCGGCGCATTGTTCCCAACATATTGTTAGCGTTACTTGAAACATCAAAAACATTCCGAATAGGATGATTCCCGCATTTTCGAAATATGCAACATTATCGAAATTCTTCGCCATTTTCCCATCAAATAAATTCGCCTTGGATTCGTTGATAAAGCCGCCAAAGGCACTCAGCACACATGATATTTATTCACAATTTTTATGATTTGTTTATCTATATAATGCATTGTATAAAAGTCTGCTCTTTAATGTCGTTTTGCGCCAATCCATATCGTACAAACATTTCGATTTTCGATATTGGTTCCACTTCATTCCGTTTTTTCCTCCGTTAACACCCTGATAGGCGAGTGGTTACCCTCATTGGATCAACAGCGACCACTGAGCAATAAAATTTGCATGATATTTTGGCGGTGATCACAACATTGCTGTCTATCTGTATCTCTCCCTGTGTTCTGTATAAACGCATGACCCCACATAAAACGAGCCAAATAAGCTAATGTTGGTGTCGGCGCCTGAATAGAATAGATATCAACGCGATATGCTTGTTTGGCCCATTGCGTTTGCAAATACGCACATCAATGATAATAGTAATAGTAATAATAAAACTGCTGAATTTCAATGAGCTTGCCTCATATGCGTATGTATATGTTCGATGTTTTACATTTCGCAAAACTGACATTGGCGCTTCAACATCTGGAATAGAAAGGATACCGCTCGGTTCAGCTGGATGAGGAAAAAAAACAGCGAGTCCACGGTCGTTTTACTAGTGTACACTCCAGAAAAAGAGCGCAGCTGCGATCTCGGATTTTTCTGAACGGTTTTTTTTCGCGCCATTGCGCGCAATCTGTTCGCCATAAAATCGTTCATCTATTCATTTCCGCAGACGGTGTGTCATCACGAAATTCTCTCGAATTTCAACTAGTGTAATTTCAAATTAACCCTTTGCAATTCACGGCGCTTTTCCGTTGCACTAGGTTGGAAATAATTAAGGATACCACTCCCAATCATTGTTTCGTTCTATTTATCCCGAAAGAATTAGTTGTTGTGAGGCCAAGTAGTTGGGACAGATTGCAACACGCCATTCCATTCTTGGCAAGCGCATCTAATCCCATGCCATCCATGGCCGGGATTACTTGGGTGTGGTAGCGACTGAAAACGACGCACGGAGCAAGCTAGCTAGCCAACCAGCTTCGTTGAGAAATAATCTTTTCGCTCATTGCCAGAGAGAGTACGAGAACACACCATTGGTGGGTGGGCTCACTTTTGCGGCTTTTCTTATTGTGTGCCAGGCTATGAGCTTGGGCAGAAGGAGGTTTGAGGCAGCGGCGGGTGGAGAGAGGAAGGGCCTTCAATTAAAATTGTCACACTTTCGGGAAATTGGCGCGATCGTCAATCATGATTGTTAGGATTTAGATTTTGAAACAATTGGGATTAAGGCGCCCGATTGCGACCAGATTGTCTGTTTCGGGTTTATCCATAGCTCGCCGATTTTTCAAACCCATTCGACTAGTACTAAACCGTGTGACTGCAGTCTCGGTTATCGCGCTATTATATAGTGACCACATTGATGCAAGTATTCAAACGAGCCTCCTTATCTCTGAACCTATTCCAATGATATGTTCAAATAAGCCATTGTTACTTGAGCATATGACATTACAATGAACAGGATAACGAGGTTTGGCGACTGACAAGTCATCATTGATGCTTCAACTGGTATTTCAGATGTTTTTTGTAAGATGTTGTAGTCTTCAACATCGTCTTCTTCCCACTCTCGCCATTCAGTTTTTTTGTTGCCTTTAAGTCCCACCCCTCTTTACTCCATCTTGTCTCGTCATGCGCCTTCTACTATTTCCGCGGCCTATTCACCTCGGGCGCCCGAGTGTGTGTATGTATCAGAAGGGGGCCTTAAAGATCCGGTTCCTTGCGCCATCCATTATGCCATTCGAATCCCGACCTCCTACCTTTCGCCTCGCCCGCCCCAACTACTTTCATCATCTTATTCTGCTTACTTCTTTTCGATCTTGGCCGCCATACCGTTTCCGCCCAATTTTCCTCGAAAAAAGATTTGTGTCGGTTGAATGCTAGTTTGCACGAATTTCCGAATTCGATTGAAAAATCTAAATTGAAAAAAATATGTATTTGACATTATTTGCCAATGTTTTCTGTGTATTGTCAAAAGTTCGCACTAGTTGTGCTATGTAAAACACAAAAACCTAACTTCTGTAAACCGAATCCCTGAATTCTTTAGATAGATGTATCTCCTTTATCTTTACTTCCTTGAAGTATATCAAAACTTTCGTTGTCTGTTTGTTAAAGTATTGTTCAGACTTTAACCTATCCCAATTCACTTTTACCTCCTTTTTCATTAATTTTCTATTAATATCCGGGTTGACTGCATATCGTATATCCGTTGCCAAACAGTCTTCTTCTCCTAATCGCCTTAACAAATCATATCCTAAGCGCCTAATCACGGTTGAGTAGACCGCGAGCCTCTATTTGCTTTCTTTTCGCTGGTGGCTTTTGCCTACCATATCCCCTCTGATTGGCTCGGCGAGCATTGCTCTCGTTGCCTCGAGCCTCATATATCTGAAGAAGTATCGTAGTAAGCCCGCCTGAGGGCGTGGCCCGAATCCCGACCAAAACCCTAGCGCTCATTGCGTTCGAACCAAGGCAACATGATGTTGATGATGATGGCGGCTAGAGAAACAGGCAATAGTGTGTCGGGCAGTGCGTGTGTGTGTAAGAGCTCGTAGCTCCACCCATCCCCAATCGGGGCGCCTACCCCTTTTCATCTACCTTTATCGACGCCATTCCCTTTCTCGTTCCACAGTATTGGCCAGATATCGCTAAATCGATATTTGCTTCTCAACACTACCATATGTATTTTCCAACCACTCTTATTCATCTATCAGTTATCACATGACGAGACTCATTTTTTTCTCCAACTTGGTATCTGCTATCCGTATCTTGTTGTGTCAAATTGCATTTTCACTTTCATAGGTGTTCGCCAATTTCAGATGTTTCCTGTTCGGGTAGCCGTGGAAACAGTGCGAGCTCAACATTGTTTAACCTGCGCACACGACGGTCACGTTCTCGTCGATACATACGCTATTGTATCCGGCACGACATCACTCAATCAGCTTGTCGAAACGGTTTTATCAGCTCTTGGGCACCCGAATCTTGCAGCCAACGCCAGAGGTACTTTTTTTTCTCTATATATATATATATATATATATATATATATATATAAATGACAGCATCATACTTTGTAATTGTATCATCGTTTTGTATGCTCTATTCTATCCATCCATCTCCTTATCAGTTTGCATGATAGCGATGATAGCGTGGATATGTGTTACAACCTGCTCTCTATTCAAAAATAAGTGGGAAGGGAAAAGAATTGTGAAATTTTACTTGTAGAAGAAACGATTCGAATGGTTTTGTAACAATCTAATTAACTGTAGTTATCTTCTTTTTCCTTCTCAATTTCCCCGCATTCTTGCGCAACAGTTCTCGTACAACATCTGCCATAAGCCGAAAACGAATTGAAAGCCTCAATCACTTGCGCGCGCGCCTTTCGATTTCATTTGATTGTTGCGCAATCGACGGCGTTAAAGGCGCTGTAAGATCGGGCAATTCCAACTGAGATTCGCCTCACCGCCCATATCCAGCGACACAAAAATGGGGTAAAGTTTTTCGCATTTTTTTTAATTCGCGCTGCCGCCCGCCCGGCGAGTACGCTACAGAACAAGACGAGATGAAGAAATTGAAAGTGAGGTCTCTGCACTCTCTCCATCTTGGCAAAGCGATCAGCACTTGTCTGACTGATCCTTATTTAAAAGTGAAACACAAATGAACCTGTTCTTCGCCTTTCTCGCCGGCGCCGACTGATTTCGGAGGGCTTTGCCAACACTTTCTCTGCCAAGATTATGCAATACATCGTTCAGCGATAGGCATTATCGCATTTTTTGTGTGGGCATGTGAGAAGAGACCAGAATCACGCAAGAAAATTTCAAAATAGATGAGGAGATGGATGAGCAACAAGATTTTTAGCACTCCTCATTTTTTTTCCAGGCATGGTACAAGTCAACAATTGGAAGGCATTGCCGTTTGATCAGATTACAGACAATCAAGAAGAAACCGTTCATAACCTGTTTAAAGACATTTCATCCCATATAACACTGCGAATTTTGACAAAACCGTGAGTTGCAAATCCTTCAAATCCCGTTTGACATATGTTAAGACATCACGTCTCGGATTTCTTTTGGCCGGTCGTGTCGGTGTTGTTTATTAGGTGGCCTGGGTTGGCCTACATGTGGTTCGCGCAAAACTCGGTTGCTCTTTTTCGCGCATACTGTCTGTCTCTTGACATACAATGTTTCGTGCCTCGTGGCGTTTGATTGAGCGCTCTCTAGAAGTGAGCAAAATCGCACCTCAACTAACATACATTCATACATACACATCCTCTTTAGAAATACTCAAATAAATGGCAAACATACACACATAGACACACACATTGAGACTCATATACACACAAAAGTCGAGGCGAGATCTGTTCGATACAGGCAGGCATGAGGGCAATAGCTAATTTTCTATGTCATAAACTTTCCACAACATAGATGATCATACTAATTTTTTCATAACATGTCTAGGCGCACCCCACTTCGTCGCCGCTATTCATAATCGCAATCGAGAAATGTATGTATATCGTCGACAGATAGCTGACTAACTAGAGGGCTCGCCAAAAAATTTGCATTGGGGGTCGACGCATGATAATCACAACCGAAGTGTGAGAAAAATGTTACGATTCCACTGGATGGATTTGAATAACAATTAGCTGTAGTGACTCCATGGTCTATTAACAACACAGCGTCTATTCGTATGAATATAAATATAAATTTGGTGGTTTATTGAAAATTCTAGAGATACTTTAAAACCGGAAAACTGGTTTCATGAGAATTCATTTAGACGTGCAGTAATGTAATGTACTATCGCGCGATATTTCTTTTCAAAAAATTCTTCTCCGGGGCCCAATAACAATCCTGTCGACAAAACCAATGTCCAAAAAGTAGCACCATTTTTATTTTGCTAACTCCTTTCTATACCTTATATGAATCATTGCGGTCGGTCTTATATCTCATTTATCGTGAGTCATCCGGCGAGTTGGTCGCATTTGGATCGCGTCGCGATGCAAAAAGATTCATAGATTGGGGGGCCGTATGCTGGTTATCAATTCCGCAAATGTTTGTAATGAGCTCAGCAGCCCGATTAGATGGCTCCGAAGCTATCTGATATTTGTCAAGGAAAGTTCAACAGAGTCCGGTGAGCCGCCAGTGCTTCCACGGGTTATCAATCACTTTGGTTCCCCTTTTGAAATAGATCGATGAACCATGATGCACAATAATACGTATAAAAACCCATTAGCCAAATCGAACAGAGCAATTTAATGGGTTCTCGCGATAACGATGCACCGCGTTGAATATAAAATGGATAATCATAACCAATATGTGTTGACCTAGATTGTTTAGGACGACCGACTCAGCAAGCACACAATGTATCAACGAATTAAAACAGAAGCTCCTGAAAACTGCCGTAAACAAGAATCCAAATATACTTAATACGGTGGATAATCAACAAATAAAAGTAATAATCAATTTACTAAACTCTCTTTCAAACGATTATTTTTAGGATCTTATAAATCAAATCATTGCTGGCGATGATCCAGCTCTTTTGAATCATGATCAAATCAACGCCATCAATGAATGGCTGGACACTTTGGATAATGGATTAGAGAGGCGCAGGTAAGAGCTACCGTAATCCGCATTGAAGAATGCCAGCCAATCGAAGGCCGACTCTCATTCACTCTGACTCTCGAAACATCCCCTCAGTCTCTTTGACATCCAATATGCGGACATGAGCGCGCGTGTGTATGTATGAGAGTGTGCGTTTTGTTGGCCTACAGTAATCCGGCTGGAGTGAGGCAGCGGGCGAGGATTGTTTAGAATAGCATAAAAACTGAAGGTCAGGGGGTTTTAAAAATCATGTTCTCCCTAATTAAAAAAATATATCTCTCTCAAAATTTCTCTATAATTTTATAAAGAAATATTTATCTGGTAATTTGTAACAAATTTGTGCAAAAAAAGTAGTATTAATAAAATGATTTTATTTTTGGTTTGACAATGTCACCTAATACTACTAATCAATCCATTGCGTTATAAACAACGCAGCCGAAATCGCCAAATTTTAGCGTTTGGAGCCAACCAAGTCTCAGTTTTCATTTGTAAACAATTTTTAGAGTGTGTGTATGTGTGTGTGTGTCTGTGTGCGATTTGTGCGAGGCGCGGCCCGAATGTAGATAATCCGGCGAGACGAAACAAAGTTAATAGAATCTGTTTGAGCGTTTGAGGGAAAAACGAAGAAGTAGCGACATTGAGTGTCAATTCATTTCCGGACTTTTGAGATTGCAAACTTGATAATTCTTGGATAGATGATGGGGTTTCAAGGACGAGTAACTTTTGTTTTCCATTCATCACGAAATTAATGATGTTATTATTGGATTCAATATGGGAAAAGAGATGAACGCTGTTTCTTTTTTTCCTATCTTTGAAATCGAAAGGAAGAACGTTTTCAATTACAGTTCTCTTCTCTGTCATTGTTGTAGAAATCCAAGATGTGTTCATAATTCTCTTCCCTTCTTTCTTTCTCCTTCTTCCTTGGGGTTGCATCTCATTCCGGTTGGTATTTCTTGCCATTTCTAATTGCCCTCCATCATTTGCCATTGTCATCGGCTAAGCGATCTCGACTGGTTTCACTCGGGCCTCTGTCCAAAAAAAAACAACATCGCCATACAGTGTATTTCGGGGTCAATTTTCCAGTTAGCTTGTGCCCAACAAAGGGGTCATTACTTGAATCGAACGATGTTTTGAAGTTGTGAAGTGGTTCCAGTTTATGTCAGATGAACTTTGTTTTTTTTATTCGGCGTGGGGCAAGAAGCATTCATATGCGGCCAGTCGGGAGGGGCTACAGTAAGAAAACAACATGCGGGAGTGAGTAATAGGCTGAAGCTTTGTCAAAAAGTGACAACTCATCATGTCGGGATGCGATAACATTCGACTTGGTATTGTATGGGGTTGACGTGATTCACCAAATAAGCAAAACAGTACAAAGATTATTATTTGTTTTACAGCCCGATCGCTGGGAATCGCTTCAATCAGCTATTCGAGATTCCGAGGCTCGAGAAATGGTTTAAAAACAATCCCAACCCAAGCAAACAACAAATGAACAATTATTTGGCTCAACTCAACGCGAGTCCTTACAGAAAAAACAATTCTAAAATAACATATCAACAAGTAAAGAATATTTGAAAATTCCTAGAAGCTTTAATTTAAGACATATCCACAGATTTGCAATTGGTTCAGTCAGCAACGCGCTAATGGAAGAAAACCGGCTGCTGCACCAATCCCATCTGCAACTCATCTCGCCACAGCTTCACTCCTGAATCCAGCATTACAAATGAACTGGATGAATCTTCTAAATGAATACGGAAGACCTAAAATTGATTTTTCAAACTTCTTGATGGATCAAAAGCATACTCTGAATAACCTTTTGACTGATGTATGAATAACCTGCAAGAAATGTCTTCATTCTCTCATATTTTTAGGAAAGCCGCATTGACGGAGGATCCGATTCGCCATCTCCCGCCGACGATGAGATGCACAGCAACTCCGATGAGGCTAACACGGATACCTACGCGATCAGTAAGCAGGAAGTCGAGGTGAGTTCGTTGTTTATTCAACGGATAGCTGCGAAGGATTATGTACCTCTGAAACTTGCTATTTGTTATTGTACACGCATTTGTCACGAAAACAATTTTGGGGATTTTCAGGAAAGCTCAGCCTCATCTCCAGACATGTCTGCGTCAGTTCGCGAATCTCTCGCCTCTTCGTCTCCAAAAATGTTGAACATGGACTTTGGCGGTACATCTGTATCAACAAATCAGTCATCAACTAATTCGAATGTCAGCTCATGTAAGCAAATTAAAAATGACCAAAACCACTTTGGATGAATTATTTGAATTACTCATATAGTCAAATATGTACATAGGACAAAGAATCTTTAATTTTGAATGTGCTAGTGAGCAAAAATCAATCAGCGTTTTTGTTTTGCGCTCGCTAAGCAGACAGTCCAAAATCTCTTTGTTGTTTGTATAAACGCACGCGGCCCGTTTTGGAACTTTTTTTTGAGCTGTCTGGCTTGAGTAAACGGACGTAAACGGGAACTTCATCTCAAAATTTCAGCGGCACGTTCGCGACTGATGTTTGATCCACTTAGCGAACTTCCTGTACTCGAAAAATGGTTTGAAGTAAGTTAAATGTGAAAATGTTGCGGTATGATTAACAATAATTTTAGGAGAACCCACACCCTACATGGATGCAGATTGATCAATACACGCAGTGTCTGAACAGTTGCCCGTATCGTGAAAACTATCCACATATCAGTCAGCATAACGTCAAGGTACGTTGCTTATGATTGAAAAAAAAGCTTTAATTATTACACAATAAGCATTTTACTAGGAGAATCTCCAGTTGTAATCACATTAAGATCTGAGGTGTAATGTGTGTTTCTTTGCAGATCTGGTTCAAAAACCGCCGAGCGAAGTGCAAACGTATGCAAACAGGCCTGATGGAAAAAATGGAGCAGAAAGTATTTGTATGAAACGAAGGATATCACTACTGCCCTCTTCGGGGTTCTGAATTCGGTGCCCAAGGCTTCCTCCAAAACACGCTGTTTGTATCATGTGGAAAAAAAAGAAATGTTTTAAATTAATTCGGGTCAACATGCGATCTATTGAAACAATCCTTCCATCATTTACGATTTTCTAACAAGTTTCCTCAATGAGGACTAAAAAATTATTTTTTTAGTTACTCATCCGGTTAATTACGCTAGTTTCAATTCGATTACTTTTGAAAAACTAATTTCAATCTTTAAATTGTTAGTGCCTTTAATCTTTCCAACACTTTCATTTGTGTCTAGTCTCCATCAACCGATCGTTCTCGAAAATCTTGGAAGTTAAATGCTTTAATTTCCTCAATATTTTATGCCGCACACTATTCTTTAATACAAACTGTCAAGATTGTCAGTTCCTGTTTTTCTCTGCAAATCTGTTACGGTCAATTTTGTTGTATTTTTTATCGAATTATCGTACTCTTACATCACCTTAACACCCTACTGCAATTAAAATTCTCTAATTTTTTCATTTTATTGATCCGAAACCAATAGATTAAATACCCTAAACATTAATACTTTATCGTACCCTTCCATAATCTAATGTATCAATGTGCAACCATATCGAATACAAAACAAAACTTCTTGATTATCGCCGTCAAGAATGTTCTCCTCTTGCCTATTGAAATCAATAGCTCACCAAATAACACAATGGCTACCTTCTATCTTTTTCACACTCCCACCCCTCCCTTTATCACATTTTTCTTGATTTTACTAACATTGAATTTGAAGCAACACTATAATTCTCGCCTGTGTCAAACCAAATTTTTTTTTAATGTTTCTTCTAAAGATGTCCAATGGCACAGGTGTAATTGCTCGATTTTAATGGTTTAATAAGATGCAGCAAGAATAAATTCGGCACCTTCCATTTGTATTGCAATGGTTTCACAATAAATGAAATGCGATAAGCTAGTTTTAAAGAACAAATCATTCACTACCTCAATGGCAATGCATACCGTTTTTTTAACGAGAAGTAGATATTAAATGCCAAATTGTCGCCATTTCGCAACTGCAAATAAAACTTTGCGCTATGAGCATTATAAGACTACTGGGAATTATGAGATTGATCTTATTTAAACGTCTCGAAATCTTTAGAAATCTCCTCGGCAAATTCTGGTTCTTAACAAAAGAACATCGTGCAACTTTTTGTAGAAAGCCTAAAAATTTGAGAATAATTGTTATTTTCATGTTGCTATTTAATTTTTAATAGTTGTAATTTAAATCTTTCTGAGTAACAGAAAATAGCAAAAAGCCACAAAATATATTTATTTTTCCAACCTTCAACTTTTTTTTGACTATTGTAATTTTGTCGAAACTTAAAAATCACTATTTTAAGAGTTTAACAATTATTGTTATAATTATTTTGAAATATATTTTTGCACTATTTTGCTCCTATAAGAATGTTAATTTTTTAACGCTATTCTTATTGCAAAATTCCATGTCGAAGAAACTGCTAATTATTAGGAAAAATTCAATGAACAGTACAACCAATAAACGCATTCTTAAATCACACTCTTATACAGTATCTGATTTCAGTTTGTATCGTGATTTTAGTGTGATAATAATGTCCAGATATACACAATGCAACTTTAATGAAGAAAACTCGCCCTGTAGAACGGAAAGGTTTTAAGAAATATAATACGGAAAACTTACGGATAAATTTGCCATTTTGAATTATGATTATTTGAAAAGAAAACACTACAGTAGGCTCAATTGTAAAATGTTGTTTTGTCTAACAGTTCAAGCGCAAATTCCAAAATTTGAGTAGGTGGAAGTCAAGTAAACGTAATTATAGCCAACACTGATGGTCACTTTGAAAAATATGTACTTTTAAAACAATATTTCTCTTGTTTTCTTATTTCTTATTAAGTTAATTTAAAATTGTCATTTGTTTCACTAAATTAGAATCGACGTGCAGCGACTATAAATATAGATTTGCACGTACTTTAGTCCAGGTCTCGTCAGGTGAAAATGCTTAATTTCTTATTTTTATGCATATTTCGTTTCATTTTATTTCAAAGTAAATAGTTAGACCGTGCAAGAGCACAGTGCACGCAAATTTATTCGCATACATCAGTCGCCGAATGCCGATTACATATAACTTAAGGTTAAAGGTCAAAAAGTTTTTTTTGTACAATAGTCTAATTGAGAACAAATTAGTACTATAGAAAAGTTAAAAGATAAATACGGAAACTACTCTGATATAATTATAATTCATTTGGTATATACAATAATTAAAGTGATAGCTAAAAATGCCTTCTCAAAAGCCAAACAAGTCATTAAAATTTTCAAGTGTTACTGATTTCGCTTCTGTGTGTGTAGACAATTTCTATAGACCACTGAGACTGCACCGTACATCGTTCAACTAAAAAGCGAGTAGCTTCAGTTTCTCGTCACACTCAAATTTTGGATTACGATTTACAGAGCAGATGAAAAAAAAATCGTTTATTAAAAACAATTAAGTACGAAATGCGTTTGCAAAAATTTTTAGAATATTCTTTTCCTTAAAGTCATTGAGTTGTCGTGAAATATTGAGACAACGTAAAAAAAAAAGATAATAGAACCCGCTAAAAAATTCAAAACCTATTCGGAATTCACAATTATTTCACAATCACTTTTTTCAAATTTGTTTCCCTGTGTGTTTTTTTTTTAATCAAATCTCGAGCAAAATTCTATTTATGGCTGAAAATTAACTTTTTATTAAATGAAAATCTTAATTTTTTATAACGATTTTTGGTGACCAGAATAATTTTATGCAAAAATTAAGAACCAAAAATTTCTTAATCTGTCGTACATTGATACAAAGTTTATATATAAAATCTTCGATCAATAATCTGCATAGATGTAATGATTTAATATTGAAACGCAGACAGAGTGAACCGGAGAAGGGAGTATTATAATAGAGGAGACTCGTGCTCGACACAGAACAAAACCGGCGTGTCTTTGCTTCGTTTATTTTTGCGCACTTTCCGAATGCGGAGAAATCATATTGTCTAATATTTTCTGATATTTCGTATTTATCCATACAATGGCTCAACTGCGTCGTTCTGCACGTCTTGCCGCTATTCCAAAGACTCCTCCAAAACCAGCTGAAGTTAAAATCAAATCACCACGTACGTTTTTTCTTCGATTCGTATGATCTGGTAATTGATTGTTTTGCAGGTTCTCGACAAACACCACGTAAAACTGTGACAAATAAGCGCACTCCGCGATGTCAGGCGCCAAAAAAGCCTCAATAAATACTATGGCCTTCATATAATTCGAAACCACGTGAAGTGATACCGTCTCCATATTTTCGAAGAGCTATGCTTGCTGCGGCTCCACCGCGCATTGCACCAATATACAACTATAACAAATTAACAATTCATGATCCTATGCGCAGTTCGTTGGGCGGCTTCAATGAAAATCGTCGAGTTCCTTTTCTTGACAAACTGCGGCCACTGCACGAAATTCTTGCACTCTATGAAGTAAAACAAGAACCCGAGGAACCTGCTGCGCCTCCGCAACCTACGAAGAGACAAATGACCAAAGACGAATTGAAGAAGGTTTTGGAATATATGGCGAAAGCCCCCGTTCGTTCGTTTGTATACACAAGATTGTTCTTGCGAGAATTGTTTGGCGATGACAAGGAGAACGTTTTCATAAATCCCATTCTTTCGAATTTATGGGTCTTCTTGAAAAGCGAATCACCAGATGTACGACTGATCCCGAGTGATTTGGTTTTCGATGATCACGGAATTGAAACACTTTTGGTATATAGAGTGATGAACACAATGAATGGAAGTTTTGGAAATGCATACGATGACAAAAAAATCTACAAGGACAGTGCCAGATTGACGATCCGAAGAGCAGAACTTGTTGAGCGTTATTATAACGAGCTGGTTCGCAACAACGTTGTGATTTTTGGCTTACACATCAAGAATGATGATCTCAAAATGCTCAAAAAGTTGTGGGAACAATGCGCCAATGCTCAATTTGCTCTCTAATTAAAATTTTTATATTAGTTGGTTTTGGCTGCTGTGTATCATTTTGACCCCGCTGTTGTAATTTAACGTTTCATTTCGATTCTCTATTTCGTTATTGTTGGTTTTACAATGAATTAGTGTAAAGTTTCATGAATATTATTTTTTTTTATTCAAGTTCAGTTTACAACAAAGACACGAAGTTCCCTCAACAAACGATAACATTAAAAAATGTGCGATGAGCCAGTGAGCGCAATATTCGTATTTTCAAATGCCAAAGAATGTATTATATTATTGTACCCATTATTGTAGAATAACATACATTTTTTCTGATATTGAATAACAAAAGTACAAATATTGTACAGAATGAGTCGGCAATCTTTCTTAGAGTGGATAGGTGTGCGACTCAGAAATAATCCAATATTCAGTCCATTGCTTCTCGTAAACAAAAAACTTTTCGAAAACAGCAAATTTCTTGATGAATTGATCACGTTTTTATCATCTGATGACAATATTCAAGTTGAAAAAAAATCATTTTTTCAATTTTTTCAAAACGTAACTGATCTATTATCTATTTATTTATATGTATTCAAAACTCTATGACGGTATTGTGTTGTTATCACGTTTAGATTTGAACGCATATTCTCCCGTCGCCATGCGGGGTGACGACCGTAACTTTGTACCCAAGATGACCAGGGATAATTTTATGACCTGAAAGCAACCTTTTGGCAAAGCAGAGTCCAAACACTTTAAAAGAGGCTGGGCCAATCCTATTGAGGTGGAGATGCGAAAGATGAAAAGCAATGCGTGCCACAACACTGATATCTGATATGTGTTTCTTCGTCTACGTCTACTACTTCGCCGCAGCATGTATTCGTCAATAACGCTCTACTGCAATTGAATCGTTGCAAGACAGGCGTTATGTTTTTTTTTGTCGTTTTACGAAAACGCGCTGTTTTTTTCTTACTCATTTCTGTTCTTCATATCGTTTTTGCATTTCTCAGTGTAGTTTATTTTTCAGGAATTATGGCCACGTTGGAGAAGCTGGACTCTTTTATTCTCTCCGAAATAATTTCGTTTTTGGATTTTGAATCTCGTAGATCGATATCTCTCTGTTCCAAACGCCTTAGACAGATCGAGAAGGAGACTCCAAAGGACATTACATTTGTAAGAGTACAAGGAGTAAATGGATTTCATAGAGGAAACGTAACCAACGCGAATTTATTTAAAATAATATTTGACAATTACAGACCACTAATCCTGAAATTAACATATTTTGGAAGTATGATGCCAATAATTGCTTTGATAGTTATATCTGTAAGGACGGAGAAGACACTTGCATCAAACTGTAAGTTTGGCTATTATTTATAACCGTCCATTTTTGATTCCGAATCCAACAAATCCACACTGTCTCCGTAACTATGCAACGACTCGTGAATTTTTTGAATTTTCAGAACATCAATCTGCCGTCGCACTGAGAAAAAAATAATCCGCTTGAACAATACGGATTTTCTTGTTGAGGCAGAAAAGCTATTTAAGAAAATTGCTGGTGGAAACAATATTAAACTTTTTTTTCTGATTTTGGTAAGAATTTCGACTAATTTTTATCAACTATAAGTCGGATTTTAGAATCATTCGTTCGAAAAAAACATTGTACGAAGTGTCGCAATTTTCGAACCTCAATATTTCACTAAAGAGCGTTTTGAACAGCACATAGATATGGTTGTGGATGTGAAACTGCTAAAAATATGCAATGAAAATGAACCCGTTGACGCAGAATTATTCAAATGTCCTAAGGTTTGTGGTTTCAGCTACAATCACTACATTATAATTAATTAAAGGTTCAAAACATGCCAAGTTTGCAAATTGAAAATGTTAATGAAATTGCGACCGACGTATTTTTGGAGTTCAATTGCAGTAAGCTAACGTTCGTAGGCAATACCTTGAACATATACGAAATCGCGCTCCATAAATATATTAAGGTAACTTTATTATTAAAGCAGTTTTTATAAATTTTTTTGACAGAGATGGTTGGAAGGAAAAGGACCGGAAAATTTCCAAAAATTGGAATGGCAAATGAGGGCACTGTTTGTTGGCGAGGAGGAAATCTTAAACAATTTCGATTACCAAACTATCCCTTTGAAAAAAAATTCTCTCACATTGGATTATTCTCTACCTGTGAATTATAGCGAACTGAATTATCGTGATTCCAAATGTTTGGAGTTTACCCGATATGATGGACAAAAGGCCAGATTGATGATCTGTTATACCAAGGGAAATATTTTTTCTAGAAATGACAGACTTTTTTTCTACAAAGTCTAAATTATTGTAACTTGTGTAGTGATAAATGAAGTGTTCATTCGAATATATGTAAGAATTATTAAAACAAATATACGGTTGCTTATTTTATATAATCTCCGATCTGTAAGTTACAAACACAAACAAATAGATAATTCTGCGTTGCAATGTGAAAATATTGTTTAGGAGGAAATTCTGTACAAAAAATTATGTTAATACACATATGAGCGACGAAGTAATGTGATCACCAAAATGCAGAAACTGTTTGTTGAATTTGGACTGTTTGAAAATTCTGGCCCCGCCCAGAATTCAACGTCCCCGAAGGAACAAATTTTTGTGTGGCAAGAAACGAAGTTATCAGTCAGAAGCTCTTCATCGCCGCCCAAATGGACGGCTAGAGCCTTCTGTCATCACTTAACTCCGGCCCTTCGCAAGGGCAATGCTCCCGACTCCCCTCCTACGGCCGCGCCGTCTTAATGGGAAAAGAAAACCCCCCAATACCTCCCACGCGGCCGCGCCGCCAATTTGGGGAACTCTACCAAGTTAAACTACATACCTGGGAGGTTCTCTTCCCCTTGGATCGCGCATCTCCTTCCTCCGCGAGATCGCTCCATAATCCGCAATCAGAATAATAGGCTTTGAATCCCGTTAGAAAGAAAAAGAAAAACTAAAAAACAACGTTTTTTAAAAACCTCCTAACGCCGCCGCTAGGTTACTGTCGCTCCGCGCCGCGAGAAATCCAAGCGGCATTACTGTGCCGGCCTTTAACTTCTCCCCCTGCGCCTCCTTCGCGCCCGTTGTCTTTCCCTCAGCGCGCGTTATCTCTACCCTTTGGCGCGCGCTCTCTCCGTTCACACACTCTCTCTCCGCGAGAGATATTTATCGAATTCCCTCATTTTTTTCCTCCTTTTTCGTCGAATTCCCGCGGAATTTGACAGACTGTCGATTGACGCAAAAGTCATATTGACCGAATTTGCGAAATCAAATGTTCTGAATTTAACTATAAATGATAAATTATCTTTATTTGACAAACTGTGGACGTCCTGGTGTCTATTTTTAATGTTACCATTTTTCGATCTCAAAAAATGGGTGGTATCAAAATGCAAAATAGTCTCGGAACGCTAAATTCGGATTAGCAGAATCTATTGTATTGTTTCATTTTTTGATGTACGAATCCATTTCTTCCAATAATTAATTTTGAGTATTAAATAATCGTTGTGATTGAAATGGTCGACGTATTTGTTACATTAAAAGTTTTTGTCAAAAATTTGAAGGATGTTCACATTCCCACGTTAGTGCGATTCCTGATCGAATTATAAATTTATGTATAAAAGACGTCGTTATTTTTCGCAGAAGTATTTCAGATTGGAAATGCGTCATTTCTTGGTGAGTTTTAAATTCCTGAAACTTTTTGACAAATTGTAATATTATTCAATTTCAGTTCCTCTCCGTTCTGTTCTTCTGTTTCTTCAGTCAATACTTGTGCCGAATTTCACGCTGCGATACTGATAGCGACTGTTTTTCCTACAAAGTTTGCCGCAAAGGCTATTGCGAATTCCGAGATGACTTATTGAAATGTCGCTACACTCGTGATTGCCCAGGACCAAGCCTCTGTTTCCGTAATCATTGTATTCCTCGTTTCTATAACAAGGATACAAATTCAAGATTGGGAGTTACTCATTAATGCAATGAAACTTTGAATAAACTTTTTTTTCGAGTGTAGAAACATTAAAAATAGATGAATGTCGAGTTTGGAATATTTTTCGATTATCAGCAGCAATCAGATTTTCGCACTTTATAAAATGTACCACTCAAATATCAGTATTACAGTTTCAAAAACTTCGCGACAGCAGATACAAAAGTAGTAACGCTGACGAAAAATAGTTTCGACGAGAATAACTTCTGCTGTGGAGTGCATTTTCACTTTCATGAACTGAGCAATTTTACATTTCTTTTCAGCAGTGCATCTAAATAGCTTTTTTTCAGATAATTTTTTACTCTGAACCGTTAAATATCATTAAATATCATTAATACGATGGAATTTTAAAGAATTAAAACAAACTAGAATCTCAAAAATAAAAATGAAATGTTTAATTAAGTAATTTATTAACAATATATAAATCTTAATATTAAAATGAAATCCCGCATTTTCAATTTTTGATATTGAATAGCACACGTTCAAATTCTGTACAGAATGAGTCGCCCATCATTTTTATTAGAGTCGGTCGGGGTGGGACTCATTATCAGTCTCATCTTCAGTCCATCGTTTCTCGTAAATAAAAAACGTTTTGAAATCAACAAATTTCTGAAATTTGAGAGATTTATTGGCTAAATGTTAACAACAAACCGAGAATTTTCCGGAAGAGGGACTATTTTGTACATCAAATCTTGTACGATTTTCTGTTCGTCAATCGGAATGGGGTCAGTGTAGATAATTTCTAGCTTTTCGAAATCTTTCGCGCCCCCTCCTTCAAGCCATCTCTGCCAAAATTTATTTAAATTTACTAAAATTAATTTAAATTTACCTTGATGAATTGATTGATCACGTTCTCGTCAACTATTAACTCTGAGTTAAGCGGATCTCTGAAAGTCATTATACGACAGTTCAAACCCAAAAAAACATCTGGAGCCAATTTTGGATGACAGGTAATATTCAAGCTTGGTACATTGCGTATCTAAAATATCAAACAATGCGATGGTTTAAGTTGAGACTAGAAACCGTTGGGTGTTTTAATACTTCAGGGTCCATATTCTCAGTCATCTTAAATCTCAATTGTTTCACATTTTTTACCATATCTAAATGGTTTTCGAACGTTTCTTTAGTGAAATAATGTGGATGGAAAAGCCTCACATTTTTTACAAGGTCTTTTTCAAAGTGAAGATCCTAAAACTCATTATCAATTTTTTACATTTTTTTCGAAATTCTTACTGTGCTCGTATACAATTTCTTAACATGGTTGCCTGTAACTAATTTCTTCAGAAAATTTTTGATTTGAAATCGATAGTCCGTATTCATCATAAGAACAATTCTAGCTTTTGTGTGAGCATATCTGTTTTCGTTTCTGAAATTTCTTAAGTTTATGAATCCTTTTAATAGCGCAAGAAATCAAAAAATTACCGTAAGATACTGGTGTTACCATCTTCTTCACGGAAATAAATATCGTATGTCTTCCCTTCTTCCTCATATTTTACTTTTATGTTAATATCAATACTCGAATTCTGTAATTCGAAATTACTAACCGCACCAAATTAGTGTTTTCTACATTGCATCCGTAGTCTCTGCTCACTTCCTGTACATAAATAGAATCGATTGTTCTAGGCGTATTCTCTTCAATGCTCTTTAAGTATTTCGAGCACTTCGAGAGTGATCTCCGGGATTCGAAATCCAACCAAGAAATTATTTTAATGTGAACAAAGGAATCGAGTTTACCCAAAGAAGTCATTTTCCCTGCTTATCTACGCTGAAACGAAAATTCGATAAAATATAGGTTAAAATTAAAAGAAGCTGGTATTAGAAAGGAAAGAAACAATATCAAGAAAAAGCAAACAAAAGTTGTTTCAAAATAAAAAATTTAAAAAACCGCACTCGTAAAACGACAAAATAACGAACGTGTCCCGCAACGATTTATTTGCAGCAGAGCGGGATTGCTTTATATATTAATGCGAAAACAACTCAAAACGTTTTGAAGGAATTTTTTGCAATTGTCCAAAAGCATGTTGCAATTACGCTCTATCGTGAATCGTTGTGAGACATGCAAAATGTTTTGTCGTTTTGAAATCTCGTTTTTTATTTATTCCTTCGATTTTTTCATTTTGCTATTTTTGCTTTGCAGCTTTTCTCTATTTTCTGGTGTTTTAATGTAGCGGTTCCTGTTATGCTCATGCTCTCATATTTCCCAAATGAAATTAGAATCTTGCTCAGTTTTCATATTCTATTCTTTTCATGCCACTTATTGTTTTTCAGTTTTCTCATAGATTTTTCATATTTTCAGGAAAAATGACTACTTTGGGTAAACTCGATTCGTTAGTTTATATCAAAATAATATCTTTGTTGGATTTTGAATCCAGAAGATCGCTCTCGAAGTGTTCTAAGTACTTGAAGAGTATTGAAGAGAACATCCCCAAAACAATCGATTCTATTTACGTACAAGAAGTGAGCAGCGACTATGGGAATAAGGTTTCAACGATTATTTCTTTTGATTAATAGTCCACAATTGCAGAAAGCTAGAAATGACATTAATATAAAGGTAAAATATGAGGAAGAAGGGAGGAACTATGATATTTATTTTCGCAAAGAAGGTAGAAACACAAGTATCCTACGGTAAAATTTTGCCTTCCACCATTTTTTAAAGTGATTTCTCTTAAAATTAAACTCTTTTCAGAAACGAAAGCAGAGAAAATCCCACAAGAGTGAGAATTGTTCTAATGATGAATACGGATTATCGCGTTCAAGTTCAAGAGTTTCTGAAGAAATTGGTTAAAGGCAATCAGCTGGCAAAACTCTACATGTGTGCAGTATGATTCTCAAAAATAGTGCGCGATTAATAGCTGGGTTTTTTTTCAGGAGGTCCCGTTTGATAAAGATCTTGTAAAAAGTGTGGCGCTGCTTCATTTGAACTATTTCACTAGAGACACATTTGAAAATCACCTGAATATGGTGAAAAATGTGAAACAGTTGAGATTTCAAATGACTGAGAACATGGACCCTGAAGTATTAAAACACCCAACGGTTTCTAGTTTCAACTTAAACCATCGCATTGCTTGATATTTTAGATTCGCAATGTGACAAACTTGAATATTTATTGCCCTCCAAAATTGGCTCCAGATGTTTTTTTGGGTTTGAACTGTCGTATAATGACTTTCAGAGATCCGCTTAACTCAGAATTAATAGTTGACGAGAACGTGATCAATCAATTCATCAAGGTAAATTTAAATTAATTTTAGTAAATTTAAATAGATTTTGGCAGAGATGGCTTGAAGGAGGGGGCGCGAAAGATTTCGAAAAGCTAGAAATTATCTACACTGACCCCATTCCGATTGACGAACAGAAAATCGTACAAGATTTGATGTACAAAATAGTCCCTCTTCCGGAAAATTCTCGGTTTGTTGTTAACATTTAGCCAATAAATCTCTCAAATTTCAGAAATTTGTTGATTTCAAAACGTTTTTTATTTACGAGAAAAGATGGGCAGAAGATCAGAATGATTCTGAGTCCCACCCCGACCAACTCTAATAAAAAAGATGGTCGAATTATTCTGTACAGAATCTGAACGTGTGCTATTCAATATCAAAAATTGAAAATGCGGGATTGTTTTGTTAATGTTTTTTTTTTTTTTTCATAATTTTTCTATAAGTTATAAAACTGCCACTTGCTGGACGACATTTGCCGATATGTGTCAGTTTTTAAGTTGGTTCGCTAAATAACAAAAAAATCATAGCAGCTAAAATACCTTTGTCTAAATGAAACCTGGAAAAGCGTTTTGTTCGTACCATCCCAATTCCACGACCCCGTGTATCATATCACTTGTTTATTGTACACCTCACTCCCTTTATTTTACCTGTTTTATTTTGAATTCATTTTCTTGTTTCATACGATTGTCTTCTATGTAATTTTCCGACTATTTACTTAATGAACAACTAATCTTTTTAGTATTGAGGCGGTTCATCATAACTCAAGTTTATTGAAATAAAAAATTGTATTATATCGTAAGAAATTTATTTGCTTAACTTCATTAGAGCTTAGATACTTATTTAACAGAAGGTTATTAATTTGAGAATACACTGAAACATGCACATAAAACGCAATATATCGGATTTTTAGAATACTTCTGAAAATTATTCAACCAGTAGAAGAAACCATAAAAATCATGAACTCGATGTAAAGCATTCTGTAGCATCACATTAATTTAGGTGACACATATAGCAACGAAATATTAGATAAACACTATTCAAAATGATTAGCAAACGAAAAATAACTAAAATATAATCGATTTTGAAATTTTCGATCACTAAATTTTTCTTCTCAATCTTTCGAGCATCTTTTGGCGCTGTAGTTCAGAATCAATAAGAAGAACTGCAAAAACCGTTTCATAGTCAAATGATTATATAGGGACGAACCAAGACAATTGGCAGAATTGAAACAACCGTCGTAGTCCAGGCGAATGCAATTTGCTCAGACAAGTAACTTCCTAATGTTGGTCCAATAAATGATCTAAAAGTTTACACAATGCATTCCTTTTAATTTCATTAAATACCCAAATCCAAAAGCGGATTGGAAAATTCCAGAAATACATCCGTAAGTGCGGTAGTTATCTTTGAAGTCATGCTCCCTAAAAGTTATTATTATTAATTTAAAAATGTGTGTTGGGCATGTTTGTACTTCACTGAATCAAGGCACATCTGAAAAGCTGGGACGTAAAGACAACTTGACGAAATACCAAGAATGAAAAGTGCCACACCAGTGTAGATGAGACTTCTAAAACATTTCCTTAGTGTGTTGAAAGTTTCTCATAAATGGCTCACGGTTGAAGATATGGATTGAAAAGAGGGGATGGTCCAATGAGAAGGAGTCCAATTGCGGTGAAAATGGCACCAACTAATGTTAGCAAGGTGCCGTGATTGTAATGATCGACCAGTGGACCCAATAAGGGAGACGAAACAGCATATGATCCTCCACTCAGAAAGAACATAAAACCAATCTGAGTTGTGCTTAATTTGAACTGAAAATAGATAAATATATCAAACGGACTATTTCAGATTTTAAAAACCGTTTCTAGATGTGGGGGCAATGCAGGATCAAGATAAGAAAGTGAAACGGCACAACAGAAAACAGCAAATAAAGATAACCAAATGTCTCGAATTTTGAGCATTGCTAGAATTCCTTTACCGTCGTCTTCTATAATGGTTTCTGAAAATCAATCAAGTTAATCATTATGTGCTAAAACTCTTATATTTGTTACGTACCGCTTTTATATTTGATCAACATTGCTCCACACATTGTATTCACAATAAGCACGAGTCCAAGAATCAAAAATGGAACCATAAATCCACCCATGTCATATAGTATTCCTCCAATCATTGGACCAACTGAGTAACCCAAACCGGCAAATGTTTCCATCAGGGCCTCAAGAGTAACACATTGAACAAGAAGCGAAACAGTTCCAACTCACAAGAACAAAAGCCACATTTTTTGGAAATTGATTGACAGCGATAACGAAACTCGATGTCACAAATGCAGCATCTCCGAATGTTTCAAAAATGCGTATAAATGAACTTCCAAAGAAGAATAGTAGGCCATTTGGTAGAAAAATCAGCATTCTAAATACCGGTTTTATGTGAATTGCTTGAATATTTTCTAGAGTATTCACCCGAATATTATGGCCGTTATTCCTGTCATAATTTGTCCAAAAATATACATGCGGAAAATTCCAAAGCGATGAATCTACAAGAATAAAAATTCATAAATGACACAAAATTGAAACATACGTATACTCCAAGAAATGGTGCTGTGAGAAACATCACAAATTCAAAAATTCCGAACACAATACCAGTTTGAGTTTCAGAAAGCAATTTGCTCTTTGCGACCGCTGGATAGAAAGGTGCGATGCAAGAAAATGCTGTAGTCGAGCAGAGATTCGAAGAGCAAAGAATTGCGATCGTAATAAGTTGGGAAGCATTGAAAGATTTGATATTATCTATCCAATCCTGCAAATGTTTCACATTTGTGTTGGTGAGATAATAAAAATGCAAACGCACCCTGATGAACCCTTTGGCCGGCTCTTCCTCAAGACTCTCTCTTAAATAATTGAATTAAAAATAATTATAGAGTAACATTTTAAAGCTTATTTTAAACGTCCAATTTATTTCAAACTTCTGATTTAAATAAAAAATATAATTACATATGTGTCATGTGTCTCAAGATGAATGGAAATGTATAAAATACAATACTGTGTAACGTGTTTTACAGTATTAGGATAGTAACTTATCTTAACGCGTAGATTCACTCATAAGTAAATCCACTATGTTTTTGCAAAAAAAAGAAGACTACCTGCATTATGTCGTTTCCAGCAGTAAATTCAATAGAAATGTTTAGTATGTTATGTTTGATAATGTCTTACGTTTCGTCGTCATTGTCCGAACTCGAAGAGTTGGATTCTTGGAGATTTGAAGATGTGCTTCCGTAAGTTTGATAGCACTCGTTTTCTCTTGGATCAATTGATACTTGAGTAGAGAATGGCATAAAAGGGCTTATAATAGGTGGTCTGAAATGCCATTTCAATATTTCTGAACAAAACTTTCTTGTGAATTATCTGACCTTGCCTTTGCACTCATTCGTGAAGAATTACTAGTGATGCTGATTACTGAGATACTATCCGAAAGTAAATCCGGCATTTTTTACCTAAGAAATGAAGGGAATAATTATGAGAAAGCAGAACTGAAAAATGTCTCAAGAAAAATGGATTTTAAAAAATTGATTGACGTTGTATGAGTGATTCATAACAAGAAGAGGAATAGTCAACTAAAAAGAAACCACAGTGAGTCATGGCTAACAAATTATTGATTGAGATATTGGAGCAGTAACTATAAGGTTATATTTATTGGAGCATTCCACGTTCAACTCTAAAATCCGAAACAAGATTATACTGCAAAGTGTAACCGCCTTAATATTTCAACTGTAAAAAATCTATTGTTTAAATAACTGTTTGGAGCACGAATATGTGATGCGATGAGGTCGCGGAATGTTATTTAATAGAGACAAGAGAAAACAAAGATAACTGGGATGACAGCAGCAAAACAAGTAGGTCAAATATCTGATGAATATGGTACTTGCAGAGCTGACGAATGTGTGGAAAATGTTTACTTGTGACAAAAGATGAAAATTATTGATAAATTGATTTCTTGAGAATCAATCGGGAAAAAATTTATAACAAAGAGAAACGATTGACGATAGAAAATTCGAATGAAATTGAAGAAGTAGTATGACTTTCTGGATGACTTTCGGTTTTTAAAAATTATTTTGAATTTATTCAGAAAGTTTTTCGAAAACATAAAAAATTAAAGAATATAATGAGACTGAGGGAAATTTTTAAAAAAATTACGATACATTTAATGAAACTTAGATTTATTAACGACCATGAAAAACTTAATAAAATTTCTGGAAACTTTTCAGTCAAAAAAAGTTTGTTATTTTACGGTTGATGACACTACTCGTGATGAGAATAATATCAGACGAATAGAAGAATACCTATTTTCGATTTGGTACATCCAAAAATGGGAGAAAAATGGAAATTCGAGAATTTGATGTTTTGCAACACAAACTATTGTGGGGAAATGGCCGTGATTCATTATTGATCTTGGTAAGTGTGATGTTAAACAATGGGATGTGACACGAATTATTTTATGGAAAACACTTCGAATCTCAATATGCTGGAACACACGAAAACGGCATGTTAAAAAAAACATGATATCACTGCGTTAAATTGTCGACAATCATCTCATTTAGCAGCTTCATAAATCACTTACTTTGCTTCATTATAAAAATAGTCAAAGCGACGTACAATGCAGAGAAAGAAATGGAATGAAGCGTGAAATAAAAACGAATTGGTTTGCGAGACCAACAAGTGTGATTTGACAAGGCTTCTGTTGGAACATTTTAATCAAATCATAATCAATAGCATATCGCGTCACAATGATTTCAAGCATCACTGAACTTCCTTCAGAGAATCAGGCATGTTTTCCTTTTTTCGAGGCAAGACCGATAAAACTTACCGCAATTTCGATTTGATAGGTGCCCCAGCCATTGTATTGAATCGACGCCGTCTTCTCTTCTTTTTGCGAACCAGCTCGTTACGTCCAATCTGTAATAATTTGCTAGACATGTATTAGTTAGCGATATGAAGGTTCAGAAGTATTCTAGTATATTTTATGAAAAAAATTCTATTGGAATTATAAACAAACTGTTAGCAAAATACACAACTATCTCAAAGAACAATTATTTTAAACCCTGCAAAATAGTAAATTTTAACCGATAATACATTGTCGTAATCCGCCAAATTTATTTTTCGCGTTTTTTTGCTTGCAATTGTTTTTAACGAATTGTTTCGTGATTTGACAGATATTCGAGCTATTCAATTAATCCCATTTAAGGGAATAAAAAAAAGAAAAACAATCTTCCATTAAGGTTGAATACTTACTTCCGACCTGGTGGTAGAGTGCGGCGGATTGTTAAAATATTCGACACCTTCTTCGTATCCCACAACAGTCGGTAGAGAACTAAACACAGCTGCTAGAAACAAACTTTTTCCTTACAACTTACCTCGATGGATGCAGCAATGGCGTTCTTTCGTTTTCACTCATCATTGTATTTGAAGCTGGCCGCGTTTTTAGTAGCTATAGATCGAAATCATAAAAATAAAACAAATAGAAAATATTATATTTCAATGTTTATATAATATGGGCAAAAAAAATAAATCTTGTTCAGTTCTGTTATTCTAGTTTCAGCGGCGTGGCAAAACAATAAATGCACCCGTTTACTATTGATGTATGATGTATAAATTGTCTGATAATGTTACCCACCTTTTCCTGTTTGATTTTTGGATAAATAAGTTTCAATTGCTTGTTATTTGGACTAGATTGTATTCCATTTTCCAACAAGCTTTGCGTTTCGTCATTTTCAAACTGAAACAATGAGAAAAAAAAAATGAAAACAGTAACAATGTCAAATTTACGAGATTTTCCGCACTGCTTGAGACATCCAATGGATCCTGAAAAAAATGAATTTGTTAATGAAAAATGACAACGAAAAACCTGTGTGTATGAATGACGTTTTCCTCCACTCATATTTAGCCAATGACACTAGAAAAGAAGACTTGTGACGGACCAACAAATCAATAAGTAAATTCTTATCAGTGTTCATATCAACAATGAACCGTTAATGATGATAACAGAAGTCACAAACTATGTTCTATTAAATGCAAACTTATATTAGCCATAATGTGCTTTGTGAGTAAAGTAAACTCTCAGGGAGTTAAGTCAAAAAATTTCTGCGCAGACTTTACATTTATTATCATTTTTCAACAATACTCCTATAGGTCTCAGGTAAATGAAAATCAATCAGATTCGAAGAAACATTAAATGTAAATGAACCTGTTTCGATTGTAAAATAATTCAAATTCGAAAAAAACAAGAAAACGCTTAAATTCGATATGTAATCTTGGTTTCGATTCAAAAATCTTCGAAAAAGATTGATTTATTTCTCATTCTCAATTTTGATATCGTATTCAACTGAAGTTTTGGAATAATTCGAAACAGATTAATTTACATTCGATTTATATTGAAAACGAAATTATTTTCGAATCCGATTGATTTTCATTTGCCTGAGATATTATTCCAAAATGCTGCTAGAAATTTCTTTCTGAAAGCTCAGGCTCAGACTCAGCATATGTTAAACGTAGTAAACAAAAGGACATTAGAGGAAAGAAATTGACTGGTTACTGAACTCTTACAAAAACAGAATAATATTATAAATAATTATTAACAAACCTATAAGTAATGAGAAATTAACGCATACAAAATTTTCAGTGATTAAAATAATTCTATGCGCCATAATTTCCTCAAAAAATTTGTAAGAAATGTATAATCTTTTTTTGTATAAGAATGTTATTAAAAAAACTTGTTTTGGTTCTATTGTTCTGTTTTAGCCAGTTTAACTTTATTTTTTCGTTTTTATTTGTACATTGTAACATTTCGCGTTTGAGTCGTAATGTGGTTATCTCGAATACTTAACTCTATTATATGCATTTTACAAAACAATTTTTTAATATGTGAATAAATAATATAATATACATATTCCCTTTTTATCATCAAGTCCGAGAAAAATTTTAAAATAATTTGAAATTGATTAGATTTGCTCCCGCCAACAAAACTCAACAAATACATATACATATTTTCACAATTTGGATAATCGATATTTAAGAACATGAGTTTTCATTAAGAGGTTAATTTTACTTAAATAATCTGAAATTTTATTGAACAAATATTAAAAATTTTTCTCGATCGTCAACATTACCTGTTTTCTGAAAAGGTTTTCATTATAAAGCGATTAAAAAATTTAGATTTTTGTCGCCTACTCCTACTCGATGCTCATGATTTTTGACCAATGAAAAGATATATTGCAACTCTTCTCGAAGGACAACTCGAAACCAAAACGTATTGCGGATATTCCCCGGTGGTTGTTTTTTCTTTTTGCCGAGGCAACGTCATTTAAAGACAACTTTTTTTTGTGATTCTCGGTATTTTCAAGGATAATCATATTCAAATTATAATCTTATACAATCTACTACATTACAATTATGAGTGAGTCAGCAAAAATGAACTTCTACGGTACATCTAAATAAATTTGCCAAATTTCATTACAGGGTTTACGGCGCATACGTGTATAATGTGAATACTACTAGTTGTATTTGATTTGTAGATAAATAAAGCCGCTATTCATAAATTGTAGGGTGCTCGAGATTGTCATTCATTCATCTTTTCACCTTGAAGGCTCATCAAGCTATAAGACATAGAGACAGAAATAAATCTGCTTTTCTGCCGTCTGTAAGCAATTATTTCCAAAATGTCACGACGTTATTCGAAATGGAAAGATCTGCATTTAGGCTCTCATTACACATTTCACTCAGGTTTGATATTAAGTGGGTTTCCAGGTTAATGCACTCAATCTAAACCAAGTAGCATTTAAAGAATATGCAAACATTTAATTAAACTCAAACTCATATGAGAAAAAATAATAATAACAGAAATCGATACTTTTTACATCTTGCTACATCTTGTTTAATTATTTCCACCTGAACAGCTTGGTTCTATATTTTTCAGAATAATTTTCAACGGGGTGGTAAACAATTTTGCTATGAATTTGTAGATGCTTTTGAACCAACCTTATTTTGTTTTCCTGATCAATCTACCTGAGTTCCATTTCAATACAATTTTGTCACTATTTTCTATGGAATCAAACACTAAGTTTTATCGAGTTAAGAAAGCCAATTCCACTAAGTAACATGTCGTAAAATGCATACTCATTTAATCCCTGAATTGTGATTCTTTATCGCTGCATGCTAAGCGTATATCCACATTTATTAAAAAAAAACAAAATTTTAATTATTTTTTGGTAGCACATTTAATAGCAGAACATATATCCATCCTTCGACGTTAATTGCTGCTTTTACGATTGTCCAATTATTCTGGACGATCTTCATACAGAAATATCAAACCGTTCATCATAAAAATCACAAAACATTTATATGATGGAAAAGAAACGAGATATCTAGTAAATTAATGTCAATTCTGAGTTGCGCAAAAAAGTAAACTGCTCAGAGTTTTTGAGCAGTGCGATGCTTAATGTGTCAGAATGCATTTTCAAGACCTCTGCCAGACAAATCTTTCATTTATCCTGCAAGTTCATCAAGAGTGCTTTTTCGGTTCATTTCGAGCATTACTATTTCTTTTCTAATTTCCCATTTTCGTGTTTTTTTTCGTCCGTCCACCCACAATAGATTTATTTATTGCGTAAGGAATTTCGCCAAAAAAAAATGTATTCTATTCTCGACGAAAAGAAAAAAACGGGAAACTAATCAGCTGAGCCATTTCGCTGACAATATATGTACGTCTACTTTTCTCGACTCTAATCTGATTTCCATTCCTTTAATTTCCATTGAATCATTTTCTTGAAATACTCGCTGTTTTGCCTACCATTATTATTTATATTGTTAATGAGTGCCCACCACGGAATTCAAAATTTAATTAAAAAAAGAAAATTGTGGTGCAATTAAAAAAAAAGTCGAGCAATTTCATGAAACACATTAGTTTTATACATTGCAACCATCAAAGGTTGGGCTTGTCACGAATTGGTATAACGAAAATGGACGACATTTAAACCCATTAACTTTGTAGGAAATTGACTAGACATTGTAGATTCATTTTGTCAGTTTACCTCCAAAAAAATTCACCGTAAAACTGAAACTTAGGATTCTTCACTTTTTGTTTTCACCTTTGAAATGATTATTTTCAGACCGATATCTCGAGGATAATGATGCATCGAAGACTTTAGAAAAAAATTCTCAACAACCTGGTTAACACTAATTCTTTTTCAGAGGGTTTTAAAAGTTTTTTTTTGTTTCTTCCAAATTTTTAAAATTTTTGTTTGAAAAATCTATCTAGCTGTATCAAATAATTGTCTTTCTTGTTCAAGTGCGATGACTTGTCATTCGAAAAACATATTTTTCGAATGATTTGTAATCTCTTAAACATTCTTTGGATTTAATCGTATTACTTATAAGTTTTCGTCATCCGTCCAATCATTAGTGTTTAGATGAAATCGCGCGTTATTAAACTGGCACGGAAATCCAACTAATCCCTCGTAATTCCTTCACCGCTCTACTAATTTATGCATACTGGCTGTTCATTCATTCATTGTCAACATATTCTCACGAGAAACGTTTCGGATTTCTTGAAATTATCAAATTTAATCTAGATCGTTTTCATATACGTCATATTTTCAAATATAAAACAAAAATACATTGGATAGGATTTCTTAGGTATAAAGAGGAAAAAAAAACAAATTTTCATCTGCTGGACTGCCGTGTGTAGATTTTTCACCAAGTTCAAAATCAATTTTCAAATTGTGATATTTTTTCCATGTTTGGTTTCCAATATTTTTTTCATTTTTTAGAAACCATACGTAAGGAATTTAATAAACAAAATCGTACAGAAATGAAATATACGTTATGTGAATCATCGTTATTGAATTTTTATCATCAATTCATGTAACAACAAAAATATTCACATTCCAACCTTTATATTACAATAGTCTTGAAATCAAAATGGTCTCATCTCAATAATAACAAACTGTTTTTTTATAACTAAATTCTTAATGAGAGCAAAAATCATGGTTTCTAGACGATGAGGGACATTTTTACGACATCATTATGAGTTGGGAATTGATTTTGTGACTAACAACTGCTATTCTCACACTCTCATTCAATCATTCAGCCACCATCACATTCAATTGGCAGAATGTTTTATTTCTTTGTCAACAACATGCTACCAATCATTTTGATACTCTTTCAGGTGATATATTTTTTATTACCTATATCTTAAAAGTTTCTAGAAAAAAAATGAAAGTTTGTTTTATTACGAAAACCATTATATTGTTTGTTAATTGCAAAACAACAAACGTTGAATATTTTGAACTAACATTTAAGTTCTTTTTTGTTCGCACATTTATTAACTTGTCTTTTTGCAAACCATTAAAAAATCTCAATATAAAAAAATGTATATTTATATAGAGTATCATATAAAACCATGTTCAATAGATTATTCTGAATATTCAGTTCTTGTGAAATTTGTGACTTGTGTTAAGTTCAAAAACCGAATACATTTCTACATGGATGTGATTCATTGAATTCTTCTTTCTATACCATTTCATTTCTTCTCAGTAAACACTTTTAGTTTTAGGCGTTTCATTATTTCTATGGATTGCGTTTACAACATAACCATCAAATCAAACATTAATCAATTTTCCAAACAGTTTATCATGATAATTTGTGCTTAGGAACCGGATTACTCAAATCTTGGCACACCATTATTTGCATTTGCATTCTCTTGAGTAAATATCTAGTCGAGTTGAAAAGTAGTTTATAACCCAACGTTATATCTCATCCACTTTCTTTTTCAAATTTGGTTATAATAATCGAACGTATGGGAATCGGGAACAATTTATTTGTTTATTTGTGATTCTTAGCGATGCTGTTTATTTTAGTCAAAGCCAATTATTCGACCAAAAATCCGTTTGAAATGAAATAATCTTTTTTTTGCTCTCGCTGGATACGAGCTATGTCTTTGCGGCTTGCATGCTTTTCCCTTATTGATAATACTCTTTTTGTTTTGCGGCAAACACGGCGAATAGCCACCACCCCCTCTCTACCCCTATAAATCTTTTATTATTTATTTTTGCTTCTCATCCATTCTCCCATATTGTTATAAATGTTGAAAAAAAAACATGCTCAAGGCAGCCCAAACATTTTTTCTACGACATGTGGCTGGCTGATCAGTTTTATTTCAGGCTCGCAATGTCGTTAAGCGAAAACCACATGGACTATTGTGCAACTACGAAACCCCCATTTGTCAGCTTGTAATATTTTGCGAACTTGCAATAATTTCTACCAATGTTTGTCTGCAGGGGTATTCATTAATCAAGCATGTTTATCCCCTTGGTCTCTTTCGGCTTCTTTTTTTTAAAAGATCACCCTAAATCATTGGCATGGTTTCAAAACTAATCCCGCCAGTAACATTTTTATTCTGAACGTATGCCCAAAATCTATAAGCTTACCGACGTCTTGGTTCTTGAGCTTATGCTACATTGCAAAACCAACCAAAATGATTTAGTTTAAAGAAACTGATGCTAATCAAGCAGTATTAATAGCAATCCGCAATATCATCTAAATCGAAAACGTTTTTATTATATTCTATAGGAAGTTTGTAATAGAAAAGTAGGGGTCCATGAAAAGAAAATTGCTAAAACATTATGCATATTCATAAACCTTTATGACTAGTATTAACCCGTTATATATGGTAGTAGAGAAAGAATGTTCTGCTCCAAGCAACACTTTCTGGAAAAATTTTACGCTAGCAGATTATATATGTATATATACATATTTTTTTTATTAATCTTTAGCTAAAATTCCCTCTATTCCAGAAACTCTTATAAACTATCGACGAAATTTTAATCAGTTTTCAAGCGGACTACTTACAAAAAATCATTGATCAAACGAATTGATCAATTTTTGCTTGTTCTTCTCCACATGATGTGATTTCGGCTCATTTATTTTTAGTTTGATATTTTTTCGAGGACATGTGCTCGTGCCCACACTTCCTCTTTTTCTTCGTTAGTTTTGTCACTTTCTTTCAAATCAGCCAAATAACCATGGATACCAAAATGTTATATCTTAATGCCGTTATTCTTGCAATTTATACACATGCTTATATTACCTTTGACATGTTTATATAACCTTTTTTTACCCACTTGAAACAATATTTATATATACACATTGTTGAATTTTATATCAAAATTATTTCAGAACAAAAGTATTAAATGGGCAAAAATCAGAGTAAACCAACATCTCCAAAGAAGAAGAAGGCTAACAAAAAACTTACATCGGAAGAAGCCGCTGAACTCGAGCAAACTACCTATTGTACTTATCAAGAAAATAATTCTCGAAAACACATTTTTCTATTTTAGTTACTCGAAAAGAACTCAAAAAATGGTACAAAGATTTCATTAGAGATTGCCCGACTGGAGAATTGAGAATGGAAGAGTTCCAAGGAATTTATAAACAATTTTTCCCGAATGGCGATCCTTCGAAATTTGCTGCATTTGTCTTTAATGTCTTCGATGACAATCAGGTTTAGAAATCTAGCAAAAAGTAATAACATTTAAATATTTTCTAGGATGGGCATATTTCATTTAAGGAGTTTATCGCCGCGTTATCAATCACCTCAAGGGGAACCTTGGACGAGAAATTGGATTGTATAAATAAATTGTAATGAATATTTTAAATTTTAATATTTTTAGGGGCTTTCTCTTTGTACGACGTTGACAAGGATGGATTTATCACTAAAGATGAAATGGCCAATATTGTGGATGCTATATATAGGTAAGACATATTTCGTTTAATTATGTTCGAACTATAAATCAGTTAAAAGTGAGAACAGTTTTATAATATGTTATCAGGGAACGGACAGTTTGATATAAATTTTAATGGCACATTTTCAGCATGATCGGGAATATGCTCGAACTTCCCAAAGACGAGGACACCCCTCAAAAACGAGTAGAGAAAATCTTTACAAACATGGACAAGGTGAATGAAATATTCAGGGTTTTACGTAATCTGAATCGTTCAGAATTTCGATGGTCAACTGACTAGAGAGGAATTCAAAGAGGGCTCAAAAGCTGACCCATGGATTGTACAAGCTTTAACGATGGACATGACGTCAAGCAATTGATGGCAGAATGATTGCAAACACATCTATAATTTTTATTTGGTTTCATATCAATTTAAAACAATTATTGATTTTTATAAGCATCAATTCATTCCGTCGTTTCATTTATTTCGAAATCAACTAATATTTATATTTTAACATCGCGTTTAAGAATTGTTTTTATAATAATATGAAAAATACTTTGCCGATCTCATAATATGTCCGCTTTGAAAATATCCGAAAAAATATATTAAAATTATTATATAATAAATGTGTGTTAATAGAGTAGATCAACTCGGTGGATGATTTATTCGATAATTTTAAAATATACAATAAATTGCAGTGAAAATAAATTGTTTGTTTGGCAAATTTTGGCAAATTGGAAAAAGACAAGTTCAATGGTATCCGGATCGATAGGAAGATTGAAATGACTATATGCTGGTTGGATAAACGCTACGCCATTTTTTTCCAATTAAATAGACGAAACGGAAAAATATAAGGAAATGAATTTTCATATAAATAGAAATTATCTGAAAGAAATATGACTGTTGTTTTAGGATAGAATAATATTAAAATTCAATTTTAAAAGGAAACAGCTTAAAGTTATTATTGATCTTTCTTCATGAATGCTCCGAACATCTCCACTGGGACTGGGAAAACAATAGTAGAGTTGTGCTCAGCTCTGCAATTATTTCGCTATTTGTTCAATAATTTTTGTGGGTAATTTACGCAATGCTGTTGAGAGCTTGCAAGTGCCTAAGCTGAAGCGCTACTGGATTTGCCTGGATGACATCAGCGGCTTCTTTAAGAGCTCGAGAAGCCTGAAAAATAATTCGCTGTGCGATGTACTTATGGATCAGAATCATACCTTTTGTTCTCCTTCAGCGGCGACGACTTTAGCACGGGCCTCACGAGCAGCTTCGGCTTCGGCAGCCATAGCACGTGTAAGCTGTTGGGGAAGACGAATATCTTTAACCTCAACTCTTTCTACCTGCAATAATAACCAATCTTTCACAGTTCCAAACGAAGGAATTTTACCTTAACTCCCCAATGTTCAGTTCCTTCGTCGAGGATGGTTTCGCAAAGTTGAGCAATAGCTTCACGCTCAGTAAGCATTTCAGTCAAAGTCTTCATACCTGTAATTTTTTAATTTTTTAAATCAATTTTTTGAAAGTCTGTTTTTCTTGAAATCATTTTTTTTTTCAATTTTGATTGACAGAATCTTGATGTTTTTTATTAGAACGTTTCATTACGTTAGAGATCAAAAATACTTTATTTAGTTAAATAAAATGTTTAGTTAATTCGTCCCCTATACATTTACATCTCATTCAGCTTCATGCACCCAGAAAGAAGAAAAACATTCAATGCCATTTTTCGAAATCCCCAGGGTAAAGTGCTCAAAAGGCTCGTCGTTTTGAACAATGACATCGCGCATTTTAAATGTCTTTGAAACTTGTTTCGCTTCATCAATTTCGTCGAAGAAGACGTCGACGGCACAAAAAGTGAGCAAGACTTGTTCGCTCAAAGGCGAGTGAAACGGAGAAAAAAAGCGAAAAAGAAGAATAAGACGAGTCTTTTCAAGTTCATTGGCAAGCGGAAACAAAATGCGACTTCGCTACTGAATTTACAATTAACCATTGGAAAAAAATGACGGAAAACCTATTTACATATTCATATTTCTACTTGCCCTTGGCGCAAAATTAATTACGCAGCGGTGCGTGAATTTCTGCCCAACGCAAAAAAATGCGCGCGCTAACCAAACTCACCAAGCGCATTTCTCAATGTGGTCTGTGCGAGCAATTTCGTCGAATAAATAGCATCGTCGACATTATTCACGGAAGCGATTGGGTCCGATGTGCGGAAATAAACAACAGCATCAACAGAAACTGTCACCGAGTCTTTTGAGAGAATTTCCTGTGGTGGAACAGCATAAGAGACAACACTGAAATAATCAAAATCACGCCATATTTTTTGTATTCTTAATTATAGGGATCTTACCGAAGGTCAATCTTGCGATACGTGTCGATGCAGGGGATAATGAAGATCATACCGGGTCCACGGGCTCCTCCGAAAACTAATCGACCGATGCGGAATATTACAACTCTTTCGTATTCTTTGATGACCTAAAACGATCAACATATAAGCGACAACATTAAGTTTTTGTTTATACGGCAACATCATTGAATTTCACGTCAAAAATTGATGTAAATATTCCGCCATTACCTCCATTATTATTTTTTTGCACGCTTTTTGAAAACATTCATTTTGAAAGTTTCACATGTTTGAAATTCGCTTTCTTCGTACTCAATATGTTATTTTGCTCACCTTCAAACATACACACATAGAGAATGGGAATGTTAGGATGATAAGTAGCCATGAGAGTGCTTGAAGCGCGTACCCGAAAATTGTTCCAATTGTCTCATAATCGGGAGGTACATCCTATAAAACAATAATTCACTGATTCCCAAAATTCATTAAGTTAGTATTACGCCACTCAATAAAACTCTACCTTAGAAACTCTCAAGTGCAAAAAAAAAAGTCGCTGTTCTTTCAATGTTCTTCATCACATATATACAATGACAAATAGAAAGAAATGGGTTAAATCACATTCCGATAGAAGAAAGAGTTAGTTGTGTTGGATAGCTTGAAAGTTTCAGACAAAAACAATGTTGTGCAAAGAAAAAAGGGGTACGGTGTGTTGTGTTTGGAAAAATCCCATCAAATTTCCAAAATTGACAAAAATTATAGTTTTTTTAAATTTCCAAATTGAAAAAAAAAGCAAAAAACAAAAATTTCGGTATTAATCTAAACGTTTTTTCTACAAACCATGCGTTTCTTCTCAATACTTTTTTGAAATTGCTGGTTTGGTTTAGAATGGCGTATGGGATGAAAATGTGAGTGAAACACGCACTTGCTGTGATACCTGGTTTGACGATGGCGTCACCCACTGAGGTTCCGTCCTTTCCTTACTCGACATTTACCTGAAACATGATAATTCAATGTGTGCTAAAATAAGTAGAGCGAAAATGGAAGAAGAATAAGCTGGAAAGCACTCAAAATCAAAGGAAAAACACTTGAGATTCTAAAAAATATATACATTATTGGTTTTTTTTGGTCCAGATAACAGAAAAAAATGAAAAATGATTCATTTTTCTCACGATTCTCGTTCTTCATAATTGAGAGCCCGAGAGGAAATAATTTCGAAGTTGAAAAAACGTTGGAATCGAACATAACGTCGAAAATACGGGTTGGTGGTTCACTTTGTCCTTTTTTCCACAAAATGTGAATGAGAAATGGAGGAAAATGGTGCGATGAATGGGTTGGAATAAAAAATTCGTAGTGCTCTTTTTTGCGCACTCTCGAGATATTTAAATTATTACTTTCAATGATCACCAACGATAAATCAAGTATTACGGTAGCCGCCTCTTCGTAATAGGACGCTGGTTGAGTGACGAGAGAAAATAAAACGAGCTGAGTGAGCACAACGAGAAATGACGGACGGGGGGTCTGTTTAGAGTAATTAGGGTGTCAATCAAGGGGCAGGCTTGCGAGATCGCTAAATATACAGACGTAACATTGCATTCAGAATAATTCACGCGATTATTATATTCCATAGATTTGTCCAAAATTCTTGAAACTTATTTGCATTTGTTTCAATAATGTATAAGGTTCCCAGAAGAATGTGTAATTAGAAGAATGTTGTGGAGATAGAAAAAAGCAAAATGAGCTTCAGATCTACTGTTAGCGAAGTTTAAAAATAAGAATAACCTTGGTGATTTGAACATATCACATTTAAAGACTATAAGTTGTAAAAATAATTATATGTTTTTGAAGTTTTATTTATTACGATTTTTTTAAATGTTTGTCAATACCGAAGCAAATGCCAACTAGAAGCAATTTTAACTGCAAATAATTGTTTAGAACTAGAAATTTTATTATTATGACTTACAACAACATAGTGGTCGTCTTTTAAACAAAACGTAATCATACATTCATTGAAGAAGGAGAGCATCACGTAGAATGAAAATGGCAATTTTAGGGACCCGAAAGTGCCAGAGCAGCAAAAAAAGAAATATTGAAAATAGTGATGCATGAAGTGTGAGGGCTCTCTGCTCAAAATATATGCGGTCTTCTAGATGTGTCCAAGTAATTCAATAGGATCTTTTCTCTATCCCATCCATCCTCTGTGAGTCGCACGACGGCCTAATATTTTGGAAAGCGAGAATGAAATGCACTTGGTTCAACTGGGTTGACTGACTTCGCAGACGGCGCCGTTTATTTTGGTCGTCTCATTTTCGTCCAACAAAGATTTCCGAAGAAAACGAAGGAGGAAAATAATTTGTATTCTCAATAGTTGGTCTAAGAAAAGAGATGGGAATGAGATGCGAAAAAAATCAAAACGCAGAAGGATTTCTTCTCGATAGTGTTTGTGTTGGCATTATTTAGCAAGCTGCCGCCGTTGCACCAATTAGCCATATGTCGTGCGATCGAAAGAAAATGGATTTCATTATGTCTGAGTGAGTTTAAACAAATTTGTTGAAGCAAGCGAACGAGATTTGATTTCGGCAAATGCAGAAGGGGCACCCACTTGTTTCATCTTATTGTTTTATTTTGCGTGTTTCACTAAGAGTTCGAAAAAACGAAAAATTGATTTTGTTGGTTGGCAAATAAGCTTGACATGCAGAAAAAGATTAGCTCGTGTCAGTATTAACGAGGAAAAATTATTGGCCTTTTTATTAGAAAATAACCAGAAAACCCACTTCCTTAAAATAATATTATATTTATATACTTGTTATTAATATTACTAGATGAAGTTTCAAAATAATCTAAACTTGTAGTGTCGTCAAGTTGCAGTCAATATGGTTGAATAGCGAAACCAAAAAACGCGTTTTGAAATTTAAAAAAAAAGCTCTCTAGAGAATTCCAGACCCGCAATTTTCTTTCGCCAATTTTCCGCATGCATTTTTTCTCGTCTTGGGGTTTGTCCAAACACAGGCAAAAAACACATTGTAACTGGCATTTTCTAGATAAAATTTGTGTAGAACGTCGTCAAGAAAATTGAAAATAGGCGCATACGATGCGAGAACGTAAATGAGAAGAAGTAAAATGAAAAGCCTGACAAAATGAGAAACGGACGTGGAACGAGGATTGAAAAAATTAGATTGTTGATGAAAAATGCATGCTCAGAGAAGAGAAAATTGAGAAAAAAGAAAGGGAGAAGAACGAAGCATTGTTTAATTATAGTCCAGATTCAATAAATCTTCTTCACTGCTTACACAATAATAAGGCAATTTGCCAATTAATCTAGAAATAATTTCGAAAGCAAACCGAAATTTAAAATATGTTAAATTCATGCCATTAGTTCGAAATGTCATTTTATTATTTGAACCTAGCAAAATCATATTGAATTTAGTTATAAATTTGATTATTATAAAAATGAAGAGCTACATTCAATATGAAATAATAAAAACTGCTTTATCGTTTTTAAATCATATTATAATATTCGGATTATTTCCCATCTGTCTTAAATTATTTTGTTACGTATTAAGGATGATAATGGTGGTTAAACCCAAACCCACAAGTTTTTTTGCTGCCTAATAGTCTGTTCAAGGGAAGTAAGGTCATTTTTTCAGAGAAGATTAATACCCGCATCTCTTTGATGAAATGAGATTGGCAGGTGTAACTTTAATTCTTGGTTAAACATTTCTTATGAAATGGACTTTCCAGTAAAAGGTAGATTTTGTTCTGATAATTGGAGCATACGACCCGTGAATAAATTAATTTTGTGATTCTCAATTTTCAGTAAGCTGAAAGAAACTTGGAATTGTATATCATTTATTACCTGGTTATAGATTGAGTCATGAGTTTTAATATTTGGAGAGTTTTCAAAAATAACATTGAAATAAACTCTGCTCATCTTTTACGTAGCTAGCCAGTCATATTTCATGTGATACATTTCAAATGATGAATGCGTCTAAAAAAGGTCAGTATCTCTCTAAAATTTTAATGGATTTTTTTCGACGGAGTTTGACTTATTCATGGGACAAAGCACTTTACATCCATTTCCGATGCGCAACCACCAAATGCAAAAACTGCGATATTTCAAAAATTCAAGGAAGAATTCAAGGAAGAGTACCACGAGGAATTTTCTTTCAAATAAACAAAAAAGAAAAAAATAACATGTATGAAGCTTATAAGAATTTTGTTTAAAAAAAACATCATTCCTCTGTAATATGTTATTATTTCAGCTTTACATATCATTGTTTATTGCTTTATTTCTAACAGCGTAATTATTATTCATTGTTTTGACAACAAATCATATAGATTCGTATTATTATGCCAACTGCAATAAGGATGGAAAAATAGTGGCATTAGTAATTAAAAAAAACGCTTACAAATGCATAAGAGTTTTTCCCCGAGAGTTCGAGGAAAAACTTGTTATTGAACAGGAATTGTTTTTCGATGATTTGCTTTTTTGGATTTTTGAAATTTTATTTATGAAAAACTTATTAAGTTCGTCAGCCACGAGTTTCCGCTTGATTTTCCGAATGATGTGAATTTTAGTCAATTCAGAAAATGCATTTTAAGTTTTTCATAGTAACACGCTATGTGATTTAATAACAATGCGAGAATAAGATTTACACTTCAAGTATGCTGTGAAAGCATATGTACTTATTGCTTGAGAAAATTGGACTTGCTAGTCGCCGCAAAGCATTGATCGAATAAGATTAATGGACCAAGAAAGTTTGTCAGACTTTCAAGATTTTTCTCTGACATGGACTATAGCCATACGAAAAAATCAATTCTAATCAAAATTAAATTAATTGAAATCATTTTAAATAGGTTTTCGCTTTTTTACAACAAATTTATATTAGTTTACTAAAATTTTTTGAAGGCGAAATTGTCTTCGTAAACTGAAAAACGGTACAATCATCATTAATTTATAGCTCAAAGATGCTTAAAAGCTTATGCAATTACATTTTTAGAATCTTTTGAATTGAATATTTTGTTTTAAATATTGTCATCTTTATTATATTAGAAATTTGGTACAGAAACAAAAATTTCATAAAGAAATCCCAAATTTATATGCAGAAACCTCAGTGTATTTTTATTAGGAATGCAATTTTCCTTGCACACTTTTTGTATCTTGTAGTTGAGATTTGTATACGAATGATTCTATATTCATTATTTAATTTTTTATTAATTGTTTTGAGATATTTCCAATCGAAAAGCGTTCATTAAAAGCGACAAATTTCTTTTTTACGTTGAAAAAACTTATAGTAAAACTTTATTATGTAATTTAAAATCAATTTTCTAATATGATTTTAATTGTTCCGTTCTAAAAAAACTTTTTTTTTTCAATTTGAATAACCTTGAGGTCGCATCCTTTTTATCCGCATTAATCGTTTAATCTAGCTTAATCCCTATTCAATCCGCGCCAATGTGTTTGTTAGATGAGTGCCGCTCGGAACAATACTACAACAATAGTAAAAAAATTGAATACCTACAATCTTCTGCCGATGGATGGAAGACAAGTGGTGGTTAATTTTTAGTAGCCGAAAAACCGCAAAAGTTGAGCGACCCACACTGAGAAAGAAGTGAAGCTTTCCTTCACGTTCAACACATCTCAACGATTCTTTTTGGCTCGCCCTCCCTCTGTGTCTTTTCATGCGGGCTGAGTCAGACTCATTGCTCGTTGTGTCGAAGCACAATCGATGTGTATTTCGCCTCGTCTTCGTATTTCGTCGGCGTTTTTCCTCGTTCTGACGTGAAATATAAGAGAGACAAGAGGGAGGCCGACATTCTGGCCCGCCACGCCGTACACATCTGAATTCTCTTTCCTTGCTGCCAATCGCTTCTCTAACTTCTATTACAACTACTACAATAACTCGCCCGGTCGAATCGTTGTCGGAGCCCGTAGGGTGAAGAGAAAACTTGCCCGCGCTACACCATTACGCTTTGACGCATATTGCTGCTCTCTTCGGCCTCCATGGTTTTTGTTGGTGTCGGAAAAGAAAAAACGAATGAATTTATGTTGTACGTGGTTTCCTGAGACTCCGCCAAGTGAAGAATGAAAATGGGTACATGGTTTCTCAATCTGAAACCAATGGGAAATTTGCATCAATAATAGATTTGATTGTTACTAATTAAAATATTTGCAGATATTTGGTAAACGGGAATCTCGGCCGAGAAATGAGGAACATTTAATGTATAAATAAATAAATAAACCGATGTTTATTTTACAAAAATGTCTAACAAGTAAATATTTTTCAGTAAATAAAATATTCAAAATAGCACAACATTTGAATTCATTTTTTCTATTTCAAGTGTTTATTAATCGTATGATTTCCGTTGAAAAAATATATATATATTGGGAAACAAAATATAATTCATTTTCTGAACTTAAATTTAATTTCATAAAATTTAATATAAAAAAATCATCAGTAAAATTTGAAAAGTATCGCAAAAATTTATAATAAAATATTTGAATTAGATTCCACGAAAACATTCAAATTTTCATAAGAATTTGATTTAATTTTTGATTTTCAATATTTGCATCAGAGGATTAAAAACAGCCAATCCGGATGGAACTGAAGTTTTTTTTTTCACAATGTGTTCAAATATGCGTTTTATTGACCCTTGAACTTCCAATTTATTAAATTGACAACATCTATTTAAACAAATCTCCGGAAATCGACAAGATCGCTCTCAAATATTTTGCAGATCGGCAAATACATTTTTTGCAAACGGATTGTTTGTGCAGTTGTCAAACACGTTTGACCAAGCTTCATTCACGCATTCAATCATTGGTGTCAATCAGCCCATCGTGAAAATATGATATTCTATAATGCTCTCATCATTGTCATTATTTCTTCTATAATCAACGCTCTGCCGCCAAAAGGTGAATGACCATTTGCTATATATATATATTTATATATTATTATAATTCAACAATTTTAGGATGCACTTCTTGCTTAATGGTTCCAATTGAAGTCGTTGAAGGCTCTGGAATATCTCAAACGAATAAAACAAGAAACAGTGAAGGCTGCTTTGTAAGAATAAAATAGTGTTTTGATTTAAAGATATGTTTTCATTAACAGGTCCAAACTGTACATTGTTCGACAAACAAAAAAGGTTCCGAAACATATATTCAAGTAAGTAAGCGCTTTTTGTGAAATATATATATATAATGGGTTTCTTTTTTATGGAACTTATTTTTCGTAAATTTAACCACTTGAAACTTACTGCTTGTCGCTAAAATTTTGAAAACAACTTCAGCCAATGACTATATCGCCATAAACAAAAACATGTCAATGCAAGTTTGAGGCTTTCTGGATGCTTTCCTTAGCAAGCTTTTTTTGCGAATTTTATAATTGGGTGAAAACGCAGACTAGCTTTCGAAATGTTTATCGATAAATGAAAAAAAGATCTCAAATTATATAATTTCAACAAAATTCAAGTATTCAAAAAGTGTTTACGAATTGCATATTTGGTTGACTCAGAAATTTGAGAATAGCACGAATAATTTTTTTGTCATAACTTTCTTCAATCTCCAACACCGATAAAATTTTAAAATGCCTATTTTTCTATTTTTCAGTTCAATCGAGGTCGTAAGGGTCTTTTTGCCGCTGTTGAACAAACCATCCAACTGTTTTGCAACGAAAAAGGGCAATGGGAGGTAACCCATTTTACACAGAAAATTCCGATCAATGGATTGGATTAAAGATGATAACACAATTGAATTGATATTCGATTTCTTATCTATGCAAATCAAGCGATCAACCGATCAAAGTCTCAAATTCAAATCTTTACGTTAATTCTTCCATCTGATTAAATTATATTGGTGCAAATATATATTAAAACAATTTATTTAAAAAAAATTAAAACAATTTTAAAAAATATTAATTTATATTTTCCATTTAACCCATAAAGTAGAAAAAAACATAAACAAAAGTTTTTAAATAAATTAGATCATTTCAGCATTAATCCTTGGTGCGAAGAGAACAATTTTTTCATGTACCTTTAATTTATGCTGCAATTTTGCATATGTACTCAATCAGTGCGCAAATCAGCGCAATACCAAATCGCTTAGTTCACAATTTTTTCGTGTCGTCGCCTCCGAAGTTACCTGTTTTCGACAATTTTGACTAGGAAGTCAACATTTTGATAAATGTTCGAGAAACCGGTATTTATTAGGAAACAATGATAGAACTTATCGTGTGTTTCCGTGTTCACTATTTTGCACTCAGTTTTAATATATTTGATCTCGACTTTATTTTGTGATAAAACCAGATTTGACTGATTTTCTTTATGACAATAAAGAGAGATGACATAAAACTTTTATGCATCAAAAAAAAAAGAATAAATTTTGGCAAAATATTATATATATTTTTATAATATTTTATCCAATTCACTAAAATTTCACACAAAGTATTGAAACATTAAGTAATCATTTTTATTTACAGTTTCGCCACTCGAAAATGACATTGAATGTAGAAGTGCTCAGCTGCATTTCGACACCATAATCAGACATTGGATATCGTATAACGTTAATTATTTAGATGTTTGTATAATTGTGTCATAGTCATAGATTATTTAGTTTATTGGTTCCCTTTTTTTCATTTTCATGATGGGTTTCAAGTAAACGGTTGGCGGCATCGAAATATAATATTCGAATTGCAAAAGAATGCATATTCAAGATAAAATTCTCACAGTTCTCCCAGCATATATTATTCATAACCATTGAAAACGTCGAAGTTTCGGGAAAAAATGTCAAGTGAACGTTTCGATTCGGTACAATATTTCGTTTTCACTTCATACGTATATGCAAATTCATAATGCCAATTTGAAATAATATCTATGATCACGTGCCCGATTTTTATTAGACGGGATTCCCACCTCCCACTATTTCGGCAGGTTCACCACGTGATAAATTCAATTTGATTAGATTGTTTTTACAGGTTTTATATGATGTGTTGCTTTACTTCCGCGACAACCCGCTTATTCCTCATTTTGTAACTTTTCCCTACGCATTTTGTTGGTTCTAGCTATCGAGTGTTAACGAAAATCTCAATTTACATTACATAATAAGAATTGCCGCATTGTTATTTTGTCGGAAAAATGTTTATATTCGGATACTCTCGTTTTGCAGGTGCCAATCCATTTATGAAATAAGTAATTCTCAATTCAAAATGGTTCACATTCATACGGTAAGGCAAAATGTATATTGCTTAAAAACTAATTCGACTTTTTTGACGGCAATTGTGATATGTTTACATTAATTTACGTTGCATAACTACATTATGAAAAAAACTTATATCGGATTATAGTCCTATGGAAGAGATGATCTCATATGTTCGAGGACAAAACCTATAGTTTACATATGCAGGCTTGTTTAATGCTAATCGGAAGACAAGTTTCCGAAAATTTATCTACAAAATTCATAGATTGAACTTGTCGTGGGAAAAATAATACAACACCTTATTTATATAGCAACCGGTAATTTCAGTAACAATGAATATAAGTAAAATTTTACCAAACACTGCATATGAAGATAGTGATTAACCTTCTTTTATTATTGTTTAAATTATGCAGACAGTTCCCAATTCTACATTTCCTCGTCCCACCACAACTCCTCAGCTTGGATTATTTGTATATCTGATTGCACTGTGCGCAGTTATCGGTATTTAAACGCTACAATAATTTGAAATTGATGCTAAATAATTAAGGTGGTTTTTTATTCGGATATGATACCGGAATTGTTTCATCTGCAATGCTTTACGTACCTAAACATGAAAAAATGAAGCCAATGGGTAAAGTGTGGCAGGAAGTGATCGTGAGTATTACTCCGGGATTTGCCGCACTCGGATCACTGCTTGCTGGACAGTCGGCTGACTACTTTGGAAGAAAGAAAGTTGTGATTGTGTCTTCATTCATTTTCACTATCGGCGGAGTTATCTGTGGTGTTGCGATTCAGAAAGAAATGCTTTTAATCGGCCGAATTCTTCTCGGAATAGCCATTGGAATATCATCAATGGTTGTTCCAATGTACATCAGCGAAACTTCGCCGTCTCATATTCGAGGTAATGGCACTTGTTTCAAAGAAATAACATTAATATTTCAGGGCAACTTATTACTGGATTCCAGCTGATGATCACATTTGGTCTACTTGCTGCAAATGTGTTTGCCGGAGGATTCAGTTATATTGATCCTACAAATGTGGGATGGAGGTAACGCGATTACCAAAAACTGATACCAGAATCAATTTTAGATTGATGATGGGATTTGCGGCAATTCCAGCAGCAATTCAATTTGTTTTGTTTTTCTGTCTTCCAGAAAGTCCAAGATGGTTATATCAAAATAAGCAGCATGAGGAAGCGAAACAAGTATTCAGATTGTTTCAAAATTACGTTGAAAATTTTAATAGGTTTTGAACAAAGTTTATTCACATAATAATCGATGGGTTGAATACGAAATGGGAGAAATCAACGCATTATGCTTGGAAGAAGAAAACGCTGCTAAAAGTGAAAGTAAAAATAATTGATTTGATAGCATTCAAATATAATTTTCAGCTGGTAGTTGGACAATATTCAGAATTTTGAGAACTCCACATGTCCGGAAAGCATTGATAATTGGATGTCTACTCCAAGCGTTCCAACAGTTATCCGGAATCAACACATTAATGTAGTAATAATAAACAAAATGTTATTTTTTTCTAATTTATTCAGGTACTATACTGGAAAAATAATTCAATCGTCTGGTGTTGGAGATGAGCATATAATTATTTGGATATCAGTTGCCATTTCAGGTAAATTATGATGAAATAGGTTTGCTAGAAAAAAATATTCCAGCTGTTAATTTTTTCTGCACCTTCATTCCCCTGTACTTGGTTGATCGTATCGGTCGTCGTGTTTTATTAATCATTTCTGTTCTTGGAGTAGCGATCACTCTTCTGCTGATGGCTGCTTCGTTTTATGCTATCAATGTGTAATTATCAACACTCGTTATTTTATCAATTTGACTTCTGTTCCTTTTAGCGATTCGGCAAGCAGCCTTTCCCCAGCATTTCCACTTGAAGGAAATGATAACAATAAATGTTTTGCCTATCGGTAAACAGTAACGCTGAAAAAAAGTATGTTTATTCAATTATTTCAGTAACTGCGATTACTGTGTAACAGATGAAAATTGCGGTTTTTGTCAACCAATGGGAAACAACAATGGTAGGTTAAAATATTACTTTACCAATAAAAAAAAGCAAAACATTTGCGGACCATCGATATAAACAATATTTCAGGATACTGTCTCCCTATATCTCAAACTAATGGTTTATCGGAGATGGGGCCATGCACGAATACCACACTTGAAACATCATCTACTGCGAAATTTGACTGGATGCCAGATTTTTGCAACTCACGCTTCACATTCCTTCCAATTATCTTAATGGTTGTGTATTTGTCATTCTTCTCATCTGGTACTCTCATATTCATTGAGTACTTTTATTTGATTGATTGATTTTAAGGATATGCTCCCCTTCCTTGGGTTATGAATGCTGAGTTCTACCCGTTGTGGGCACGAAGCACATGCGTCTCTATCGCCACCGCAGTAAACTGGCTTTTCAATCTTGCCATTTCACTCACTTTCTTGTCTTTGACCGAAGCCGCCACAAAGCACGGTGAGTCAGAGTTGCCGTAAAGTTACCCAAACCGGCAATATTATTATGATTCATTCATTTCTGATGGATTACTCAAAGTGTTATGTTGGCAACGTGCCGATACAAACACATTAATGTGTTGTATATTTTAGGTACATTCTTGATATACGCAATTATCACTTTTATTGCGCTATGCTTTGTGGCTCTAATGGTACCAGAAACGAGAAACTACGCAATTGAAGAGGTTGAAACGTTTCTATATATAAATTTATATGAATTATTAAATTCTTTTAGGTTGAACTACTTTTCATGACGAAAAAGAAGCGAAAGGAGCTCGAAGAGCACATTCAAGTAATAATGAATAAAAAACCTGCGATTGAAGCAGAAATGCAGTTTTAAACACTAATCTCATGTTGAATTGCTTAATATTTGCATAACTTGTGAAACCCGGTAAAAAATAATAATTAATATTTATAAGCATTAATGTTTTTTAAAACTTCAGAAGCTTTTGAAGTCAATAAATGTTATTAATAATGATGAAAAAATCACTTGATAAAATGCAAAAAAATAATAAGAAAAGAAAAGAAAGACGGTGGTAAATGAGGTAACAAATTAAAGTTATTTCTCTGAAAATTGGGTAATCAACCGGTCGTATTGAACTATTTTATAGTACAGTAACATTTCCTAATTATTTTTGGCGTCTTCTTGTTTAATTTCTTTGTCGTTGATTGCAGAATTTAAATAGGTTTCATTTTTACCCTAAATTTAAACTTTTTTTCGTTTTCTTCGATAAATAGAATAAAAACTGAAATAAGTGTCTAAAAAATTTCCTGTCACTGTGTTCTCAGAAAGGCAACTAAATTCTGTAAGTACCTTTTTGAACTTTCCGAATTCTAATTCCTTTACTCCAAATTGAAAACCTGGATCATTGCTCTTTGTTTGTATAAGAACTTCAATTTCGATGCATCCTTTGGTTGATACACGGAGTGCTGAAATCTATGAGCATTAAAAAAAGAAAAAAGTCTGATACTAATTTAGTGGCGTTGTTTAAGAACGAAAATAAATTAAGTTTGAGTATCAAATCTAATTTTCTCACCGAATCGACCATCTGCAAATGCTGGCATCATGGGATTTACAAGTTCAACCATTAATCCGCGAAATCGAGCCATGATTCTTTGTATCATTGATGATGGTTCCGGGATGTAGCAGAACACTTTCAGGGTATGCCTTCCTGAAGTCGACGGCAAAAATAAGGTCCCATAGCCCGTAAGAGAATCGTCACCAGCTCGATCTCTTGTAAAACACGTAATAACGTAACGCGGCCCTGAAAATTAATCGTACGTTTTATTAATAAAAAGCAGCTATTTTTCTTTGTGACTCACACATATGAGCGGATGTGCTTCGAAAAGTGTTGGAATGGGACAAATCAATATTCATTTTGTGAGCACCGCCGCGGTACGAGAAAGCCGATAAAGCGGTTTGCTCGCCGCTGACAATTTTCCAGTCTCCCGGTGCGACAGCAGCCAATTTTACACAGACGTTGCTCACCTCGGGAAACTTAAATAAAAATGTACGATTTCGAAATAAAACGAAAAAACTTACATCAACCGTACGAATATGTGTATGAGCAGTTATCACTATATGCGCTTTTCGATCTCCATCATTTGTCATTTGCATTGTAAAAACAAGCGAAAAATCAAATTGTATTAAAAAGGGTCTGTGGATAGAAGTGTGGCGTGCTCCGTTGGCTCACTTGTCGCGTTGTCATAGCGACCATGGATTACGAGCATGAACACGCAAAGGGTTTGCCTTATTCAATGTGGGCAATTAGTGGGCAAAACGCAAAATTTTGATGCTGGTGAATACAAATTATTCAAGTTTATAGTTGAAACTATAGGAAAAATGAAAAGTTGTAAAAAGGAATCAAAAATTTAATATGTAATTTTTTTTTCATTTTTCACCATACTGGAAAATTGAAATAGTCAAACATTGCAAATCGTGCAAATCGTGGAATATCACTAATTATCAGAAATAATATTACATTAGCATGGAACGCTTTGATGTATAATGACACTTTCGTTTTTGGTATCCTGTGGAAATTTTCTTTGAATTTCCCACGATCATAGTTTTCTTATGCACTTCATAAGCCAATTTTTGTATGCGCTTCGAACCATACAGTATAATTAGAAAAATTCCATATAACTTACGAAACTGTTATGTAGTTAGATTCATTAAGAAAATGTCCTTGTTCGTAGCTGCAGGTTTGGAATTTTTCGAAATTTCATTCTCTTTTTTTTTCTTTTTTTTCTAAACTTAGACCAATGCTAAGCTAAACTGTTTTATAACAGCACGTATAGATTTCAAATACCAAAAATAGATTTTTTTTTTCTAGCTTAACTTGATTGATTTCGTTGTAAAATCCATTAGAGAAATTGCCTGTGCCGTATTGCTTTTCAATTATTCCCATGATAACGAAGATTTTTTCAATTTTTAACCGATTTGCAAAACTGATTCGTATCAGTAGGGCGATTCAAAAAGATAAAAGCCGTCGTCGCCTACCACAATCATTGTTTGATTCAATTTTTTCAGTGGAATCCTCCCGCGTATTGTCTTTTCACTCGTCGTTTTCTTATTTTGCAAATCATTTTGCTCTTCGATTTCATCACCTTCTGGCTGCAGTTCTGCACTGTATGGAAGCACTTGTGTGCAACTAAGCTCATAACCAACTAACGCAACTACAATAGACCCTTAAACAAAAGGACGCACTAATTGAAAAATGCTTGATGAAACCGATCACTTGCTCCGTGTGCGAGCGAAACGATGAGACGCAGCACGGCGGTGCAACACAATGAAAGCGTTTGTCGGCAAGACTGACGAATTATGAATAAGTGCATCGAGACTGACTGTAAGTGAATTTGGGGGTGGTGCATGGTTGACTAGACGGCTTTTCACTCTAGCTTCATAATTTGTTGTGTTTACTTGTTTTTGTAAATTGTGTCCGCTAGAAAAAATGATTGCCCTTAATTAACTTTTAGCATTTTTTCAACTAGACATAAGATTAGCCTACTGAAAAAAAACCAGTTACAATTTGAAATTATGTGTTAAAATTTTAAGATTCCTACTAGTCTCAAGAACATAACAATTTTGAAGATTATGCGTTTGATATATGAACCATCATTGATTTTATTCGTAGGTAAAATCCTAAAAATTCAGATAATATTAATATAAACATTATTTTATTAGCCTCGGACGTATTTTTTTTCCACAAAAATCAGGTTGTTCGTGTTTCAATAAGCTTATAAAGGCTTTCGCTTAATGAAAAGGAAACAAATTGAATCTAGCTGATTTTCAAGAAATACCGCAAATACGGTAATATCGGGTCTCGAGTCAGCATTTTCATCTTCATTCTTAAAATTGTACAACAAATATCGTTTTGTCCGGAAGCATTTAATAAATGGAAATGCATTAAAATTATTAAATGTACTAAAAAAAATGTGTGGGAGGAAAAACTTCCACCTCCCTCACCCCTCATCCAGAGCAAATCAATGATTATGTTGATCTTCTTCGGGTAAAACCTTTCACAAGGCATTGAATTCTTTTGATGGAATTGTTTTTTCTAATTTACAATCGATTTCAAAGCAAAAATCAACAAAAAATTGCGGTATGTACCGTAGTTTCTTTTTTATTTTCTTTTCTTCAATTCTACGTTCCATCTCTCGGCATGTGAGTCACAAAGATCATGTTTCGAACTGCAAAGAATGGCCCAAAAATTTAATAAACGTCCAGTGTCATTGTTATGTCGCCTATTGTTTGAATGAAGGGGAATACTGTACCATATCGCGTTCGTACCTCATTTTTATTGGCTTTTTATCAAAAATGTTTCGGAAAAAAATGGAGACCAGATATATTGTTTTACCCGGAAATAAATTCAATTCAATTCGAGAATATTGATACAGAATTTAATAAAATTTTTCTATATGCTAAAAAATATCGTTTTTTCTCATTATAACGAATGTTTCTTAAATGTCATATTAGCTTTGCACGGCATTTTCCAAGTCGTTCATTGCAATGTATCAGAATAAGATTCATCTGTTTACTTTCACCGATAATATGTTATTCATTCGGGTCAAATTCCTTAGCACCGGTACTGTCAAATTTTTATGAATTTTTAGGCAATACATTGTTTTAAATAATTTATATCACTACTTTCCCGCGTTTTAGCGCAATATATCTATTAAATCTGTCCAATTTATATCTATCAAAAACTAATTCCATTCATTTCTGAGATGATATATCCCATTGAAAATTAATCAAATATTTTGATAAGACTAAACCAATTTATTAGAGGTTAAAAATTGAAAAAAAGGGTTAAACATTAATTGCATCGTTTAAATAAAACTCTAAATTACGGTTTTTAAAAAATGGCATTAATCAATTTTAAAATCTGAACATAGAGGGAGGGTTAAATTTTAAAATTCAAAGTGTAAGTGTATTTCATAAATTAAAAAATGAAAAATCGAGAGAACAATTGCAAATTATTTTGAAGTCCCAAAAATTACCAAGTTGCAGGCTGACGACATGTTGCCACGCCTTTCTAAATATGAGAATTTTTGCATTCAATCTACGGACAAGCATAATAGATTTTAATTAATACTTATTTGGGAGATATTTTTTTAAATGTGCAACGGGTGGTTTGGCAGCGGGTGTTGGCGGAAAGCATGCATTGCCACCAGCACCTGTCCCAACGACCAATATTGCGCCCTCATTTCGCGCATCCTTATCTTTTTACTCAAGACCTTCTTCTTGCTTTATAGCAGCACGTCTGAGTCGAGCACATCTCCAAAACGCTGCTTCCTGTCATTCAACCGCGCAAGCGTGTATCCATCAAGAAGGAAAAAGAGGGGTCTTCCTCTTCACGCTTTCTTTCGAGTGTGCGTTTTCGAGCTACAGTAATCCCGGCCGAAGCTCTGAGCTGCGCCACGCCTATCCGATTGCTCACACATTCAAGCGAATCGTCGTCATGCAGAGGTTTGTTTCTTTCCTATATTATTTAGATTCTCATTTTTTTCACTTAATAATAGTAATAATAATAATAATAATAATTCCCCGATTGTGGAATCATTTCGTGGAAAAATGAATCAAGTTCATTCGTTTTTCACGATGCCTCATGATTAATCCAAACAGAAGCCCTTCATTAAAACTTTGTCTGGGTGATGCTTATAGAACTTTAATTTTGTTTTGATGCTCGCTTATAAAGAAAGCCACGGATGAATTTATATGACCCAAAATCAAGCGAGGTAGAATTAAAAGCCTGGTCGAATAATATTTTTCCAAAATCAAAATTTTTATCATTTTGAGCCAAATTTGAATATTTCAAGCCTAACCAGAAATCTATTTAAGACCATAATGTCGTGAATTATATTTTACTCCAGGGAAGAACGTGAACTCACCGATCTTGATGAACCTTCTCTTGGAGCCATGACGTGTGTTCAAATCGAAGACTCGACGAAGCCGCCTGGTACCAATTGTGAGTGGTTCTTTTTTTTTTCAAATTTTTTAATTAGAAACTCTCTTCTATTTCTTTTATTTTTCAACGAAGACTCATGTCGTACAACCAATGTTTGCCTTTTTGGGTTACTGTAGGAAACGAAATCAAAGAGAATGTTGAATATGGGAAATTAGTAAAAGGTTTCGCAAGTCTTTTTCCGAGTGAAGCCTTCAGCTTAATAACGCCGACAACTCCCATATGCTTATTATATCCTTTTATATCATTTAATTATTCATTTTTCTTTTAAGCAACAATTTCACGCTCGAGCACCACCGAAGAGACGTTTTGCACCGGTTGCGGTTACATGATTTTCGACAAATACATCTACAAGGTGGGCGTTCTTTCAGGCATTCCATTACGGATACTGTACTTATTTGTTGTTTTAATAAAATTCGTATTGGTTAAGAATGTCATAAGCGTTATATTAGCTATTGGTATTAAAATCTAAATCAAAAATGACAGATTTATTAGGTATTACAGTCAATATTAGAAATTGTTGTCTATATGAAGACCGTGAATCTGTCATATGCCTCTGATACACCAATATTTCCTGTTGCCGAGAATTCGATTCTCGATACGAATACCAATTTAGATTCCAAATTTTCAATTCCAATCAATTAAATGGTTGTAGGTAATGGACGATTGCTATCATGAAAGCTGCCTTCGTTGCTCGGCTTGCCAGCAGCAACTCGGAGCAAATCCAACATGCTATGCTCGTCATGGACAAGTCTATTGTGCCGACGATCATCAGTTGTGAGTTCCATTTGCCTTTGCGTGTGAGGTGGCCACTTCATTCGGCACCGAATAACTTCATGCGTTTATGTTCGAAAACAGAGATACCGAATATTGTTCGGCTTCCCACTTGAACCATACCGTTACGAAATCAGTTGGATGTCAACGACTGTCACCTGCCACTGAATGACTCTTATGAACGAATAATGCATGTATTAATCGGATATGCTCCAACACCACCTCTTGGTTTTTATTATCCGTGCTAATCCAACGTTGAGTGCGCAAGTAGACCTTGTAATTTTGGCTGTAAGCTGGCGGCCAACCAGGCGGGTGGCAAAATGCAAATTATAGGGGGCTGAGATCGATGATATTCAAAGAATTAATGTGACGGACAATTTATGTATATTATTTTTAAATATACAAATAATTTTGAAGAGCCTCATACTCAATATTCATCATATGGATAGAAATCTATAATACAGATGCTACTTAAAAATTGCTCGAATAAATCTAAATACCTTCTAATTTGCATAATGCTCTTTACGATTTGCAAATACAGATGTCGTTGTTAAATTCGTGTCTGTTTCCTGCACCTATCCCTCTCGTTTTCAATAATAAAAGACACAATTTTGGTTGGAACCTACCGTATACTATTTGTTTGTTCATGGGCCTCTGGCGGCTAGACAAAATGTTGAATTCTGCCCACGGCTATGTGCTCAAAAGGGAGCGAATGTATCAACATTGGCACGTTGAAATTTCTTACGCAGCGTTCATTTACACATTGCGCGAAAAATTGCGCGCAGACAGCCTACTTAAGGACAGCTGACTAGCAAGCAAGACGTGACATTGCCAATCAAATAAGGCTCATTTAAATGTGATATGATTGCGCAATGAAACTGACGGTTTGATTCGACAAACCGACGAATTGCAGATTGTTCGGGAAGCGATGCAGACGTTGCCGCTATCCATTGCAAACCAAGGATATTGTCTACAAGGTTCACTTCATGACTTATCATGCTCATTGTTTTTCGTGTGCTTGCTGCCAAAAGCCGTTCACCAAGGTCAATATACAAACATTGACGGAAATCTGATTTTAAATTTTTCAGGGAGACGAATACTATTTCCTTGAGACTGAAATTCTTTGCGCCCAAGATTACCAAAACAATGCATATCACTTGCATGCAGGTTAACAAGTTGCTAATTCTGTCTAATAATATAATTGTATTATTACAGCTTCGGTGGATAACACTTCAATTTATGACGAATCTTCAAGATCGGAACACCATCGCAAAACTCCAAAGAGACCGCGCACTATTCTCAATGCTCTTCAGCGGAAACAATTCAAGGCTGCTTTCGAGAAAAGCTCGAAACCAAGCCGAAAGGTTCGTGAGCAATTGGCCAAGGAAACTGGCCTAAGCGTTCGCGTTGTTCAAGTTTGGTTCCAAAACCAAAGAGCCAAGGTCTGATATTCCAATATTTTGCTCATTTTATTAGTTTAATTTAGATGAAGAAAATGGTCAAGAAAGGCGATTGCTCGAAGAGTGAGCGAAGCGAGGAACGAAGCACTGAAGAGAATCGCAGCTCCGACGACGAGTCCTTATTTAGTATGTTTTCAAATACAAAAAAAAGCAAACTTAATTATATTTCAGACATGGATTCTGATGAGATCGAGGAAAAATCAACTCTGCTCAATTTGTCTAGCAGCTTGCCAACCAGCTTGCCTAATAGCTTGCCAAACAATTTGTCAAGCAATATGACTAACGATATGTCGAATCCAATTCAGAAGCTTTACCACATGACCGCTTCTCAAATCTATTTTCCGTACACCGCGTGATAATTTTTGCATGTTTTTTTGCCAATTACAGTTGTTTTTTTTAACGTCTGGTCAGTATTTTATCAGAACACAGTTGATTTTGTTTAAAGCATTTTTGCTCCTAGTCGATTCTTCATTTTTTCGAAAATTTAACTAATGTTTTTAACGCCTTTTAATGCAATAATAATTATGTATCATTTTCAAAGAATAACATTAAATAACGCAAATGATTGCTCATTGAAATTTCGGTAAAATAAATAATTTTATATGGAAATTGATGTACCTTATACAAATAATCTTAATATGAAACTTTATCCCAACATTTATTGTATTCCAAACGAGAAAAAACAAAAAAACATCTACGGGTTTTTTTTTATTTTAACCGGTTTGGTTCCTATATATATACACTTAAAGAAACAAATTTTGACTTGCACAAGTTAAAAATTAGCGAAAATTTTCAATATTTGTAAATTTCTAGACTTTATTAAACATTTATTTTCAGATATAAAGCAATGCAGAAAATTTCGAATAAAAACGTTCTCAAAGAACCGTCGAGATACCAGAAGCTGTCAAAAACATTGTTTAATTGAAATGAGCAAAAATAAGTTTATGATAACGTACAGACACAAAGTTGACCGGATTGCTTACGGCAAATTGGCAGGAAACGTTTTTGTTGAATATTGAAATTTTTCTGAGCGCAATGTTAAAAGGCGAGTGAGTGAATAGACATCATTTGTCAAAAAATTCAATAGTTGATCTTTTTAAAGTAGTCAGCCAAAGCTCCTGTGCACTTGCTGCATTGTTCTGGTTGAAGCCCACCTTCGTAAATAGAAATGATGACAGCTAAACGTAAAAAAATAAAGTTTGTTCTATACGTAATTCTATCGGGTACCTGTCGTTGTCTTGTATATGAAGAAACCCGCAGATCCTTGTTTTCCAATAACTCTTTCATCATCAACATTCAATACAACGTATTTTTGTCCCTCCAAACGCATTCCAGTTCCAAGAAGAGCCTCCTGAAAATATGAGATTTTTGGAATTCACCAAAATTTCATATGGATAAAAGTTTCGTGTCAGCTGATATATCCACAAAGCAGTTGTTTCCTGCAGTTGCTTTTTACACTGCGTATTCAAATAATAGGTCACTCTTCGAAAACGATCACCCACGCAGAAAATGAAACAGCGGATAAACAAACCTTATTGGAGAAAGCTTTTCCGGCGTTAACAGCTTCTTCAGCGGAGATCTAAAAAAGCGAGTAAAGAAATGACGTTAAAGAGCTATATATATATATATAAATTTATTTTCAAACTCTCACGAAAAAAAAATTTATGTCAGAAGTTTTAAATGTGATGATTCAATTAAAATTAGTTTTAATTGTGAATATTGGTTTGATTAATAAACGCGAAATTCGTGAAATTCGCGTTTATATTTTAAATATACCCACGTTGAAATTAGCACTTTTAGCCCAGATGGATCCGTCGAATCCGCAGATGGCCGCTTTGCTGACGAAACCAGTTCCGAGAAGGTTGCCATTGATAATGCTATCCCACGACATGATGCTTCTGAAATGAGCTGACAATTGTTGGAAAATCAAATAACACCAAATCGAAATAAGAAAAGACACTCAAGGAAAACGCTTTGGTGCACGTATCGTATTGCTCGTGCTAATTTTTATGGATATTTCCCTGTCTGCTTTTGTGTTTTTTTTATTGTGCAACCCTTTCGTCGCACACTCAACGCAAGAAATTGCCATGCTTATCGGGAAGATCGTGGAAGCTCATGCAGACAGCAAAAAAAAAAAACGAAAGCTGTGAGATACCGGATAATATGCGAGATTGCGAGAAGTCAAATAAGTGAACAGAAAATGCATACATTTGGTTGAACAAATAAAAGCTTTCAAAACGCCAAAATGTTGCAAATTTGTTTTTTCTTCTTTTTAAATAAACAGAATCAAAGTTTAATTGTGTCTCATCAAAACGCATTTTTTGGAACAAAAGGTTCTGTATTTTTTATTGAATGGAAAAGCGAACAATGTATGAAAGCACATTTCTAGCGTTACATCAGAAATAAAAAGACTTTTATAAGAATGGTTGGAAGGAAAACAATTGAGTAGTTGAAGAGCAGCAGCTGTTTGAGCTTTAAAAATCTTTCAGATCCATTTTTTCGGATTTCGAAAGAATGAGTAATCGATTACGAAAGATGTTTTGACGAGAAAAAACAAGCTTGCAATATGATAAAAGCCGTTGGTTTCACACACCCTCACAGCAGAGAGCAGACGTGCACAAAGCAATGAAATGGATGAACATTGTGGATGAGGTGTACGGGGGCCGAGGCCTTTGAGCCGAAACGCGGACGCGATCATCGTTGCCCACCAAGAGATATTGGAAATAGATTGAGAAACGCAGCGGCTTTGAAACGAACAGTGTGTACGAATTGTGGCGTGCGGAGGGCAATAGTCGAGGAAGTGTAAAGCTGCGCCGTCCGCCGGAGCACCGATTGACGATTTGCGAAATCTGGTTGGTGATTCCTCTAACCGAGCAATGAAGAAATATGGTTGAGCGATGAAAAACGATTCTCCCATTCCAAATGCCACTTTATCAATTTAATGTAAAAGTTGACATATTTTTTCGATCATATTAATTAGAAACACACCCGTTGGATGAATTTCAAATGGGAAATAATGATATTACCAATACAATGTTCAAGATCACAAATACAACGAGAAATCACGAAATACAAGACTTCATTTCTTAAATATTTGCAAAAAATTGAATAAATTGCAGACTTAAAGACATATACGTGCATAACAAGCAAAGTTCTTTAATTCTTTCTTTTAAAAATATCGATAATGAATTTTTACTGTTAAGATGGTGTGAACGCGTACATTACATAATTTCTTAATTTAATTTGGCGAAAAATTGTGGTTTTTTTTAAGTTTTAAGAAACAAACAAAGTTGATTGTTAAATGAAAAATTGAAATAAAATGTTTCTTCACAGTTTTACTATTTTTTCGATTTATATTTTATCTAAATATATTCATAAGTATTGTAAATTGGCTCATTTGTTACACATTCTTTTAATGTCCATCAAATGAAATAGTCTGGTTTTTTAAAGTATTAAGCTGAGCTCACTGCAGTTAAACAAATTGTGATGAAACCTAAATATGCAAAGTATACGAAACCAATTTTGTTAAAAATAAAAACAAAAATAGTTCAAGTTTTTTATGAGCACTTTGTGACATTGATACAAATTTCACTTTCATATATATATATTTTAAATAAGACTTAATCGTGAATTTACTAAATATCAATATATATTATTACAGTTTCAAAATCAATTAAATGTTCGCATAAATTTTCATTTTTTTAACATTTGATAAATTTATTGGAAAGCAATTTTACCAGTTTCAACAATGTTCATTACAAAATTTTTCACCATAGGATTTTATTACAAATTAAACTGTTTGGAAAGAATGTGTGTATTAGCGAGGGATTCATTTTGTGAATTTAATATGTACCATTGCCGACAAGTTGAATTTGTTGGGAGACAAAATATAATTATAATACATTTGTCACATAATTCAAACATTGGAATTATGCGCAGCTGAACTTATTTTATATTAACTCATAAAAATTAAAATTACGCTGAGTCGTTGCACCTTCTTGCCGATTATAATGAGCCCGAGATGATTGAAATATTAATACTCGCTGTTTTCTCGCTTGGTGAAACCAATCGGCAATTTGTTGAGAATAATGAAAAAGTTGTAATTTTATGTGAAATGATGATGGTTACCGTGAATATTTATATTTAGAGTTATCGTTGAAAAATTTAATTTCCGAAATTTTCATTTTCAGAAATTTGAGAAATTGCCGAAGTTTCCGATTCAGCCCTGCTAGACACACGAAATCGGTAAATGCTCTTCTATCGAAAACATTGATGCTTTGAATTGTCCCGTTATAATTTTAGACTGAGCTGTTTTGAGATTATATGGCTAATATGTGGTTCGGTTAAGTATTCCATGCCCATGTTTATTGATTATTCTTAATATCAATGAAATTAAAACAATGATGAAATAGAGGTTAAAAATTCATATCAGAAAAAAATGATCACGTAGAATTTTTTTTTTTTACTTTTTTTCAACATTCTCTAATATGTTTCTATGAATGGCTATTATATATAATTATTTTATTTAAAGATCGTTCTCAAACTATAAAAGTGTTTCAATTAGAATCGTTGATAACCAGAAGATGACAGTCTGAAAATTATGATTGTTTTCGTGCATAAACACAAAGATCGTTGAAATTAAATTTAAATTTCCATGGGGTCAGATTGTAATAAAAAGGTTTTTGAAACATAAGTGTTGAAATTCAGTATGGTTTCAAGTTTTTTTTTTCAAAATAGGCCAGAGATTTTTAAAAAATTTTTCTAGCATGTAGTTTTGAAAAGCAATTGTTTTGCCCCCGTGATGTATGTATGCAATTGCTCGGCTAATTTGTGTTATGCCAAGGTGTGATATTTTATGCAGAAACCAATTGTTTTTCCCATTTTTACAAATCCAACGTGTTTTAATTATATATTACACCTAAACAGCTGTCTATGGTGAACAGTGCAGCTTATTGTGCATTGAATACGATTTTAATTGACAGGTGTGAAACGTTTGCGGCCGGAAAATACAAATAAGCACTGAAAAATTGCAAATTATTAATTTAACATGACAATTGCGATTGGTTGCATAAGACCACTTGACCGGCATTGGATCATAAAGCGGCTTCTTGACTGTGTCTTATTAGCAAGTAGTGGATCACCAGACGATGAGTATGTCGGCGCGTCTTTGATATCTCACCAGGAGTCCACGGATTTATCAGGAAGTGGCATGTTTGAACTGAACCTTTCTAAGCAAATATTTGGTTACATTATAATAACATCGTCTTGTTGTATTATATACATATGATGTAACAATGCTCATATAAGAATTTAAGAATTTGATTTGTTCATGTTTCAATCCCAATTTCGTGATGAATCATTTAGAATCAAAAATGGGTGAGACACCCATTTCATCCCATTGTCTTCAATTTATGTCTGCCAGATCCGTGATGCATTGAATTGATAAAAAGTCGACCTCGCACTCGCGCACTAATTTGTTGCCATCAAAACAATATGCTCATAAATCCGCGTAATGGTGTCGAAGTGAAAAATGCGCGCGAGATGCGCTCGCCAAATAAGAACATAAAATTTGCGAAGGTGACTGCCCCGTCCCCCATTGTTTCATCTTATCTCGGTCCCGGGCGAACTGAATTGGTGGCCACCGTTTCTTCGCGCGTGAGGTCGTAAAAACTGAATTACGGTTTAGTGTTTGTGGGAGAGACGGTGAATTTTTCATTGAGAATACCGATTATACATTTGCTGCATTACTGTAGTTTTACTGTCATTGCGAACCACGCAGGGGATCTGTCGAGAACGCTGTGTCAGTGCATATAAATGAAGTTTCTTTGTTGACTTCAAGGTTGTCCAACGAGTGTTCAGCGACAACAAAACTGCACTGCTGAATTATTTACGAAACATTCAGAAATAGAGCTTACTAAACTTCGTTTTTGATAAAATTCAAACTGATTTTTAATTAAAATTTTATACTCATATATTTCATATGGTCTCCTTATTCATGCATGTATATATCTACGCCTTATTGTAGATTTCTAAAGGAAATCATTTTGAAATATAATAATGCATGAATCCCATTGGGCACGGTTATTTCCAATGCATAAAACTCAAAGTTAGAATGTGCGCCAGTGTGCAAGTGGCATGTCAAATTCTTTCTTCCTCAACCTCAATTATCGCGTCAAACCAAGAAATTACTACAGAAGGAGGAGGTCGCCGCTACTCTGTGGTATTTTTCCTGGCATTTTTCAATTCGTCTCATTTCCTCTAGTGGCGTCTTGCGTGATCAAGTAGTCCTCGACTTCTGGCTTGAGATGGTGATATCTTAATTAATGGGTGTTTAGGAGTGAGTTGCGCACGCGCAATACGTCCGCACCGTGTGAAGTAACGATACGTCAGGCCAGGCGTCGGGAATGACGACGGGAATGATGAGTTAATTAGAGGCCAACGACTGCCTATCCGTCATTTTTCGATTTTTATATATTATTCATATTATTATAATTATTATCCTCAGTTGAATATGGAAATAAGATGTCAATAGCAAGAAATCGGAGGCTTGGATGATATCCCGCTGGGAATTTGCGAAATATCATACAAAGATAAACAACTGTTTACAGCAGACTAGAAATGCAGGTTTTACACAACTACTGGTTTTCATTCCTTAATGAAATGTATTCCTCATTGACTAAATCTGGTAGAATAAATTTTGGATTAATAAATACATAATAAATTGTTGAAGACTATTTCCAAGATAACCGATCATTTTCCCTCTTTCAACTTTTATTTTAATAGCCTGAATTGTAAAGTTTTCGAACGTCTCTCCCGGAAATTTCAAGTAAGTGTTTGGAAAAAAGACATAAAAACAAAAGTAAAACCCGCAGATGTTTATTCTACTTTGTTTTTGTCTTACTAGGTGGACACTTACCAGCACTACCTAATCATAGTATTAAACGGGCTCGAGTAGTCAATCAAATCATACGCTTCATCAGATCTATATCGTTTTTTGTGCTTCTTAGCCACCTGTCCCACCTAATACCATACGATTGAATGAGCTGTCGTCTAAATTGGTGGCTGCACCCTTTTTGTCTAATACATCCGTTAAATGCATTTTTTTTCAAAGGCAAAAAGTAGATGTTGCATGTTTATAATTCAGCCCTTGGGATTAGACTTCAACAAGTTGTGCCATAAAATCTATTCGCTTGAATAAAATATGTATCCCATTGCGTATGTATGTTTTTCAATCCTTTTTTCGTGTATTGTTGTTCTTCACCATCCCGATGTAAATTATTCCAATAGCATTGTATTGTTGTAACATATGTGTCACTAACCTAATTACAAGCAGCTACCATATTCATGTATTCAACGCCAATTTAAGGATAGGCGTCTCAAATAACAAGACGACAGCTGGCATCAAAAAAGTTGCTCGCGTTCCGTGCGTTCGGAGTCGTTGATATTTGCTCGTCATGAAACATTCATGGTGTGAAATTTTATACGTTTATTTTGCGTTTAAAACTGCTCGCATTTTTTTTACTATTTTAATATCTTCCATTGTTCGATGAAGATTCACTCAATTCACGCTCACACACAAGTTCCGGATGAGTTGGCTCACTCGTCAGTTTGCTCGAACTTGCTCGACGATTATCCCAACCGAATTAGCATATTGGACACGAATTGATGTGGAGAGAATAAAAGCAGTCACTTCCGCTCATTTCAAATTACAAATGTGGGTGTTTGAGAATTTTCTGAAAAACAAAATTGAAGTACTTCCATTTCGAAAAAACTTTCGAACAAAAGTAGGTGGGTATTGATTTCCAAGAATGTTGGTCGAAACGTTTTCTCATTGACAAAAGATCCCGCCCATAACCAATTACTCTTATTTTCACCTACTCGAATCCTACACAGATATATAGTTTTAATACATGGTTTATTTTCCTTTTACCTTATTCTTTGTTTATACATGACCACCGTGTGGTTTTTTTTTTCTTCAAATGAGTCCACTTTTTCTCGAAATGAGAAAAAAAAGTGTAGCCCCTCCCTCCCATAAATAAATCCTCCCCAAAAATCTTGACATTGTTGAAGAGCGTGTTATGCCAGTGCAAATAGAGCCGACATCTATATCCAAAGTTTTTTCGGCGATATTTTTCCTCATCAACTCAACAAGAGAGATTCGGCGGTAGACACCAGACTTCCATTTATTTCTTCGCACCTTATGTTCATCTAGCTAAACACATGTAATTATCTTCGGCGTTCTGAAATCGAGCCAAACTTCCTGAAGTAGTTATCGCATAGGCCGCGCCGTCGCTGGTAATGCGTTATTAATTACTTGCTAGTTGAGTGCGCCAATACTCATGAAAGGCTCTCACAAAATGTTTCGTCAAGTACAAACTGGCTAGTCGTTTATTTTAATTGCCTCGGGGCACCTTTTTGTTCCAATTGAAACCACGCACAATTTAGTTCCCTTGGGGAATGAACACTCTTAGCTTCGTTGTAAGTAATTCCGCTTAATTCACAATTTGCAAAACGCAATTTTCTTAAAGGTAACGAAAAAAAATTTAAAAAAGCAATAAAGCTTCCTTTTTGAAATGAACGAGATTGCCAAAATCCAAATACAAGCTTTTCAATTTCGTTTTTGTATTCAATAATTATTCACAATTATTACTCGCCCGTTTCCTACTGTACCCTGACCTTCGCCGATTTTTTGCCGGCTGGGTGTCGTGCGCGAGCCTCTCCCTCCGCCCGCCTCGTTTGCCTCGCCTCCGCCCCGCCCAATTTCTTCGACAAGTGCGAATCTTTATCTGCTTAGGTTATGAGCGAACGCTAATTTATTTTATTTCCGTGATGTTTCGTGTCGTTAATAAAACTGAATTTCAGAATGAACCACAAAATTCTCTTTCTTATTCTTCTGATAAGGATGTGCTCAACTGGTCCGGTTCCTGATAATCCAAAGAAACGATTTCCCACTGCTATTATTGTCGGTGTCAAGAAAGCTGGAACACGTGCACTGTTGGAATTTTTGAAAATCAATCCTCTTGTGAAGGCACCAGGTCCAGAAGTTCATTTTTTCGACAAAAACTTCAATAAGGGATTGGAATGGTATAGGTACGTGCACTATTGTTTACCAATTATGTGATGGCGTACACATTTGGTAGCTTATTTTGCTTAGGATTAACATGAGCACACTCGAAGGTATTGCGATACAAACGTTACGTAAAAGGTTCAGCTGGAGAGATTTGAGAATAAGGGATAAGGTACTGAATAATCGTTGACGTTTTGGAAATTGCTGAATAGTTAAAATTAATATAGTTTTTTTTGAAAATATTTATAAAAACATGTTAAACGTAGTATTTAGTTTTTTTTTAGTATTTTAAATCCCTAGTGTTCGCAGTTATCCATACTGTTAATGCAAATTCATGCATTTGAGTAGTAATAATAAGTATCTTGTTGATATACTAATCGGTCTCCGAGGCGCAATTTCTTGAGTGTGAACGTGTCGAAAATTATGCAGCTGCAAACCAAACCGCTGAGGGGTTTTGTGTGCAAACCAAATTAACGACTTACTCCAAATATCCTCGTCTTTGTCAAGATTCGATACGAAGATTTTCGCAAAATGGCCGCTTGGCAAGAAATAAGCTTAAATCCTATGAAATATTGCTGAGAATTCTTGTCTAAGCGTGTTTTTTTTGCTTTCAATTGGTGTTCGAACTCCCACCTGGCGTACGAGATTACCATAAAAAACACCAATGGGAAGTCATGAATGAACACAGTGTGTCGCCAGACGTTCAGGCGCCGATAAATCGCTCAATTCATGCAAATTAATGGCAGCTTTTTTTCGTTGTCAAAAAAATAAAATATCTCAAAACAATCAATCATAGTATCGAATGACGGTCTTCACAAATATGACTGCAGGTGCCTTAAATCTGTTTGATGTACCACGCAGATAGAGCCAGGTGATGACCATGCACATCTCAAATAAACATGATGACTAAGTTGTCAAATAGAATTTCTTCTTCCAAAGAATCGAATAATCAATGGATTTCGAGCCACCCAGGAGGGTTTGGTGCTCCGAAAAAAGCCGTTTATCATCGGCTACGAGTGTCGACAAATTGGTGGCAAGGCGCCTGTTGTTTTGTGCACTTTCCTCGTATAATAAATGTTAAAAGCAGCCGCCAACGAGGACGATTTGATTCAATTCAAATTGTTCGCGTTTATCGTCGATGAATGTGTTTCAGTTTACCGTAACCCGCAACTGGCGATCAGTGACTATTTGAGAGTTTTTAATGACCCGTTATTCGCGGATCTTCGACTCGGCAGAGGTACCTGTCTATGTGATCGCTCTAATCATCAATTAAAATCGCATCATCGATCTAAATAGCAGGTCTCAGATTGACACTTTTCAACCAACGCCATAAAGCTCAACATTGACTGACGTGTTTTTGTAAAAAAAAATGTGGCTGGCAGAGGCAATCATTTTGGTGGCACGTCTTCATTTTTACTCGCATCGTTGGCAGCCATTTTAAAATTGAAAGACGACAAACAATTAATTAAAAAACAATAATCGGAAACCCTCGAATACTTAATAGGATTTACAACGCAAAAAGAGCGTCACGGTGTATTTATTGTCGGCATGTTCTTCAGAACACGAGTGAGCGAGCAGCCAGCAAAAACAGACGCGCGTTCGGCTCAGTGCTAATTACGCAATCTAAAACGTACCAGATCATCATATTTTTATGTTCTTTCCGCTCTTTCGTTTCTGCATGGGACCTGCTATTTATCCCACAAATTTAGGGATCGTTTTTCGATTGTCCTTCACATTTTCGATTAGTTTCATTCAATTTGTTCAACTAATCCCAACGTAATACTACTAGTCGCTTCTTTCTCATTACGTGCGGCCTCAAAGTTGCTTTGCGAAAAGAATAGTTTGAAATCGATTCTGTTTTCGAAACAAGAAGAATGCCGCCTTATTTGATTATGCGGACCTTTCTAATTATATTTGGTTATGGCGCATGTTTTAAAACATTTCCAAAGTTAGTATCGTATGGTGTTAGACAAATTTGACACCATTCTGTTGGAATGCAGCAGCGGCATGACTTTTGATCGTAACATGGCTCTATCATTGTAAATATGATACGTGACGAGCGTGGCCCGGTGGTCGGCCAACAGGTTGCAGACATAAGTCGTCATCAGGTACATAACGTCCGCCTTTGAGCCAATAATTGGTGTCGGAAATCTGATCCTGCCTTATTATCGATGCGGAACACTGATTGAATTCTCAGCACATCTCTCAAACATATTCGCAAGAAAGGAGGCAGCTAGAATCTTGACGAGATTATAATTAGAATACACTGTTATTGTTGTTGAGATGGCGACTGGCTCCGTGGATGTGCATATCTCGTTATACGCATTTATTAAATGGATGTGACAGGCTTGGGATGTGTCACCAAGCAGAAGAACCTTACTTAATTTGGCTGTTATTCGACGCGACATTATCGCGATTGCTAGCTATGTAGTAGTCAGAAGACCTCCTAGGTGACAAAATGCGCGAGGAGTCAATTAAGAAATATAAATGTAGTCGACAAGAGACGAAAAACTCATAAATCAGTGCGCCACGAAGATGGTCTTCCGATATGATCATCGCAATTACTTGACACAATGACACCTGCCCGGGAAACATTTCCTGGGCTACACATGTTGCAGGGAAAAGTGAACATTACAGGTGTAAATAAATAAAAAAAAGTTCTTTTATCTATCCGTCGTGTAGCCGTCATTTTATGGGCTTCCGCTCACCTCGTTGAATTTTATTGCGATTTTATTTGGGTTTTATTGTGCGGGAAAATGAAGAAACAAGTGAGAATCGGGTAAACGACTTCGCAAGATCAAAGGGATGATCGGAATTTCCCAAATTTCGAATTGTTTTTCATCTGAAGGTTGAATTACATCAATGACGCCATCATTAATTAGATATACGGAACCCGTAGAAAAAAACTGAGATGTGAGACATAATGTTCTATGAAAAATAGGTAAAACAAGAACTCTTAATAAGACTATATTCATCTCAATTTCCTCAACACTTTGCCTATAACATTGATATATGGTGACGGTGGCGCAAATTACGTAACGCCTTTTTGAAGATAGCGGAAAAGAATAAAGAGTAGCAAATAGTGGATGACGATTAGATATCACGAAGGTTATTTATCGCGAGTTTCTTATTGTCTCACTTTCAGGGATCAAATGCCATTGACACATTCCGGAGAAGTTACGATCGAGAAGAGTCCTGCATACTTCCACAGCAAGAATGCACCAGAACGAATCAAGTCGCTCAATCCAAACACTAAAATAATAATAGTTGTCCGAAATCCTGTAGTTAGAGCAATTTCAGGTAAACCATTTGAAACGCAACATTATTTATAAACTCTTTCACAGACTATACGCAGTCGTCAAGCAAACGAAAACGATTAGGTTTGATGCCCAGTTTTGAAGAAATGGCAGTCGGAAATTGTGCAATTTGGCTCAAAGCAAACTGCACGACAAAAGTTAGAGGAGTTAATGCTGGTTGGGGAGCAATCCGAATTGGTGTTTATCATAAACATATGAAAAGGTATTACTATTACAGTAATTATTATTTAATTATTTATTAATTAAAGATGGCTTGAACACTTTCCTATGGAAAACATCCACATTGTTGATGGCGAGAAACTAATTAAATCGCCTTCTGAGGAAGTGAGCGCGACGGAAAAATTCTTAGGCTTAACACCAGGTAACTGAATTCAATTTTTTTGAAATGTTTTCTGAATTAATGTTTTCAGTCGCTAAGCCTGCTGATTTCGGAATCGACCCAATTAAAAAATTCCCATGCGTTAGAAAATCCGATGGAAAGCTGCATTGCCTTGGAAAAACTAAAGGAAGACCTCATCCAATTGTGAAAAGAGATGTGCTGGATACTCTCAAAAGTTTTTATGAACCAGAGAACAAACGATTCTATAAAATGATTAACAAATGGTTCGACTGGAATTGAGGAATTACACCCGGCAAAAATTCTTCTAGTCAATGAATTTCTTTTGTTTTTTTTCTCTTTCCCTGTTCCCATTGTGTAATATATTTCATTTGTTTTTTTATTGTAGTTTGTAGATATTGGTGTTTAATTGCGGGTTTTTTTGCCAAAGTGAATCGATTCTCTGGATAATCATCGTTAATTGTTGTTTTTTATTGCACGTAATTTCATATTTAAAGCAATTGTCATTAAATAAATACATCAACATTTCTTCCACAAATTTTACTTAATTCCCGAAATCAATATATTATTGGGTAAATCAGCAAAAAATGTGTATTAATTAATAAGTTACAAAGTTCATATGTGCATAAGCATTTGGGCCAACTCACACTGTTTCAATCTGGCCTTGATCCTTAACGGACCGAATGAATCAAATTTAGGTATTTGCATAGATGTAAACATTGCACCGGCTACCCCAAAACTATTTACTCTTGTGCAGCTATAGACAAGAGATGATACGGTTTTTGACACCCGTCGGTCAGTAGGCGGTAAGAAGGACTTCCGATAAGTGTCACTTCTCATTTCACGACTCTTCAAAAGCCTGTGCTGAATTGGTTCGAAAATCATGTTCCACAAACTTGTCCTGCTTCTCTTCACAATCACAACAGGTATGTATATCTATAAACGGTTTCATTCGAGAATTTCAATTCAGCGTATTGCTTTGATTCTATCGAAACAAACAATCTTATGAGGAACATCCCCTTTGGAAACACGTGTGATACTCAAGCCAAGAACAAAATTGCAACATGCGCTGATGAGCTTACAAATCTTGGCATTTTTTCTTCAGGAAGCCGAAAAACGACCTTATCCGATATGAAAAATCACACTCAACTTCATTTCATGCACATGTGCGCGTAAGTGTTCCGATTGAAAAACAAGAATAATGAGCAATTTTTACAGGGCGTATCGCCGATATAATATCTGTTTGGGAGGAAGTTACATAAAGCAAGCGTGTTATCCAAACGAGCCAATGAAATCTAGATACTCCGTCGTAGATGTCGTTTTAGAATATGTTTGTGGAGAAGGATACCAATGTAATATTATTTTTAGATGAAAAATAAAACAATTTTACAGCTATGCTAAATAACTGGAACTGTTATCTGTCGGTTGCTGATAGTTCCGAAATTGCGATTTGTGAAGCCAGTTTTATCCAACTCGCTAAAAACACGGAACAGATGTATAACGATTATTCCTCCGGAGCTGGAGCATGCTTGTTAGTTTAATATGTTCTACGAAACGCAGATACTTAAATTTTTGCTTTCAATTGTTAAATAAAAATAAACAGAAAAAAAACAAAAAGATCGTCCATTTTATTTTCAGCGCTCTTCAATCTTACATTGATTGTATTCGTCCAGCAATTGAGCAAACTTGCGGGCTTCAATCTTTCATGACTGTAATCCAGGTATTTATCACATATTTTATTGTTTTGCATAAAATTTCACTTTTTAGGCTGTCGAGCGTCCTGTTCAAGTCTATCTTCCGTTTTGCACATTATCTTCGTCTTCGGTTTCAGTGGTCTTCAGTTTCTTCATGATATTGATTATTTCTTATTCGTTATTTTAATTTTACACATTTGATCGTGTCTTTCAGACACGTTTGCTCATGTACACTTCATATTCTGCTTTCTCTCAATAAATGTGTATGTTGATTGTTGGTTTCCATAGCAACGAAAAACCGCGAGCATGAATGCAGAAAAATAGAAGTGAGCTAGTCATTCAACATGGCCGCACAAGGCGACGACGACTTTTACGGAGGTTTCGATGATTATGATCAAGCATATGATATACAAGTAAGTTTTAAAGATATGTATTCCATAGTTGTAAATATATATAGGCAATATCCCAAAATCAGCAATTTCAACAAGCAGTGGCACGATCAAGTCATGGAAGACGTCCTGTAAGATTTATTTTCTATTGAAAAAAAACCCAAAAATTGTTGTGTTGTTTAAGACAACATCACAAATGGGCTGGAGGGATCCAATGTCTTCACACGGAAAGCCACCACCTACAACATCTGGTATGAAACCTTGAGCCATGTCTATTTACGTTTTGTTTTTATTATTGCAGGTCGCAGCAGAGCCGGCGGAAGAACGGCTGCAGCAATGCGAAATGAGCCTGCGCGACCGATGACAGCTGTTAGAGCTGCTGGTTATACTTCGTTCGCAAATAAAGGTTTGTTGAAAAACTAATTCATTATAAACAAACATTGAAGTTAACAAATTTGAACTAGTTTTTCAGTTCAAGCTAGCGAAAAAACTGCAGGAGGTGATTCAACCGGGGAGTAAGAAAAAAAAATTAAAGACGGTGGAGGTAATTGAAATTTTTTAAGAGGAGAAGAAAAATGCCGCCAAATGGAGCAAAAAGTAATGGAAATACTACGTGAAAGTATGAGCTGCAACCAAAAAGGAAATTTGAAAGAAGCACTGGATAAAGCTAAAGAAGCAGGGAGACGTGAAAGGGAAGTGGTCAAATATCGCGAACAAAATTCATTGGTTGAGACAATGAATTTGGATTTGACCTTTACAGTGCTCGTCAATCTTGCACGTCAAGTTCGCTTTTTTTTCTTTTACAATTTATCTTAATTTGCTGCAGTACGAAGACAACGACATGGGAACAGAAGCAATCAATTCTTACGAAATAATCGTTAAGAATCGTATGTTCCCCAATTCGGGACGTCTCCGTGCGAATATGGGAAACATTTGCTTCAAGAAAAGGGATTATACGAAAGCTCTCAAATATTACAGAATGGCTTTTGATAATGTTCCAAGCATACAGAAGAATGCGAGGTTTGAAATTTTTTCTTTCGAATTTTCTTGAATATATGCGTTTAGAATTCGAATCCTCAATAATATTGGAGTAACATTATTCCGAATGGGAAATTATGATGACGCATTGGCCACATTCGAGCACTGCGTCGAAGAACACGCAGAGTTTGATACTGCTTTAAATTTGGGTGATTTGAAATATGAGTTAAACCGAAGCTCATTTTTAATAGTTTGCAGTAATTGTGAGTTTCTGTATACAAGATGCGGATAAAATGAGGGAATCATATTTGAAGTTGATCGATATACCACTTCAATTTGACGATGATTATAATAAAGTTAGTTATAGAGTTATTACCTATTGATGTATCTATGGCTTTGCCTTTATAGGAGGATGATGATGTACTCCTAACCCATACATTAAATGCTGACATGCTGCAAACCATTGAAAGAAAGAAAAGAAGCGACGCTGAGAAGGCAATTCTAATGGCAACTAAGCTTATCAGCCCAGTCATTTATCCAAAGTAGAAATTTTAATTTATGCTTGATGACATTTTATTTCAGCCATACCTCTGGATATGAATGGTGTATTGAATCTTTAAAGCAAAGCGTGCATGCTGCTTTAGCAACTGAATTAGAAATGACAAAAGCTGGTGAATTGATGAAAAAGGGAGATATCGACGGAGCTGTTGAAGTAACTGAATTTCTCTGGTTTTCTATAGAATGTTGAGAAAAATTTTAGGTATTGAAAGTTTTTAATGCTCAGGACCCAAAAACTGCAAGTGCAGCATCTAATAATCTTTGCATGCTCAGACTTTTGGTAAGAACTGAAACATTTGAATTATTATCGAACGGAATTTTTTTTAGCAAGGTGGTCGCCGACTTGTTGATGCACAGCAATACGTAGAGCAAGCATTGTCCATTGACCGCTATAATCCATTGGCTCTTGTGAATCAAGGAAATATTGCCTATATGAACGGTGATTTAGACAAAGCATCTATATGCTATAGAGAGGCTTTGAGCAACGATGCGAGCTGTGTTCAAGCAATATTTAATCTTGGACTCACCGCTAAAGCTCAAGGAAATCTGGAACTAGCGCTTGAGTATTTCTACAAACTTCATAATATTTTACTAAATAACGTGCAAGTAATTTGTCAACTTGCATCTATGTAAGGAGTATTATAATCAATAAAATTCTGAAAAAATTCCAGATATGAAAGTTTGGAGGACACAGCCCAGGCGATAGAGCTTTATAGTCAGGCAAACAGTCTTGTTCCTACAGATCCTTCAATTCTCACAAAGCTTGCTAACCTTTATGACGCTGAAGGAGATAAAACACAAGCTTTCCAATGTCATTATGACGTAGGAAAATCGGATAACTTTAAGAAAAACTTTATTTTCAGAGTTATCGCTATTATCCTTCAAATATGAAAGTGATTGAATGGATGGGTGCTTATTACATTGAAAATCAGTTTTCGGAAAAGGCTGTCAACTATTTTGAAAAGGCTTCAATTATGCAGTATGATTTATGTAATGGGAAAATAAAATTCAATTCCTGTTCAGACCTCATGAAATAAAATGGCAGCTAATGATGGCTTCATCGCACAGGCGAGCCGGAAATTATCAAAAGGCATTAGAACTTTATCGATCAATACACAAGAAGTTCCCACAAAATATTGAATGTATAAATGAAAATCAAAGAATTGAAAAAAAAATTCGAAATTTCAGGTCTCAAATTTCTGGTTCGAATCACTTCTGATTTAGCTATGCCTGAAGCAAAAGAATATGCGGAAAAACTAACAAAAGCGGAAAAGTTGATTAAGGATTAAACCAATAATGCAGTAAATTAATTCAGAGTTCGTCAACTTAAAATTCAAAGAGAATCCGATTCAAGTCAAGGTAAAAGGCACTCTGCAAATTCTACAACATCTCAGCAAATGGGAGGTAGATTGGAAAATGTACTAAATTTGCAAAAAAGTTTTACATTCAGCTATTGGAAGTTCATCAGGTGCTTCAAGACAATTCAGTGGCCAACTTGCCTTATTACCAGAAGGAAGTGCTCCCTTCACCGTTACACAACGCGACATGAGTAACAAAATAAGTTGAAAATGAAGCAAAATTAATCAGATTCTTCAGAATCAGAAGATTACTCGTATTCCGATCCAATGGGTCCTTCTGTTCCTCGTCCAAAAACAAGCGGAAATCGAAGAAATCAAGCTGTTGATGATTTTGATGCTCTAGACGATACTTTCCTACCAGAATAATTAGAAAACGGAAAATGCTTTTTGTTTGTATGCTTGATAATAATAATAATATTTTTACTATTGAACACTTTTTTTCCCGAATGTTGTATTATATAAATATAAATATTTACTAAAACAAAAAATAAATACTCACAAACGTTCTGATATGATATCTGGCGAACTGTTAACATTTAAATTTGGACTTTCCATTTGCTGTGTATTAACACTTGACAACTGTTGGGCCGAAGGTGAGAATAATATAGGTATGGCTTGTAAGCTTGAATTTTGCGTAATAGCAGATAGACCTACACAAAAAATTATTGATTGGTTATTATTAAGAGTATCTGGCGAATTGTTAGTAATATTTGCCGTTTGTGGAGTTAAGGAATGTTGCGTAATCGGTTGAAATATTGGCATTTGAAGCTGCGAAGGTGCGGGAGGTTGAGTTATATGAATAACTGGCCGTGGATTATTTATCTCATTCCTGTGTTATTTAGAAAAAAATTTTTTAAATAAATTAACTTACAAGTCAATTATTGATGCAGATTTCTTCTTATTCATTTTAATATTTCTCCAAGCATTCCTGTAAATTGGCACGACTAAGACAATGAGAAAAAATCCTACAACAAATACTGAACCCCAAATAAGTGAAAATAATTGCGTATCTGAAAAAATATGTTGAATAAACATTAGTGACAAATGAAAAACATACTTCTGAAACAATTTTTACCATCAAAATGAGATCGACAAAATGTAAAAATAATCGATGTTTTGGGATCCAAAATCCAAGAAAGAACATATATTGAATATGAAAGTATGGCAAATGCAAAAAGTATCTGCAATGTTCAATGTACATTAAAGAATGGACTTTGATACACGTACCTCAAATATTATGAATATTTGTAATGAAATGGTTGATGAAAAATTGGCAATTGTTATTGCGAAAAATAAATGAGTGCTTAGAGTTAATGACAGCGGTAGTAATCCCCACAGCGAACCGTATATGAAGAAAAAAATTGAAAATGCGACTTGAACAAACAAAGTTATAGCCGAGGCAATTATAGATATATACTAAAAATCATAGTGTAATTGAATTATATTTAGCTTACCTGTGCAGGTATACATCCGCAATATTTTTCTTTTATTCGCATATATCTCACCATTTTTGTTAATTGATATTAATCGTATCCCATATCGTTTTAAATATCTAAAAAAAAAACTATTAAAGCGTATAACAGATTTACATAAGTGAAACTTGATAAAAACTGAGACCGTTTTTATTAGTTCTTATCAACGAATGCTTTGTTAAATATGAAACTGCTCTTTATCGAGAGAAAATGATACCGTCATCGAACAACGGCATATGTCATGGTGTTGTCGAGTTAAGATTAGAAAGAAATTCAATAACTGTTGAGAATCTTGCTGAAGGGAACATTTTGCACCTGCATCATAATTACACGCGCGCATCGAAGTTGACTACATAGTTATAATTTACTATTTACTATATGTATTTTCATGTGATTATCTTTTGGTATAAAATCCTTTCCTGACTCAATTTGACCTTGCTTAATTGTTAATTATTATTATATAATTTTACACATAATCAAAAGGCAAAAAAAAAGAAAATAATGACTCGCTCTTGTTAATAAGTAACTAATATAGGGTCAATATGAAATTGTTGTAGTTTTATAATTTGTTGAGCTATTATTTGCTTCTGATCAGCATAAATGACTTTGAACAATGCGATTAGCATCTCTCGCCTGTTGTCGCTTTCATTCTGCACCTGACCGTTGGCGAATATTAAATTATGAATAAGCTCGCAGGAGCCAGCCGGTCGCTCATCTTCGTCATTATGAGATGTCACAAATCGTTTAATATGCTGTCGCCGTGTCCGTGCTCATTTACACCATGGCAGCAGTCCTCAAAGGCTTCCCTGAATATCTCAATCAGCCATTTCGATTCCTTTCGTTGCACCTGACAGGCTCATGTTTGTATTCATTCAATTCAACCATTCATTCACCTAGCAAGTTTTCGGATATAGCAAAACTTTTTGATTGAAAACTTGTCATAGTTTGCATGCATTTTTAATTTGTTGCCTTTTTCGTCCCGTGTATGCGCATGTATACGATGGATGGCTTGAAAAAAAACGCGTCGAATCAACATCGGCTTGATGCAGAAAAAACGCATCAGAATAATGAAATTTTTTGAAAATGCGACTCACGCTACACTAAAATGTTTTCTCAAAACTTTTTACGTTGTAGCATTATTGTTAAAGAACCATCAATAATTCAACATGTTTCCCTATTGTGCTCTTTGCCGCACCTATGCAGAATAATTATATTATTCATGAACGTATAAGGGGTCCGACAGCTTCCGTTGCACGTTTCCGTCAAATGCTTTTAGCACCTTGTCTACCCATTTTCCTGTTTTCGTAGTGTTGCGTATACATCAAGTGAGCAAATTGTTTTGCCCACTTTTTCACTTACTCACACAAGTCTATAAACAAATTGGAGTAGAAAAATGAAGGAAGAGCAATTGAACGAGAATAAATAAACTTTCTCGAGCAATTTTTTTTTCAAAGAAAATCGAGAAAGTGGTTGTTTTTTCTATTTATTAACGGTGGATTATTAGAAGAGTATAGTGGAGAAAACATCTGATTTCGTTTAATGGCATTATTCTATTGTGCACCTCAGAACAAGGTGTTAACATGTAAATTTTAACCAAAATGTGCTAACTTGAAACAAAAGGTAACGACTTGCCCTTTTCGTGATTTTCAACAGTTTCGTGCGAATCGTTGTTTTCCCCTTATATGGAGTAGGTTCCACTCGTCAGCTTTTCATTTGCATATTACCTTGAAGAATCTTGAAGATCTCAAGGTTGTATCAGTGGACGTACAAGTGCACTTGTGTCATTGGAGCCAGCCTAGAGCAAACCTCTTGAAGGGTTGTTTACGTTCGCATATGCTAACAATAACGAACAATGAATAAGCTACCTGTCAAATTCAGCTCGCATTGGTTAGCGAAAACTTCCGGTTTCGTTATCTCGAAATGTCTGATTTTCATCAATACGAAGTTTATTTCTTCAAAAATTAAGAGCACATCCATTATGTTACAACCATAAATCCTGTCACTTTTAATGATGGAGCACTTTTCGTTTTTGAATGATCACATAATTTTCGCGCCAGTTTTTGGCACCGATCGAAATGCTTGATAGGAATCGCAGACGTGTTGCATTTTTTTCTCTCATTCCGCAGATATTCTGAGCGATGGTACGATATGAATGTAACAAACATACATATGTAGATGTAGTTTATTGAAAAGATTAATAGCACCCGCAAACCTTGGAGACTTGTATTTACTTGTCGGATTATCTTGTCGTTTTGCGAGCACATGTATATGCCTTATCCGGTAGCCAATAAAATAATTTTGTCTACAGTTGTCCCATTTATTGCAATTGGAAGTACAACTACTTACAAAAACGTGAGTTTTCGGAGTCGATGTGAATATCAGAGATTTCACTGTTTACTTAAAAAAATAAAATTTCTTTATATTTAATATAAATTTTCCGAAAATATCGTCGTCGACATTTTTAATATTCTTTCATTATTTTTATTATTGTTACGCTCGTCCTTTAATATATTGAATTTTGCACCTATCACTATCAATGACAAATTGAAATCCGATGTGCTGAAACAATTCGCTTATTTTTAGTGTTATTACGTTTGTTCAAACATTTCCCCTTATTATTTTTCTAATTTCCGGATTTATGTTTATTGGTTTTTCTCAGTATTGTGTTTATACGCTTAAACTTCTGAATGAATAAAAAAAATAATTAAAACGTTCAGCGCGCCAAGCGTTGCTCTTCATTAGCGATTCATTATGAGTTCTGATTTAAAGAAGCTCAAAAATTTGACAACCATTCAGAGCCATTGGCCCCGCCCAGAACTCCTTCATTAACAACTCGTTCGGCTACCACTTGCGTGCATCTCTCGATCTCACGCGATATCTCTCTGGGTTTTCGCCGGTTGCCCAGCCCTCCGCCTTCGCCCCCTCCTCCCCACCACACCGGACACTCACACACGCACACATCGTAAATCAAAATTTCGCCAAGTCGACATCGTCTACAAGGCTATAAATCACTAGTAATTTGCGGTGGCTTTTGAAGACGCCGACGGCACTTGATAATAATATTTTTCGGGAGCTCCTTTTTTACTCTATTTCATACCCTCATACTTACGTCTTCTATATTAGAATTTTTATGATCCGCTTCCCAATTCTTTGTTGTTAGCAATTCAAGAATGATTCCCTTAATTCCTATCTAAAAATAATGTGCTTATCATTCCAAGATAAACCGATTATTTTCTTATTTTCACTTTGATTTATAGTTTCAAACCGTGTTGTCGACAGTTTCAAAATTTTGCCTTTTTCCAGGTCGCGATTTTAACAATGGGAGTTGGCTGTCAACTTTCCATCTTGCTGCTCATATTTTTCCAATCAGTTTTCGGACATGGTGGTGAGTTATTTGATTATCATTTCATTAATCGAATGTTATTGAAAATGTTAATTTGCTCATTTCCTGTTTGCGTTCATGTTGTGAATTTGCAAATTGCGCGAGAGCTCCTCTTGACCCATCCCCGCTAGCATGTCAAGAGCTAATTTGCCATATGCACAGTTTTTGCACTGCCACACTCGTATTTTGTGAACAGCTTTCGTCGTAGTTTCCGACGGCAGTGCTTCCACATTCATTTCAAAAATGTTTTGCATTAAAATCGCCCGGGTGCGTTTTTGATTGACAATTCAATCCATGCCTCGCAAGACATGCGTAGGGATAGTTTCAACCAAAAATTGTCGGGAATGGGAAAATGAGGCATTTTTGCGTTGAATAAAATCCAAGGTTCTAATCACGTTTTCTCTTGCGTACGAAAAAGCGAAATTTTAGTTTGGTAGAATCTTCCAGCCCTACTTCTCCCCCTGTCCGCCACTTTTCCTCAATGCCACTTAGCGGATTAGACATTTGGCGTGCACTTAATTCAAATTTGTAATTAACTACGTCTGTGCTCCTCCTGCCAACCCAAACCCTTTGATTTGGTCTCGATCGTCAAACTGCTTTGAATAAGTGAAAAGCAGCAACGAGTAATTGGCACATACGTACGTATGCTGCAGAGCAGCAATTATGCGTTTGGTCATTAGAAATGAAAGAAGGAAGACAATAGGTAGGAGTTGTATTGGCGACATTCGTTCGCAGTCAGCATCTGCTGAAAATTGACGTAACCGCGATGAGGTGACGCAATTCGATGACCACCAACTTTTTTTACGATGAATGAGAGCACTTGAGCAGCAAATGCCCTGAAATCTGGTCTGTTCAAAAACACCAACTCCTCTAGTTCCCCGTATATGGTCAAGTTTGCGCGTTTCTGGCGAAATATCGTATATCATAAACTATGATCTAAACATGTCGTAGTATGTTATTAGACCGTCAAGAAGAGTCCTTGGGTCGAGTCAGCATACCATTTAAGTATTATCAAAAGATTCGTATCAAGGTTGTGCGATATGCTTTGTACACATTTATTGCAAAGGGTCTACATGTTGGCGTTGTTCCCAATTTAGAAGAAATTGGTAGCGAAGAAAGACGGCCTGAAAAGTCTCAAATTACTACAATTAGGCAGCTTCGTCGACATCTGCGTATTCGTTCTATTGTTTACCATTTACGTGTCGCTTCCACAAGAGCTCTAAACAAGACAAACACAAATGCGCGAATATAATACACATATATCCATCGAGCTGTTAATACATTCACATAAATATTAGCTCATATTGATATTTCGACAAAGGCATTCTCGGTGTATTACGAAATTCACTATATGTAGTCTAAATATAGTGGAGAAAAAACATATAGAATATTAACGCCTCTGGCTGTTAAATTATGTCCGTTTTATAATTGAGAACTTGGATTTATTTTTAGTAATAGCTAGTAGAGCACTTTTTCTGAGGGCAAGTGAGCATCTGTCCGTTGCTCAAAAAATCATCTGCTGGATCGAATGGAACAAAGGGAAGGTGATCTCCTGAGCGGCAGCGTCGAAAGCATTGGTAATTGAATACTGCCTGCTATACGGTAGTGTTCCATAGTCCATTAAACACCTGTGCATTGGCACCTCTAATTATGTTCGGCTCGTCACGAGTAAGGTTGCACAATTCGCATTGTTAGGCCAAATGATATGAAGTGTACAATGCAAATAAGCAGATGGATCTTGTTTTTCTGTCTTTCTTCATCAAAAACACAATTTTTTGACTGACAAAGAACATCTGTCATTCATTGAATACACAATTGAGTAAGAAATAACAAAGGAATTGAAGAAAATGACACAACTTCTGCGTTTTTAATCTAAGGAAAATTGTTTGAAATTTAATATTACAATTCGAAATAATATTTCATTGAAGAGATCGAATAAAAATGACAATACTCGAACCAGACTGGTTGATCAACTTTATTGCACCAATTAAGTTTAAGAGCGTCCTCACATTCTTTTGCTATTATCTGTGGGTAATCTAGTTCAACGCTCAAGAGTACTCAGCAGGACGCCATCTACTCACCTGGATCTGATTTTAATTGCACCTAGGTCACCTAATCTTGCTTGAAAATTATTGCAAGTATATTCAATTGCTAATTGAGCGCAGCGCAGCGGATGTGCGTATAGATTGTGTGACGAGATAACTCGATTTGCTACTTGAAATTTGCATGACCAAAATTTATGCATTTCGTAATAAGAAGCGAATAGTGACATATGAAGTGTTCCTTCTTTTCAGTGCCTCCGAGATTGCGTGATGTCGAGACGAAATTCCGGATTCCTGTGGGTCAAAAACAATTCAAACTCGTGTGCCCAATCATCGCTAACGCCAAGGACAGCGTGATGGTCCAATGGTCAAAAAATGGCGAGCAAGTGAGAATTTTTAAATCGGAACAAATTCAAAATTCGAGCGCCTATCGCTGTATAATCGCATTTCTTTTAACTGTCACAAACCCCAATCGGATACGAGTCTCGTCCGCATTGACAAGATCAAGGGTATTCATCGGATGAGTACTATCCGCACCTCATTTTGGTATATGTATATACTTGGCAAGGTCATCCATCATTGTCATTTGTAATGTTCCATGTGATGGAGTGCGGCGCTGGTGCCATTTGCGATCGAATCATTTGGAAAAGGGAAAGAGAGTCACATTTTAAATGTACTCGATTATTGAGTGACTGGCTTTTCCCTAGAGAACTGAAAATATATGCGATAAACTCATAAATTGTACGAAAAAAAAAATATTTCCAGCTTGATTGGGACAATCGCTATAAGATTTCCAAAGACGGGAAGGAATTGAGAATGAAGAATTTGAGATTAGAAGATAGCGGACAGTACCAATGTCAGGCTACCAACGGATTTGGACACATGACTCTAGACTTCCACGTTCATGTTTTTGATGAAAACGATAGATCAAACTCCGTAAATCACAATTTGATTCTGGCCAATAGAAGTAAAATTTAATTATTACATAAGGAATAGGCAATATCAAATTTCAGCTTCAAGTCCAAGTTGGTTGGTTGATATGAGTTCCGAATGGCCTTCAACTTTGAAAATAAACGTTGGTGGAAAACTTGAATTGCGTTGCCCAGCTCAAGGAAATCCGCTTCCGCATATCAAATGGTATCGCAATGAATATTTGCTGAATGGAAGTACGACTACTTCAATTTGAAATGTGGACTCTAAGCCAATTTTTGCAGATGTCGATAATCGCATTTCGTCAATGGTAATTGACCCAGTTGACAAGTCCCATACTGGATCTTACCGATGTGTCGTTGAAAATCCTTTGGGATCGTTGAGCTTCACATTTGATGTTTCTGTTGCCGACTACTTCGATTCGACAACAACCGAAAGTATCGTAGTCTTGGTAAATACTTCAAAAAAAGCTCGAGTAAACAAGTGCTCTTACTTAAGGAATCAAATAACGTGCCCGTGATTGATCAACCTTACAATATTACCGTTTATGCTGGGCACACAGCGCAATTCCAATGCAAAGTGAAAACTCACGAGAACACATTGATCAAATGGTTGAAAGAAGTTTCGAATCCAGAAGAAATCAAAAGAAATGACCCAAGCACCACAATTATTAACGCTAATGGAATGAATCTGTTGGTTTTGGATCATATTCAGACCGATAGTATCGTTCCAACTGACGGCCAGAAAATGTATACCAACCGATTGACAATTAACAAAGTAAATCATCAATATTCCAGTTCATAACTTTGACAATCATATTTTAAGGTTTCTCGTGAACACGCTGGTCGTTATATTTGCGTTGTCACCAGCGCTGAAGGCAACATTGTCTACAAAGCTGCTCAGTTAAACGTCCTGTCAAGTGAGATTTGTTGGAAATTAATAATGTTAATTTTTAAATTTCAGACTACGACTTCTCGTTCCGTATTTCTACTGATACTGTTCTTTTGGTCATCTTTCCCCTTGTTTCAATCTTTGTAATTATGGTGATTCTTGGTATAATATGGTTAAAGAAAAACCAAGAGCCATCCGGAAAAGCTTCCACGAAACCGCCACCACCACCTCGCATGCCTCCTCCAGCCGCACCCCAAGAAAGTGATTGGGCCAGTGATCGAACCCTTCACTCGTCAAAACCCCTTCTTCTTAACAACTCGATGTTTCAACAAAACAATTCATTAAAATATCATGCGGCAACTTTAGATAGAAGCATCCCTCAAAGAAATGAAAGAAGTAAGAAAAACAATATTTAAAAATTTGATAATATATATCATTTCAGGATTCGATGAGATGTCTAATGTTTACGACAGTGGATCTGTGCTACCATACTGGACTCAACAAAGAAACAATAACTCCATCTACAATGGAGGTTATCGGACCTTAGAAGTGTTCAAAAACCGTAATTACCCAACTTCTGAAGAATATTTTGATCAAGATAACTATTTTCATAACCAGCGTCGTTAATCCAAATAACTTCATCAATTTCTAGTTTGTCACCGATTCACGGGTATTTACAATTGCCATCTTTTTTTCTTTTTTTTAATTAACCAAATAATCGAGATTCGGTTATATCGGGTCATTTTTCTCGATTGAATTGTCATATTGAGTAGTGTCCACCAAGAGCTTACCAGACGTCTCTGTTCATAAGAGCTTAACTATTTTTTTGTGTTTCTTGAGCTTCCAACATTTTCCAGCTTTCCATCCTGTTAAACCGGTACCGATTACATTTCAATATAACATTGTTTTATGAATGCATGATTATTATTATTAATAAAATTTATTCATTTAATTTCTTAAAAACTGCATGAATGCTTACAAAAAATATTGTAAAGAGAACTTAATTCATTTTGGAATATTTGCTATTTTATGAGAATAATCTAGATATATATATATATATACATATATTATAACTCGAAAAAAGTGTCGAGGTTCAATCCAATAGATGTTAGACGAGATAATTTTAGCTTTTTTCATTTAAAATCTTCTCTGCACTTTGCTTGTTATTCAGTATAATGTCTTGCAATGTGATTGAATGTAATGATTTCAGATTTTCACAAATATTGTATCTGATTTTTTTCGATTACTTAAATAGCTTTAGCAATTCGAAAAGTATGCAATGTTTGGGCAGAGAAAGCTCATACAAGTTGTTTGGTCAATTGAACTTTTTTCTTACAATGAATCAAGTTTTCAGGACACGCTCCAGGCAGAAAAGTCGCCGGTCTGAAATCAAACATAGTCACATTAATTGATATTTGTTCAGATTAATACTTCCTTATTGCTGCTAAATATTTGACGCTTTTCAATAGAAAAAACCGTCGTCGGTACTGCTATCGAGACCGGTGTGTGACGGCATATGCGCTCCTCTCGGGCGTAAGCTCTATTTTCCGGCCGGATTGTCTGCCGACTGTGCGCCGCGCCACTCGCCACAGCATAGACGTCTCTCGCGAACACCATTTTTTGACATTGAAGCTAATTTGGCGCCGGTCGTGAAATGTCTTTACCCGGGCTGTGGAGCCGTTGGGATTCGCCCAGTGAAGGTAGGGAACATTTTTTAAAATTTTCTATAGCCTTTCATTTTCCAGTTAGATTTATTTCGATTTATTAAATTTCTTAATTAACAAATTGTTTCAGAATATTTTCTTAAGCCACAAATAGAGAACTTCTAAAATAAACTCAATCGATTAAGCTTTTCAATTTTAACAAATGTAATTTTTTAATGATGCATCACTATTTTCATTTTAGATAATAGACAATATGTCAGAAAATTGTGTGGGTTCGGTATATTATGGTTTTTTGCTTGCTTTTTTATTTGATCCTTATTCTCAATGCTCTGATATTAGGAGCATTGTTGATTGCGCAATATCTTATATAAATATAGCAGGATTATTTAAGTATACTTCAATTTTTGCTTGTTTTGTTTTCTATTACGAGTCAAGATCATCCGTAATTCTCGTGCATATATCTAAAATCTGCGCATAAGCAGTTCGTATGAAAAATTGAACGAATTGATAGGAGGGAGAATTCGAAACTGTTGTGTACACAGCTTGCATGCGGAATGGAGCAAATTCAACTGAAAAAAAAATGCATAAAGTAAATAAATTTCTTCTGTTGCTTTGAATCCCAATAACAAACAATGGTTTGTATTACATGAATATTTTAGTTACGAATGCAACGAATACGGTTCAACGATCAATCGAAAAAATATTGGCGGATGCTCTGGACACCCCAACACCTGTTTATTTTGACAAGCGAATAAGCCGTAAGATTGAAGTATTCCTTGTAAATAAATGAAATATTGTCAATAATTAAGCCGTGGAACCTTCCTTTTACGAATGCATCTATAGCTTGCCCAATTCTGTGGACACCGTTGTTGAAAGATGTTACAAGGACATTGGGTGCTGCGCAAGCGGTTGTTGTACAAATACGGATTGGTAAAAAACTTAATTTATTATAATTTGAGAGCTTAAAATATCTAAATTATTTTCGAAATCGTTGATTCCATTTTTAGAAAAAAAGTATTGAAATAATATTCTTGAATGTTGTTTCAAATTTCAAAGCGTTCTTACAGGCAAGCCAAATACGGATGGGCAGTTGCACTCATTTGTTTATTCTCACTCGTTGTTATAATCGCCGTCTTGTGTTGGTCAGCGGTTTGGCTCTGTGAACGTCGCAAAGATCAAAGACAAAAGCAGGAATTATACAAGTACGGAACATCGTCGGCCAAATCTTCTCAGGTAAACAATATTTCGTGTAGCTAAACAAAATACACATTAAAAAACTAGTAAAGCCTAAAAATCAATTATTAGATGGAAAAAAAATATATGAACTTGTCATAATTTGAATGAAATCCCTTATTTCGAAGTTTTTTTAAGAAGTTCTTAAAATTAATAAAACGTAATCCACCCATCTGAATGTTTTTTTTCTGTTTTTTGATAAATGAAAGTTTCGTGAAATTTAGGCAAATTAACGCCTTGTGTATCCTTTACTAATTCTTACAGATGTCTTTGGCTTATCCGATTCAAAATGGATACCATTTTGGGACAGGACCATTCCAATCTCCCCCACTGAATTATCCAACCAAGTATTAAAATCCTTTGATTCCCTCCCTCATTTCAGCTTCAATCTTCATTTTCCATCAAATGAAATCGCTAAAATTCTTTTGAATGTATGTATAATTATTCGCAATAAATGATTTTCAATATGGTTAGCAACTAAAGTTAAATATAATGGTTTAGGAAGTTAATTTATTTCAATTTGCGACGTGACTTTCTTTGATTCCACAATATAACAGAACTCAAAAAATGAATTATTTTAATATTGTTTTCATTGTGAACGCTAATAAACAAGACGCAGAGTTCTTATGACTGTAAAAAGGCATTCCAATTCATCTTTCACTAGCTTCCTAGAAAAATTGATTGAATATAGTGTTTCATCTATTTGTTTCATTTCAAGCCTAACCCTTCGTTAAAGGCCCAACTACAATGATGCTCTTTTCATTGATTATGAAGAAAACGGAATGTTCGTGACTCCGAATCGAACCCAAATTAATAAGACAAGTTCTGAATTTTTAAAATTTTTAAATTTTCTTAGATTATTGACATTGTTTACCCACACTGTAAATCGTACATATCAACAATAATAAATATATACTGTTGGCAAGAAAGTAAAAATTGAAACGTTCGTCATATATCTTGAAAATTAATAATAACTTATTTAATTTGTTGCAGTTGCACTGCACCACCAATTTAAAATATATAGACCTGCGGAAATTGAATGATCTCAAATAGTTGACCAATTGATTACTGTTTATTTATGAAAAATAAGTAATGTTATTTGAAGATACTTTTCATATTTAAATTATGGAAACTTCGAAAAAAAGCCGGCAATGAAGTTGAATAATTTTCAAGTATAATTTATTAAAATTCAAGAAACTTGCCACAGCTCATTCAATACGCGCTCCAATATTTTTGAACAATTATTCGAATATTACTAGAGGCCAACTGTTCTAAAACTATTCGTATACGTCTTTGGGGACGCGCACTCTTCTCAATGCTGTTTTTGACTTTTCGATATATATATAATTAAAAAAAAAACTTCAGTAGTAATAATATTGAGTTTGACTATACGTTCAAAACTATTCATTAAAAATAAAATTGGCAAAAATACCGATTTGAAGTAGGCATATTCAGTGCTCATAAGCTTGCACTCAACTACTATTATTGTGGTTGGTAGCGCCACTGTGACTTTACACTCATCTTTTGCTCGTGTTGTCAAAAATAGCATTTTGTTCTGTAATTTCCACCGCTGAGGCGAAAAAAATTATACATCTGTATTGTTACACCGTGAGCTTTAAAGAGGCGTTACCCAACAGAGTGTTAGAGAATGTGTGTTCTATTGATATCCCCGTCGAGAAAACGTTTGGTTCGAGGGAAAAACCGCAAAAAAAACGTTTATCTTTCTTTTCTACCACTAAAAAAAACACGGACTCCTATCATTAATCAGCCGGCCATAGGTCTCTTCGTACGTTTTTTTAGCTTTTGCCCTCAGCGTTGCAACGCCCTAAAAAAAGTCGCTTATCATCAATCAGGTGTTGTTGTAAAGTGCGGAAAAATACGCCGATGTCTCACTATTTATCCCAGCTCAAGGAATATCTGTTCTAACCGCGAACGCCACCGACAACCCTGATTTATAAGCGTCATTCGTGAAGTCAGGTAAAATCGAGATCTCGCAGGTTGACATCCAATGCATTGTATTTTTGCAGATATGAAGCTGTTGATTCTCGTTTTGCTGCCAGCGTTCATTTTTAGTTCATCAGTTAGCTGGTGGCCAGATAGTTGGTCTGATTATTTCAGTTCATCAGAAACTAACGAAATCGGCACACGAGAGCCACCACAGAAAAAAATCTATGCGCTTGAGGAGCGGACCGATAATTATAAGAACAAAAATGGTACGATTAATAAGGTAAGATCCTGGAACGGATTTTTATTCAAAAATAAATCTTCTATATATATGTTTCTGACGCCACTCTAGAAAATATCTATTTTGCTCTAATATGTTTTTTCGTTTTAAATTCACATTTCGACACTTTATTTATAACTATTTTAGAGACTCGCTGAATTGAAACGCGTTATTGACGGTAACTGCTACTTCTTCCGCTATTATCGTGTTACTTGGACTGGCTATCAAAGTGAAGTCAATTTGCCACAGGAATTGAACGGAGTTCCAGTTTGCACTCAAGAAGTGTAGGAATAACTCGGAAATTGACCCAAAAAATACTCTAAATTTTTAGATGTGGAAAGTTATTCAGAGAGAATGTTGATTGTCCGAGAGCGTTTGGAAGCGATTTCGAAATCGAAGTTCCATTCTAATTAATTCTAGTTGCCTTATTTACTATTTTTATAGATTCCTCTGTTTTTGATTGTTTAATGTGTCATTTAAATGAATTAGTTTATATAGCTGATGACCAAAACAGTAAAAAAATTAAACGAACATTTTAAATAAACGTGTATGGACGTGACCTTCATTGTGCAGCTGTGGCCGTCTTGCAAACTATAGCGTAACATCCTGCGTCTCTTCATTCTTTTCATATTATTGCATACAACCACTGGTAGATTATTTTTGGCTCATTAACGACGCCAACTAATTGAAACTTGCCTTCAATTCAAAAGTTTTTTTCACAAATTATTATAAATCGTATTATTATTGAATTAACTAAAAAAAAATTTCTATCGTTTATTATGACAACGTCAGCAGAAATTTATTTTCACAAAATATTATCACAAAATTTTTTTTTCACAAAATCTTTTAAGTCGAATTATTATTGAGTTAACTAGACAATTTTGTTTCTTTCACTAGTTTGTTATATCAAAATCTGCAGAAATGAGTTCGGATCTCATTGATATGTTCTCCTCCCCAGCACGACAAGCTCAGGCAACAGCTTATGGTTTTCCAACCAAACGTCGACGTAAATTTATAGCTTTAAAAAGCCCAGTTCCACCAAAAGTGTAAGTTATTTTCATATGAATTATTATTTATCATTAACTCAGGGTGCAAAAGCAACAACAAGTCCGACATGACGCCATAGAGCAAAAAAAAATTCTTGGAGAACATGTGCTTCGCTTTTTCATACAAAACTCGATACCATTTGATAGGGTAAACGATTATTTTTTTATGAAGTTCATAGTCGGAACAAAACGAGCAAAAACAGCCCCGATACCAACAGCAACGGAACTTGAATTTTATTTGGACAAACTGGCTGGACAGATTAAAGTAACAGATATAATTGAATTCAATCCACTGTATCAACATTTTCAGACTCATAATTATTTCAATCGATCATTCGGTCCCTTCTCAGTAACATTTGATGTCGTTCGTGGTCCCACCACTGTATATTTGGCGTATTCTATTCACAGTTTTGAGACGCGTTTGTGCAGAAGTAATCGCGTATTCCTTCATAGAGTTGTCATGAACACGTAATTGTTTTTTATTTATTTGAATTCAACACAGCCACATTTAATACTGATTTCAGTGCGGACACTGATACAGTATTAGGATTGATTCGACGAACAATTTGCAATAGCACTTACAAGCAGCTCAATTTTCGCAACGTTGTTATACGAGAACCACAATTCATGAATGAGTTTTGCCGTGACAAACCAGAACTGAAACCGTTAGATGTTTTTTTTTCGATTTTTCAAAAAACATAATGTCTTACAGGTTCATTTGCTTCTCTGCATATATAAAGCAATTTGCTGATAGTATTTTCACGCACGATTTCTTCAAATGGCCATTCATGAAATTTCGCAACATAGTTAAAGGTGCCATGAAAAATAAATATCACGGTGAAATCGTGGAGAAATCGATGAAGAAGTTCGAATTCTTTTTGGACATTCCAAGCCTGTTCGACAAATCGTGGAAAGAAAACGCAATTATTGTCGATTTTTTTGTTAAACATTTCGGCCTTTTCACATCACTTAATGAAAGGTTCGAATTGAATGAAGCGATTACCAACGAGGATATGTGTTATATTGAATATCTCCAACGGTTGTACATGTTACTGAGAGAAATTGAACATGATGTAAAGACAATTTTCATCGTTTATGAAATTTTTTCTTAATTTTACAGCTTTCTTCCACCGATAACTCTATATCTCAAGTTGTTCCCGCAGTTCAAGTGATACGTGATTTTGTAGAAAAGTAATCGAGATTAATCTCATGATCCCATAATTATTGTATTTCAGTCAAGAATTTGAATATCAATCGATCATAATGAGCTCATTCGATAATATTATGGCACCACTTTTGAGCCATTCGCATCCGAATCGATACGACATCGCGTGCTTTTTGGATCCGAGATATTCTTTGCGTTTAAATATATATTCACTAAAAGATTGGCAAAAAATTGCATGTGATTTTGTCAATTTGTGCTGTATGTTGGAATTTTGACTTTTCAATTTTAAATAATAACATTGTTGCAGGCAAGGATGAAATTGTATACGAAGCAGTAGATGGCTACAGGTCTAACATGAAAAATGCGCGACTGGTCAAATTCAGGGTACTTTGCTATTTTTATCATGGCATCACGTGACCTCTATGGAGATTTAAAAAAATCAGAAAAAGAAAATTTTTTAGTATACGGTTTTTTAGGTTTACAAGTTTTATTACCGATTCTTAGAGTTTTCAATGCAAAACTTGCATTATACCATAATTGAAAGAATGTCAAAATGTAGTTTTAAATTGAATTGTACAGAATATCTCTAATAAATTTAATTTTGCAGAACGAAGTGAATTTTTACTGTAGCACAGTTCAAGCTTCAAGACCACATCTAAAATCTGATCTCATGGAATGGTGGGGAGTATACGAAAGCAATCTGATCTTAATGTTTCAAAAAGCGCTTCATTTTCTTGGAACACCAGCGATATCTCTAGATGCCAACAAATACTTTGGGTTCGTGTTATTTTCATCAATTTTTGTTTTTATTGGATTTGCAGAAAAGACGGAAAACACATCAATTTGTGTTATCAACTAACTTACAAAGCTTTGGAAAACGCTCTTGCTGTTGCCGGCACAATGGAAACATATGAAGGAGGCGGTAGAAGTACTAAAATTAAAAAATCTGCCCTATTTCGTTATTTTTCAACTAACAAGTTTATCAGGTTAGCTATCTAGATAATTTTATAGATAGTAAATTTTTTTTTTCAGGCGAGCAGAAGATGATGATGACTTAGAAAAATATATGATGGCTCAGCCGGCAGAAAAAACAAAGAAAACTGACGAAAAAGCGATTAATCAAAATTTTTCGATTGTTAACCACCAAGAAGGACAGACATCAATGGGGAACAATTTAATTAGAAATGAAGTTATAAAGCAGAAGACAGTGGAAGACGATTCAATTCCGGACAAAGTCATAAAGCAAGAACCAGTAGAAGCAGCTCCGATTCCCGATAAAGTCATTAAGCAGGAGCCAGTGGAAGATCATGATAATGCAGAAAATGTAGCAAAGAAAAAGCATGTGGAAACTTCTTCAAGTGCGGACAAATTTATCCAACCAGGCCATATTGAAATTCCTTTGATAGCAGACAAAGTCATAAAGGATGAACCAATTGACGAATACCCAACGACGGTGGAAGTGGAAATATCAAGCAAAGGACGAAGGGTCAGAGCTCCAATTCTCGAGAAACTGGAAGAAACGAACGAGGAACCTTTATCTGCAAGAAGTGCGCGATGTAGGAAACCTCCGAAAAGACTCCAAGCGTATGAGACAGTGCCTCAGCGAAAACAAACAGAGAAGCCAAAGACAAGAAGAGGACCTTACAAGAAAACAATGGAAAAACCACCAATGCTGGAAAAAATGATCGCAGAACATTCAGTGGAGAAGTCGAAAGTTATAAGAAAAAGGAGAAGTTGTCGAGAACCCGTGGATCCACATCCAGTACTTGAAAATGACGTTAAAAAAGAACCAATTGAAGGACCCCTGACCAAACGAAGAAAGAAAAAAATCCAACTCCCTATGTTGCAGGATGTCATAAAGTCCGAGCCGATAGAAGAAACCATTGTGCAGAAAAATACGTCAACGCAAAACACTACCACCACTGAAAAAGCACCAGATGGTCTTTTGGACGTAAAAAAAGAACCTATTGATAACGTGTAAATTTGTATTATTTTAAAAATATTGAAGAAATAACATCTTCTCGCCTATGTGTAATTTTAATGATGTTCGTTTTAAATATGATGGTTGTTATCACATTTTTTTATTCGACTTTATATGAAAACTACAATAAACATCGAAAGTTTTGATCATTTTGCGCTGAGACCAAAAGTGGCAAACGTTTGTCAAAATCGACCGTCTATGATGGTATAAAAGCTAAACAGATCGTGAAGTAAAAGCAGATGTGAAAAAGTGGCTCGCTGAAACGACGGTGAATAATAAGTGATTGTGAGTGATTTTTAGAAACTGAGACGTTTTTTTCACCAGAGTTTTGTAGAAACGTTTATTTTCATTATCCTTTGTATCTTGAAATTTTCTGATAATTAATAGGCTTGAATTGCAATCGAAATTTTGTATAATTCCATGTTTTTGCAACTATTTTGTGATAAAAGAAAACCTATTCATAGTGTCCTTGACCATTCGCTCCAAGTGCAGAATTGGCGTGATTTTTCCTTCAACTGAAACATAAATTAGAAAAGTATTGAAATATTTGAAAATTTGTATTGTTGGTTTAAAGCGACCGATAGGTGACTGGGACTCCAATATCAATTCAGTGTAGATTTACGAATTTGTATTTAAAAAAAGCGGAGTCTTTTAGCCTCAATTCACATTTAAATTCAAAATATTTAAACTAAATTTGTTTAATTGATTGATGTCAAATGAAATGTGTGCATATTTGCGCCAGTGTGTATAGAGAAAAACTTAAAAAAGCAATCATTACTACGTACCAGTCATTCCGGGGACCGTTTATAGGAAGTCCCTACCCAAAAATTGTTTTATGTTTTAAAAAGACAATATTTTTCAAACTGCAAGCAGATAATATTCAATTATTTTTCAAAATTCCTATTGTGTAACATCTTTCTCTGCGCACATGTATGTGTTGTCTATCAACGAGAGTCCGCGTCATTCGTGGAGTGTGCGGCCGTGGCCGTTATAGCGTCACACCACACGCTTGCCGTCTTTATTATTGCTACACAAAACGCTATTTTTACGTTTTTCGTGCATACACACATTCGCTTACGTAAATTAATTATTGTTTAATGTTAATTATTCCAGGAGAAAATTCAATTTGATTGAAGACTTGGAAGCACATAATCGCAATGGACAGCCTGATTCCTAAATCAGACCCCGAACAAACAAATAAATTAAATCCTGAGTTGTACTATGCACAAAATGCACCACCGGGAACGTAAGTTGTTTGAGAAGATAAAATACATGAAATGATTGTTTTTCAGAAAATTTAGCATTCGTCCAGTTATTGTAGAAAAATTGCCACCAGAAACAACGAAAATGTCACCAAGTACAAGTAAACCTGCAAATTCGACAGTTATGCCAAGGATTCCCACGTAAGTATTCGTTTCGCCTTAACATTGTTTTAATTATTCATTTTTCAGTTTGAATATGTTTGAAGCGACACCAACATCAGACGTATTAAAAGAAAGAATAGGAAAACTGTTGGCCAAGTTCTTCACATCACATGGAATCACTCCAGATGCAATTGAAGATCAATCTTTAGAAGCTGTATTTAAACTTCTCAACGCTGGAAATTTGATTCCAAACAAACAAGAACTTGAAGTATATATAGAAAAAACGGCAACATTAGAACAAGTAAGATATAATTTGTAATACTTTTTAAAATTTTTTTCAGTACCCTATCAATTTTGCAAGAAACGGTGGTTCTTTAACAGCTACAGTAGATATTCACAACTACGGAGATGATAACTATATGGCATTCAGTGTCCATTGCTTCGATGATAGTAAAAAAAGACGAAACCTTGTATTTTTGAAGAAAATGGCTTTGACAGAGTGAGTTAAAATTTGATTCGATCAATTATGCTTTTGTTTTTCAGTATGAGCCCTACTAATATTCTTATGACGATGAAGCAGTGCATTTTGAAATCCGCGCCGAATAAAATTCATTTCGAAAACATTGTCTGCCAAAATGTTCAACTATTTCAAAAAATGAAACATTTCAAAGAAATTAAAGTGTAAGTAGTCATTATTTTAAAAAATGTTACAAATATCTTGTTTTTAGGTATTTGTGCTTTGTGACCATTATCGAGCGTTTTGTGAAGTTGATTCTGACACTTCCAGTATTCTCGAAAGTCATTTCAACTTTGCGATCGTTCATTCTCTACGTTCGCAGAACTCCTGAGCTATACAATCGATACTGTCGTTTACAATTAGCGAAAAATGGCGGAGCATTAGATCTGCCAAATATTCCTGAAGATTATGATTGGCAACCCATCGCGGTGTTTCTCGAAAAGTGCTTAGAAAAACATCAAACTTTTTTGGAATTGGCCGAAAAATTCCATTTGACTAAACAATATCTGAGTCCGCAAATGCATTTGAATTTGGTTGATCTTGGAAAAATTCTTTCGATGTTACGACGATATGTGCATCAAGTAAATCTCAATTTGCGACTAAACAAATATAATTTCAACAAATTTCAGCTTTCGCAAACGGATAGTTCGATTTCTCAAATTGTACCCGCCATCACTTGCATACATTATGTTCTTGAAACTCAGTATGTCTTGACACTCAAAATTGATCCCAAACTTTCAATTTTCAGTTTTCCCACACGCTACGAGTTTGATTACATGGCTGCTGATGATTTACATCTGAAACCGTTTCTTAACAATCGGCAAGACAGGAGATATGACTTCGCAACACTTTTGGATCCCCGATACGCCTATTTGCAATGTATTTATAATTCAACGGAGTGGAACGGAATCGAGTTTGATTTCCTTAGCGCATATAGTTAGTCCAATAATGATTCTCAATATTTCCTTGGGTTTTTTCAGCTCGGGAAGAAGATCTCACTGATGAAGCATTAGCTTCTGTTGAGCCTAAATCAGTGAAGGAGATGCAGGAATGTCGCAACAAAAAAATTCAAGTAATTGGGAAAAACAACAAACAGCAAATAAAATTTTATTAATTCAGAGTGAATTCGCAAGCTATCGTTCGCTTGTCCTCTCGGGAAGACCATGTTTCGACGTCAACGTGTTTGATTGGTGGAGTTCAAGATCTGAAGAGATGCCCTATCTATATCGAAAATCAAAAGAACTCCTGGTTCCTCCAGCTTGCGCAATTAGCGCTGGCCATTATTTTGCGTGAGTCACTTTCATTTTAGTAAAAAAAAATTAATCAGAATACTTTTTTTAGGCGTGGCGGAAAGTTTACACATTTATGTTCACAGGATATAAAGCTAGAAGCACTTGAAAATACTCTAAATTTGGCAGCATCAAGAGAAAAATTCTTCGGAAAAGGATATTCTAAATCTTTAAAAACAATGGAATCACGATTTGAAAACGATTTTCAAGATCCAAGGGACCCTTTGTAAGATGCCAAATACAACCAATTTCCATCAGTTATAGATTTCAGGAAGTCTTTTGTTCTACAAATGAATGAATCCTCAGCAGAAAGTCTCTCAATCGAAAATTTACTTATGGCTGCACCACCAGAGAAAAAAGAAAAACTCTTGGAAGTCAAGGAAGAAGTTATGGACGATTTCGAAAATTCTGTGGACATTAAACCGATAATTGAGGCACCTGTCGTTGCATTCACGGATACTGTCGTGAAACAAGAAATGGAAGAGTCAGATCAAGATCAGTAAGTGAATATTGAAACAATTCTACTGAAGTTCACCATTTTTAGATCACCAGCGAGCAGTCATGATAATCATGCGACATCAGAAGAACCTAGCGGAAAAGTTGCATGGTTGCCGCGCCGCAAATTGTAATAAAATTGGGTGAAAATATCAACACAAATGAAGATTTTTTCAGCTATGGAACCAAAAGATGTTGTGTGTGCAGTCGATCAATGGAACCAGATGTAATGAAGCAAATGACAGTTTATTCTGAACGTGCACTATTATTCTTGGCTCACACGCTTGGCAGAAATCCGGTATTTAGTGCGAATAAAGCGAAACTTGCCTTAGAAAAAAACGTAAAAAATTATGTGTGCCGAAGTCATTTGCAAGAATCCGTATGTTTTACTATATATCTACAGTACGATATCATACATGTTTCAGTGCGTCTATATAGCTGCTGAAATTGGAGTAGACGATAGCAAGCAAATTTATTATTTGAATATGCGCTCCACAAGCCTGTCAAAACTTGTTAAACAATATGAAACCATGATGGTAATATTTGGGTTGAAATTTAATTGTAGACAAATTCAACGAACTCATACTAACTTTATAATTTTCAGGGGTCAGTTACTCACGTTGATGATTTCAAGGGTACCATTTCAAGGTACTTCCAGAAATACAATCGGGATGAATTCAAAGTAATTTTCAACTAATTAATCGTCATTAAATTGGAATTATATAGAAATTACTCGCGGAATACAAGCGTGAACAGGCGAAGGAAAAAGAGAAGTCTGGATCATGGTCACCTTCTCCATCGCCACCGCCAATACCAGTGCCTGTTAGCGAACCGATTAAGACTGGATTGCAAAAAGCTGAAGAAGCATTGATGCAAGATGTTCGGAAAAAGTTTCCCATCCCGCCTCCATATATAAGCAAAGGAGCAAAAAGAGCGGCAGCCCCCAATATTATTTCAGTGGCTTTAAAGCGTAAACAAACTCATCCGGAAAATTCCATCGAAAGTAGTGCGGATGAAACGGAAAATCGACATACCGGTTCTGTTCGACAAGATTTTCTTGTTTGTGCCTACTGCTATGATAACGGATGTCCTGAAGAGATGACAGCAGTTGCGAAAGGAGCCCGACGACTCAGTGGCTGGATTGAGGTTCTGGGACGTGAATTCGAGAAAAATGTTAGAAATCGACCAGATGCTGTCATATGCAAAAGTCATTTTTCACTTGACGCTTTCAATAATTCCGGAAAACTGAAAATTGGATATCTCCCATGCAGAAAAGTAATTGTCAAAAATGAAAACCAGAAATAATTCAATCTGTTACCTTCAAAATCTGTAATTATTTTCTTTTAACATTGTCACACGTGTATTAGTGTTTGTCATAATGTACAACAGACTCAAGTAGTAAAATAAACGTTTATTACATATTCGTGATAAGGCACATTCAGAATGAAAATTACTAGGCACGTATTCTCATGCTTTATTCCCGTGTCGCAAGATGATTACATGTCAATCAAATGAGCAAGGATGAATTGAAACCGATTGGGCGAAAAGTTTGCAAAGCTGCGAAAATCACCTTGGTGCTGAATAAAGGGTTCGTAAGAAATATTTAATTATCTTACCTAATTCTCATCCCCGTCTCAAAAATTATACTTTTTGTTCACATCATGTTACATTCGAAATTCTTTTTTGTGTGCACGACATATATTTTGAATTGGTTTCTCACTGTAGTAATCGTCATTCGCGAATCAAAATTCACTTCTACCACGCGTTGCGGACGCGCAGCGTATGTGTATGTGCGAACGGTAGCCACTTGGTGTACAACTGGTATTCAACACATCATATCTTTTTATTATTAGCATATAAACGTCGAAAATGTCGCAGCGTGTGATTTTTCATTTATTTTCATTCATTGTTTAATGCAAAATATATATGTTTTTTTTTTGCTTCTTCATATCTGCATAATTCTATGCAATTTATTTTAAATTATTCAGTTTCATTATAACAATCGACACTTTGCAAAGAGAAATACACACATAATTTCGTTTACAAGCGTTTCCCCCCTTTGTAAAACGCTACGACATTTCGCGAGTGCCCGCTGTTTAACGGCGTTCTCCTGAAATGTTGAATTTTCGTCGCGAGACCTTGGTTGTTATTCGTTGTGACGCACCTTTAAATCAAATTTACCGATACATCTCTTCATTTCAAATTTGATTGGCATTTTCGATGTTTGATTACATCTTACTTGCAGGATAACAACTATGGACAACGCCAATGTGGCACTATTAGTGGTTTTGGACATTTTCGAGCGCGTGAAGAACAATCCCAAAATAGCAAAATGTCGTTTGTGCGGCGAAACCGGACAACATCAAACTACTCCGATGTTCAAGCACATGCAAGAAAAACACAGTCTTATTGTAGAACAATACAAAACACGTGAATGCACTGTATGAAATTATTTTAATTGATTAATTCAATAATAATAGACGATGAACCATATTTAAAGTTTGTGAATTCCAGATCAACGTCAAAACGCTGTTTTCCTTTTTCAACAAGACTAATGACAAATATCGATGCACTTCATGCAGTCGATTCTTTCGATGCGACTCGTCTCCGAGAATCATGGAGAATCACTTGAGATACGCTCATTTGTTATCAAATATTGAAATGAACAAAGAAAAAAATTTGGATAAGGCTACGACAAGCAAAGCTGCGATGAAACAACCAGTTGAAACAAAGCCATGTATTACTGCCGAACAGCAGAGCACGCTCTCTAGTTTTATTTTTAACAAGTACTCAATCACACCATCCAAACTTGAATCAAAAATTAATATTTAGCGTGGAAGAAAACACACCAAAGATTGTCAGTGCAGAAGAAAGAGTATGATTAAAATGGAATTATTGTTAAACGAATATATTACAGAACAACACCCTCATTGAGAAGTATTACTACGAACATAGGAATGGAAAACAATGTGTAATCTGCAAACGAATTTTCTATAAGAAATCGGAGCATATTTTGATCAGTCACATAACTGTTGCTCATCCGCATGTGGACGAACTGCGAAAGGAAACAGCGAAGCTGAAAATACTCTCCGAAGAGAAAGAGGTAAACTTTCACAAATTCACGATAATAATTATATTGAGCCCTAGGAAGTTATGTTGGAGTATTTCGAAAAAGGCAATGCTCGTTGGCAGTGCAAGCTATGTGGTTTCTTTTTCCACACGAAGAAAAATTGTTTCCAACATCTGCAACTCAACCACAGCGACATATTGCAAAAGCTAGTGGGAGATGTACATTTTCAATACCCTTCGACGACAAAGTAAATTTGGTAAAAAAATAAATATCAATGAGTACCGATTTTCAGTGCTCCCACAAGAATTCAACCAAAACGAGCCGTTCGACAAGTGGAAGAAGTGACACCACCTCCAAAAACAAAACCTCCAGTTAAAATGATAACTGGCCAAATCCACTATTCTAGTGGTGGTCCTACCGAAGAGATGTCATGCTCAGATTTCAAGAAAGTGGACAATAATATGTTTGAATGTACATTGTGTGGCCTCAAAATCAAAACAACGAATGTTAACCATTTGGTGAAACATTTGAGAACTGTCCACGTCGCGTTTCCAATGAAGAGAATTGCATCGGCATTGAATGTTGAACCACCTCAAAAAAATCGAGCAGAATCTTCAGCAATGTAATTATTTATTTTTTTCAAAAATTATAAAGAATATTCTCGAAATTAGTCAGAATCTCCAAATTAATCGATGTAAAACTATTTTATTCTATTTTTATTCGCTTTCAACGACAGTATCAGTGTTTAGCTCAAACTTATTAGCCGCAAAAGTTCAGAATTTCTGCTGTTATTTTATTTACAAAGTTTTTTAGACCAATAATTGCGACGAATGACTTTCTTAAGAACTATGATCAACCATCATTTGAGGAAACCGTAAGAACCGTGAAAATCATCGAAAGTTGTAATTTCTCATTTATTTTCAGAGTAGTGATTACATTTGGAACTTTTTCGAGGACAGAGATAATGTTTTCCATTGTCTCTGCTGCGATTTGAAGTTCGCAAAGCGTACTCATGCGTCACTCGTGAAACATCTAATCAATATGCATCCACAAGTTGCTCATTCCGCAAAGATTCGCGAACGAACTATTGATTACGATTTAGGGATTCGCCGTATGCCAATATCTAATCAGAGAGGGTTCGAGTTTAATAACCATTCTACAATATTTAACATTCTTGAATTATAGGCGTGGAAAGCCAGTTCCGCCAGAGCAAACGTTGACAATGTTTATGATGTGCAATGGAATACCCTATGATGCGGTCGAAGACCCTTCGTTTCATACTATACAGAACGCCTTGGTACGTACAATGGAACATACGAAACAAGTGTTCATTGAAGCGAGTGTCGAGAGACTCAACACTGAGCTAGTGGTAGGATTTCTTATTTGATCGTGATAATATAAAAAATATTTAGAAAAGTTATTTCGCGTGTATAAAAACTCCAATATGCGCAACCGTTGATGTTTGTACCGACGAGCACGAATCCTATTTGGCGTTTTCACTTCATCACTTTGATGATCATTTTGAACGAAAAAATCACGTCTTCTTTCATAAGCTTGTGAATCCAAGTCCGCAAAAGACCGAAATCCTCAACGCGATTTCCAATAAAATGAAGGAATTTGGATTTGGAGAGGCCACTGTTAAAACGTTGATTTACTCTGGTCGTCTTGAGCACGTGCTTTCTGATATGGGTGATGAACCAGCAAAGTATCGTATTAGTACCGATTCTACAAAACGTTACGATTTTTCAGATACATGAGTTTCTACACGAATCTTGAAAACTTTTGCAATAAGGTGATCAATATTCAAAATTTCCGCACGGCGTTCAACGTTTTTGACGCATTTTTGACAAATATTCGTCAAACTGAAAATATGCCTGAGCGTTTCAACCTGTAAGAGTTAACAATGCCGTTTGGTTTTTTATGTTAAATAAAACTTTGAAGCATGCAATATGGACGTGGGAAATTTTTCGATTTAACACTATCAAAAAGTCAACATTACATGGATGTGAAGGAGCTTCTGAAAAGGACGTTTGAGGATCAGCAGATTGTACGTTCGCAGAGATAAAAATAAAAACTGATTAATTTCATTTCAGATTCCTATGTTGGAATCATTCTCACGACGTTGGAAAATTTCCGGATTTCCTGCTAATCCAATTCTCGAAAATTTGCGAATTCTTCATCAGATTTTGGAAACTGTAGGACGTTTCATTCAAGCTGTAATCATATTTTAAAATCCATTTTTTAGAATTGTGTATCATTCTTTTTCAGATTACGGGTCCTCATAGCGCTATAGCACTAGTCATACCCGCAGTCAACAAAATTAAGCAGATGACAGTGTCAATCAATGCATCGAAATCTGTTAAGAAAGAAATTGAACTAATTATTCGCCAAGAGTTCGACAACTATATTGAAAATTTTTATTACAAATATTACAAATGTGCTACCATGCTTGATCCGAGATTCTCGTGCACCAGTTTGTTTTCGAGTGACGAGTGGGACGGAATTGAACGAAAAATTATAGAGGAAATTGGAGGTTTCAAAAATTCCATACTTTATGTTTATTTTTGGGCATAATAATTTTTAGCGTGCAAAGAATCGTACCCGAAAAATCCGAATGGAACCCAAAGTGTGCCGTCAGAATCGGAAGTTGACACCGTTTTCGAATCTCTACGAAATGAATTCGAACAATATAAAAGCCTTATTACCCAACATCGGCCGACTTTGAGAACGCAATCTTATGAATGGTGGCATTCATACCGAGCTGCGTTGCCACAACTCTATAAGAAGGCTCGAGAATATTTGACAATTCCGATTACCACAATCGACGCCGATTTCTATTTCGGGTAATTATTACTGTCATTTGGAACATTTTTTAACTGGAGAATTCAAAAACAAAAAAATGTCGTTTGAATGAGACGAACAGTGGCTTAGTGCGCAGTTGTGTTTAAAAAATTTAACCAATTATGTTTTACAGAAATATTTTTCAGACGACACGGAAAATTTGCTCATTTGGTTTCTCGTCTTACGTATCACCAACTCCAAAGCGCATTAAATGTTGCTGCCGTGAATGAGCCATTCAGGTATTTTAAAGACAGTTCAATTTTAAATTGTTCATTTTTTTTAGAGGAAAAGGTAACATTGAAGCTCCTAAGAGTTATCTGAAAAAGAAGGAGGAAAGCCCATCCGAGCCACCAGCAAAACGTTCCAAAGATGCAGCAAACCAGCCACCACCACTTCCGCCTTATGTGTGCCAAACCACCCCAAAACAACAAAATGGCAACGACATTTTACCGTAAGAATAGGAATTGCGACAAAAAACGATGAATTTTTCAGTCATAGAAATCCAAACCGACTAATTCGATGTAACACATTATCAGAAAGAGATCAGGATGAAGTGGATCCCATTGAGAAAATGCTAATGGAACCACCATCATTCCGTAGTTCTGCGCCATTATCTAACTTGTAAGAAGGCATACTTGGGTGCTTCAAATGAATAAGTGCCAATTTAGGACTAGCGTGAAGAACGAAATGCCGGAGCTTTCAAACGAGATGCCGTACATTCTCAACGAGAATTACATTTCGCATGAACAATCATATGTTTCAAACGAAGGTTCATTCGGCGCTCAGGCAGATCCGTTTGATGATCAGGAACAATGCTATGAAGATGTCAAACCGGATATCAACATGCTTAAAAGCGCGAATATAAGTTCGCCCAAAAGCCCAGATGCTAGTATACCTAAAAGCACGGATACGTGTGTGTTTAATGACACGAATGCTAGTGTGCTCAGCGAAACTGATATCAAACCCGATGTGAATACTCTAAAATGTGTAAAAACTGAGAGAGAAGACAGTTAGTTTGCATAATTATCAACTAGCTATGCAATTGTATTATAGTTTTGTTTTTGTTCTATGTCTTTATATTACAGGTAATTGTTCTTTTGTGACAAGCATTTTTTGCATTATTTTGTGTAACGCTCTTTAACAATTATTGCTTTAAAATATTGCTGTTTTGTGCTTTAAGCGCAGGTTTGACCTATCTCATTTGATTTCTATAAATGTTTGTTAGAAACGTTTTTTTTATTATCTAAAATTATTATCGAAAAGTTAATATTAAGTATATGTAGTAGAATTGTTTTTTTAGAACATGAACAACTTTGCGAATTTAAAAACGTATTTATTTACATTATAATTGATCCAATTTTCTATTTGTAAAAACAACAATTAGACATGCAATTATTTTTTGTACGTTGTGCAGTATCCAGATGTGCAGTATCTTCCGCTTCCACAATCGCTGTTGTAGGTGCATCGGGTTTGCGCATAGTTTCCATTGTTATTGAATCCATTCGAATTGTACATCACATTCATATTGGAAGATTGGCACATGTTGTTAACGCAGCGTTGGTTATATCCACAAGAATTGTTCGATGTGCAGTAGGCTGAATATTATAAAATTATTGTGAACTATTCTAAAGTTCTGCTATTACCACCAGGGCTATACATTTGGTTATTATAATTGGTTCCATATGTAGCCACACAGTAACCGTTAGAGCACATTTGGCCGCTAGGGCAGTCTGTCGAATAACGACAGGAAGTAGAATATCCAGCTGTAAATAAAAAAGTTGTACAAAGCATCAAAACAACCACTAACAATTCTGGTAAGATGGATTGTATTGAGTTGAATACTGCGACGACATATAGTAGTTGTTATTGGCCATATTGCTAACGCATCGATTATTCTGGCAAATTTCATTTGAACTGCATGAATACGAGGTAGTGCAATATTTTCCAGAACCTAAAGCATTAATATAATTTTCAAATTGTTGATAATTACATTTACCGCTGTTGTACTGGTTTCCGTATTGGGTGTTCATATCGTAGTTGTTGTTGTAAGTGTTAATTCCACCATTATAGCTCAAGCTGTTCATGCATTGCCCGTTTGAGCATACCTGCCCACTTTGGCAATCGTATGAGCTGGAGCAAGAACGGTCTGGAATAGTTTCTTACGTTGATATAAGATATCATTTCATACAATTATTGTAGTTGTTGTTGTAAGATGGAGTGGTTGAAATGTAGCTAACCGCTGAACACATTCCAACAAGCTGCAAATATCGTTAAATATCGAGAGCTGTTTAAAACACTTACCACTGAAAGAAGAGCGAACTTCATATTGCCAATAATATTTTTATCGAACTCACATTTCATCCGCTTTTTATACTACTTTGGGAACCACTGAATATTTGTTTTATTCTCTTTAAACATGTGACACTTTAAACAGTTAATCCTCGAATCGAGTCAACACATGTTTTTGGTAACCTTGCTGTTTCTGAAGAGAGTTGGGCCGAAAACTCCTGAAACGTAAATATAAAATGAAATTGTGTTGACATACCACCGTGACATCGTTGTTTATGATAACTTACTGTTTACAAAACGAAATTACTGTCTTTGTGAAATTTTGTCGGCAAGTCTGAACAAACAATTATCACTAATTGTTGCCAAAATTAAACTTTTTGCTTTGATATCTCGAAGTGAGTAAACAAATGTTGCACTTGAAAATGCAATTAAAAATTCGCTGTTGAAAAAAAAACTATTCAAATGTTTCAATTAAGAATTATAATAAAATGAATGGCAAGTGAGTAAGAAAGAAAATGAAACCTGCCACCGATTGCTGACACGCGCTGACACTAATCGTGAAAATCAAAATTTCATTTACAATATTTGGAAAATATAATGATAAATGTATAATATATAAATAGATGTACAGTACTGGCCATAATGATGTTCGCCTAGTGTTTTTTGAGCATAACATGGCTCAAACGCAGCCGATCGGGCTGAAATTTTTACCATATCTTTAATACGCGTTGAAAATGCGTTTGAATGATATCGCATACTGCAGAAAAGTTTTTTTTTTCGAAAAATCACAAATTTCATAAAAATGCAGAAAATGGAAAAAATGACACAATGTGATTTGAAAGTCTCAGGAACACGAAAACATTACAAATGTGTAGAAAACCGGTTTTAAATTTATCAATACTTTGTTGCGAATCCATTGGCATCAATAACCGCTTGGCATCTGCGAGGCATCGAGTCCAAGAGTGTGCGGATCACTGCATCGGAATGGCACTCCATGCGGCTTCGAGTTGAGCGAACTTCTCGTCGGCGATTGATGCTCGGAGCCCTCTAACCATGCGTACTAGTTCTTCCCAGAGATGTTCGATCGAATTATGGTCAGAAATCTGTGATGGCCACGCAAGAACATTAACTCGGCGACGTTGGAACCAATTCTTTACATGTCCAGACATGCGCTCAGGGTCGTTGTCTTGCTGGAAAACGAATGCACGTCCGACGTTTGCTAATGCCCAAGGTCTCATTGTGGTTTCCAGGATATCCTTGTACTGGTACCGATCCATGATTCCATTTACACGTCGGAGCGGTCCCATGGCGGTGTCGGAGAAGCAGCTCCAGACCCTGCAAGATGCTTCACCGTTCGGAGGTGGTACTTTGGCATGAATCTGGCTCCGATAGGTCGTCGAATCCACTTGATTTCATCACTTTCGAACAAGTCGAACCTCGATTCATCGCTATGAATGTGTTTGACCCATTCACATCGTCCCCAGTTCAGATGATCCTTGCACCATGCCACTCTCGTCTTTTGGTTCTTCTCACTGATCAATGGTTTCTTCACCGGGAGTCTTCCATGAAATCCATTCTCCAACAAACGACGTTTAATTGTTTTTCTGGATGGAATGGAAGAATTCGGCGTTGCCACAAGCATCTGGATATCTGCTGAAGTCCGTCTAGGATCTTCTCTTGAAGCACGACAGATGTTCCGATCTTGGAGCCTAGTTGTTTTGCAAGGTCTACCATGTGATTTCTTAACAAAAATGCAGCCCAATAGATTAGAAATAGTCCAGAATGATTAAAAAATCGTACATTTTGTCTTAATCGTTGCAAAACTTTTTGGATTCCTCTTCGGGAGCACAGGAACTGCTGAGCCAGAAGGCTTCTGGACGACCCAGTCTTATGACCATTAACGATGGCTTTTTGAACGTCCGCCGTGAAATTTTTCTTTCCGGAAGGTTGAAAAATTACTAAAAACATGTTTCAGGTCCAAATTTCAAATAAATAAAATTTATGGACAAAGTTTGAAAAAATGAAAAATTGGTAAAATCGAAAAAAACAAAAAAAATTTAAAAAAAATTAATTTTTCAACATGAGGCAGTTTTAATGTTTCCAAGGTTGCGCAACTGTGTTTAGCGTTTACAGTAAAAATTTCAGCCAAATCGGCTGCGTTTGAGCCAAGTTATGCTCAAAAAACACTAGGCGAACATCATTATGGCCAGTACTGTATAATATGTATCATCGAAAAATAGGCTTGTTTTGAATCCTTCGTAATTTGTTTCTAAAAATGTATATTCATACTATGTATTATAATATATAAATATTTAAGAGACCATCATGACTACATGCATTATTCCGGAGATGCGGTCTATTGGATTCATATTCATATTGAACTTGAATTGTAAATCAACGAAGTCTCAAATCGATTCCAGAGCAATACATTCAGCTCAGTCGCTAGAACAACGAAAACCAATTAGCCACCATCACTTTTTCGATGGAAAAGTGGGTGACGCGACGTTTTCAAAGAAGCGCATCGTTTCAGCATTTTTCTTCGTCATAAATCTTCACTCTATCATAAATTTTCTCAGTTTTTCTCGTCAAAAAAAATTGGAGACGCAGAACGTTTTCTTCAAAAGATAATGGCTTATTTTTGCTTATAGCCTCAAAACAGATGCATTTAAGTAATTCCGGCTTTTTGAAGTTAACCCTGCTGTTCTTGAAGGAAACCAATCACGAAGCCTCAGATATTCAAGCGTGGCAGTCAGACATGAAGTCGCTCATTCTTCTTATCCTCCTTACACTCTGGGTAAACCTTTGATGCAATCAATTCAACAATTCCGTGGTTTACAGGTTTACTACTCTCTTGCTCACAACCTGACGTTGAATAAAAACGGGGAAGGTAATTACACCCAAGAACATCATTCTTGAGTTTATTATTTCAGTAATGTGCCCAGAAAACGAGGTTTACGCGTGTTCGGAGGCATGTCATACTACTTGCAAAAATCCGATCAATTATTGCCGGTAATAAAATTGAAATGTTTCATTATTTTTTTATAAATACAGTTATCAATGTGCGAAGAAGAGATGCGTTTGCAAGATGGGATACGCTCGAAAAGGCAACCAGTGCAAGTACGATAAGAAATGTAGTTACTATCTTCGCGTTTGCCAAAATGATAGACACTGCAAGCCGGGCTACTTTTGCAGTTTCATCCGACTATGTCAACCAGATATCTACGAAAGAGGAAATAGTAAGTTATGAGATCAGTGTGATAATTGACATACAATATAATCAAACTTTTCAGTCCTCCAGCCCGCGTATACCCTCTTTAATTTTTGAATCGCATAAAGTTGCCAATAATTTTGTATTGTAAATTGTTTGTTAAGAAAATATTGTAGCGTTATAAATATTCTACAGTGTTATGCAGACTTCGGTGAAATATTTGAAAAACTAGTTAAAACTAGTTTTTTTGTGTCATCAGAATAGTGTCTTTGAAAAAGAACTTTCGATGGCTTTTTTTTTACTGATTTTTGAATTTATATTTTTGCAAAATCTGCATTTCAGCATTAAGAAATTTGATTAGGAAATTTGTGTGTTTAACTGAGTTCGAAATTGTGTAGAACCTTCTGTAATCTATCATATTTTTAATAAATGGTTGAAAAATGACGAATTACCGAAAAAGTAATATAAACAAAAATTGATGAAAGTATTGTTTGTCTATGCAAATATTATAAATATATTTGTTAATTCTCAATGAATTTTTTGAATACCTTTATAGGCTATAAATTTCAATTTTTTTAACAATCATATGAAAAAGAAATATTTTTGCTCGAATGCTAAAACCATTTAAGGGATGCTATAATATTGTTGAAAATTTTGAATTTATTTTATTAATCCCAATGTTCATGTTTGGAAGCATCCCGTGAACTCAAAAAGTTACAGTTGATTGAATTAAATCAGCGATAATTTGAAATGTAAATAATTGAAGAATACACGAAATATGAACATGTCATTATTGTACTACATATTAATACTAATAATGGTTCCAGTTAAAATTATGCTTGTACTTTGTGAAGTAAAAAGAAACAAATCAAATAAAGAAATTTCAAGAAAATACCCGTGCACAATAAAATTAATAAGTAGTGTAAAGAAAATTTTACACAATTCCACATCAATTAAATTTTAAATTATTGCTCCTCGACGATGATTTCATTGTTGTTGGATAAGAGATTCAATCGGGTTGTTCCAAATTCATTATTATTTTCGTGGGCCGATTCTGATGATTTTGTGCATGAGCGTTTGCGCTCAATTTCCGGCGCAGCGTATCGAGAAGATCTTAAATGAATCGGAATATGGAAAGAATGAAGATATTATGAAATACATGGATTTGTTAAGATCCGGTTCTTGCCAACAACATCCGAAAATGTTAACTATGATTTTCTTAAAGGCACGCCGAAAGTCACGATTGAAAATACTGTAGATTAGTGGATTGGCCGATGAGTTAGCATATCCAAGCCAAGTGACGGCCTTAATTTAAACGGTTAACTTCAATTAATAAAATTATTTAATTACCAAAATTGACGTAGTATTGAAAATGTGTGGAGCCCAAGACCGCATGATATTAACGATAAAAAATGGAAGCCAGCAAACAAGGAATGTACCCATAATAACGCCCAATGTAAGTCTACAACATTCAAAAATATTTATGAAATTTTGTGACTTCTCAACCTCGCTTTCTGATCGCTGATATTATTCCTGTTGTGGGCCGCTGGCGTTTGCGGATTTGCGTCACTCCCACTGTTCTTAAACCGCGATGGACAGAAAAAGCTCAATTTAGAAAAAATTGTGGTTCTCATCTGAAAAACAATACACTTCGAATCTGAATCAAAAATGAAGCTGTTATGCAAAGCAAAATGTGCATTATAATCATCGAAATTTTATAAAATTTCGTGTACGCTCTTTGATCTTAATGCACATTTAAAACAATAAAGCTGAAGCAACCCGAAGCGAAGAAAATTGAAAACCGTTAGTAAAAGCGGCGAGCAAAACAAAATGATTCTTGCTTTTCTGATATTTTACAGTTTTTTTTGCGCGTTTTCGTTTGAATGTGAACCATATACATATAAATTTACAGACATATATGGGTAAAATACATACATTGATATTGTGTGGGGGTAAAGTTCATTGTCAAAAACACATATTTTGTGTCAAAAATCTCTTTAGTTTGTTTCGAATAGTGTTTTGAACAAAAATTCACCGCACTTCAAACGCATTCAAATATGTTTCTGTTCGCAGTTTAATTATCAATTGGATATAGAAGTCGCATATATACATCTCACGGAGTTGATTTTGTTCGAGCTACTCGTCATCAAAAGGCGTTGCTCGCGCTGCGGTGTCCTCGAAATTGTCGATCGCCTGGTTATCACAGAGCGTTCGGTGGTTGCTGGCGAGTCCGGAGGAAGTAGAGCTTCACCCTTCAGAGTTGCGGCGGTTACCTAATAAGCACGATAGTAGAGCCATGCGAATCAACATGCAGGTTCGTACCAATTCAAATTTATATTGTATATAAAACGAACGATATTTAGAAATATATTTTATACTATCGGTTTGGGAGATGCGGACAACCACTCCGAACACACAGAGATTTCGAAAAGGTTTGGGAGAGTTTTAATAAGACAATAATAACAATATGTAAAGTAAAACTCATTCCAAGCCTTCTCGGCAAAGCACTGCTCTTAATGGAAAAGTGTTAGACAAGCGAAACAAAAGTGAAATCCCCAATTCAGCCCATTAGTAATAGGTGAGTTCAAAAACCCCAAAAAACAAACAAATTGAAAAAATAACACCAAAAGGCAATTTTCTTCAAAAAATCAAATAAAAACCTCTCTCTAATAATCTTAAGACTAGAGCGAGAAAGCGATGAAGCACGTACCTCGCGAATCTTTTCAGAAGCCAATTGCATAATAAGGAATGATGTAGCCTGTTGCAACTGTGTTTTTATGCTCCTCACATGTTTGCGCGCATATAAATATAATTTAGTGTAAAGAATGACCATTACGGCTGCCGGGAGAAAGAAGGAGAGCATCGAGCTTGAAATTGCGTACACCAATGGAAGACGCATTTCGCAAACCGGTAAGCCCGTCGAACTGAAAACAAAAAAGTGGTCGCCAATTTCATAAGCAAAGACTTACTTGTTTATAGTGACTTTCGATCCAAACCCAAATCCAAGTGGGGCTGCACCAATGGCAGCAGACAAAAGCCAAACAACAATTATAACATAATTGATTCTCCGCCGGTTACAATATCTAAAATTTGCAGACTCATATTTCCTCCTCGATTGGAAATAATCACCTTATGTAAACCATCGGTCGACTGATATGCCAGTATCGGTCTAATGATATTGCGCACAAATTGAGTATACTCGCAGTACAGCAAGTAATATCAAAACTTATCCAGAATTGACAATAAATTTGTCCAAATGGCCAGTATCCGAGAATATCATTGGCTGCAGCAAATACCATGACCTGAAATTTCAGACGTTTTCCAGAATAATTTCAATTTTTTTTACTTTTCTGATTTGGATGAAAAATAAATGCCTCTCTAGTTTGAATCATTTTTCAACCACATTCATTTCATGTGTTCTTTTTCCCAGAAAACGTATAATTTTATATCTACATGCTTCTATGTATACATGATGATGAAAATCGTCTTTTTTTTTCAATGCTAAAAAAATGAACAAATTGGAATAGAATATTCATCGATGCAATTTGGTTAATTAACATTTGGAATTCTTGATCTAGACATACTACGAATATATTAGGATTAGACGTTTGCTGAATAAATTACGGAAAGAAATTACGATTAATATAGCTAGCTATATTAATATGACACTTAGTATTGCGTTGTCGCTATCAAATTACATACAATGATTAAATAAACAAATTCTTATGACAATTAAATACCTATGAATGTTTTAGGCTGCTTCTATATTCGACTTCTTTGTGAAAAAAACAATTTCAATTATTCCAACAAAAACTTAGAGAATCAGTGTCAATGTATACTTTGAAAACTTCGTTCTTACAATTTTTTTCTTCGAATTTCCATCAAATCTTTTTTCCATTCTTCACACAACCCGATTTTCTTCAAAAAAAAAGTGTCGAAACATTCAAGAGATATTTATTCGGAGCCCTCCATACGTGACAGACACAAGCGTTTTCACTCAAAAAAGGATGACAACAATAAGACAAATTAGATTTGCGACATCTTCGTGACTATTTTATTGCCGACATTCATTTTCAAGCTGGTATCAATTTTTTATACGTTCTTGTCGGAATATAAATGAAATGAGAACAAATGCTTTGCGAATTTATTTTTTGAATATATTGGATTCAAGATTTTCAAAAGTGGTCGTTTTATTCCCGATTAAGCTGTGGAACAAGACACTTAAGTGCTCGCCGCTTTATGTAGTTATCGCAAACTTCGAATATGTGTGAACTCACTATTTAGCGTTCCTAATTCAAAATATAAAAGCTAATAAAAATTAAGAAAAATGTTATCTTTCTTTGGAGCTACCTTGAAAATTTACTAAAATTATGCCACACATATTTTAAATTGACTACTGCAAAAATACGAAAAAGCAATTACCTTGCCTTTTCTTTTCTATTATATTAGTGTATTTTGCTTCAAACAACTCAGGGATTTCCTTCATTGAAATTTGAGTCATTTTGTTTTAGAGAAACGCTAATTGGATACATTTTTGGAGTCGCTAGGACTTAGGTGAAGCGTGTTAGCCAAAAAAATGGAAAGACAACTCACGAGTACAGAGACCAGCAGGTCCGAAACAGCCAGTGACACTAAAAAGAGATTTTCGGGTTGTTTTCTTAGCGATCGATCCCAAAGGATGGCCGCGCAGACCAGCAAGTTGCCAAACAAGGCAAGCAGGATTAGAATGAAGAATAATACCAGTAGCGGCCATTGTACCTCGTCCATCTGAATCCTGAAATAATATGTGCTTGTGAAAATCATACGAACATGGGAAAACAAAAGCACGGAACAAAAAAAAAATTCCTATACTCTGCTCATGATTGAATATTTTCCGCGAACTTTTCAATCAAATTATTCACATCAATACGCATATCAGTTTGAATTTTACTTAAAATTCGAAAGCTTCAATGATACAATAAAAAAATCGAGATCGTACTTTAAACAGTTCCTAATGAATTTCCAATGATTACTGACAATGTGTGCACCTTGGCGTTGAATAATTCTAAAAAGTGGTTTGGAGACAAATCTCGCTTATTAAAAATTCGAAACCGTCAATCTTAAGAAAACTTGAAAATAAAAAATGAGATACTTAAATTTTAGAATTTTTCTGAGGTAACTAGGAAGTAGTAAATGTTGAAAAATTGGAATTTTAAAATCCATTCAAATGAAAAACAACCACACAAAGGAATTCGGTTGCTTAGAAAACTTGACGAGAACGTTATTTTTAATCTGAACGCTTTTTTTCAAACAATATTTTCATGGTAATAGAATTTCGGGAACCTTGTTTGTTGGTTCTTGTTCGAGTCGAACCAGCTTCGACAAATCCAAATAAAACACTGAGTGCAACAACTCGACTAAACGATGAATTGGAGGCGTGCCGGAGTGGCGCAAGCTACTTCGCTTCGGACAGATGAGAAACTGAATGAAGGAAACAAGAACAGGAGAGAAAAAAACGCGTAGGCGATAACTAGGAGTTAGAGGATATGAAGGAAAATTGGGTTGTCTTGTATCAATTCTGCAATATTTCAATATTTTTCGAACAGTTCTAATTATCGTTAATTAGTTAATACCTGCTGAAATTAGAGGCGTAACTAGATAGACGAGCTAGTTAGCTCATACCGGTCGTTCGCACTAGTTGAAAAACAAGGACCCCAAATTTAAGTACAGAAGAATACGAGATGAGTAATCAAAAACGTCCCGGTAGTTCTAAAGTTAGAGCATATCCTCAAAAAATGCACCAAAATTGGAATACTCGTCATATAATGTTTTACTTTATTGATGAATTATTCACAGTTACACATTTTTAAATACTTGCGTTCATAAAACTTTTTTACCAGAAGCTTTCTATATAAAATCGGTTACTCTTAGAATGGAGTGAATTGTGTATTGCCTGAAACAATTATTGCGAATTATGTTTTTTTTTTAGGCAAATGATTTTTTAAAAAAACATTTCATAAACACAATAAAAAATTGGAAGAAAAACGGATGAATGGATGGGATATTAGTGCTGAATTAGATTATCAACACACTATGTTCGCTAATTACTCAAAATGTCATGATACATTTGCGTGAATCTGCTTTAATTATTTCAAAAAAAAACCTGCGAACATGTAAACAATTAATTTTATCTGTGTGTATCATGAACTCATTACGAGTGTTCATGGATTCTATTTTCTGTTTAAGCTGAATGAAGCTGACATATATTTAATGATAAATAATAATAATAACATAAAGAAGCATTTTGAAAACGGTTTCAGCGAAATGGGAATGCGAATTTCGTTGTTAACTTTTTGGATTACATTCTTTCAAAAATATGATAAATATCAAATTTTATTCTAGAAAGATGTGACTTTAATGGTTCAATGATTGCAAGGAAACGGAAACATACAGAAATGTGGTAAAGAATGTGAGAAGTTGAGTGAAACTTGATCTGAATAGCATAAGGCACAGGGAACACTTCGCTATCATGCGATTCTTGCACACACACAGGGCCGCATCATTCAAACACAAAGCAAAACCGCAATAGAAAATTGAGTTGCGCATGTAGATTCTACATTGTAGAACTTCTTAATTGAATGGCGGCTCAACTTAGCAGAATGTTCGCGTGTATACTCGAAGACTATTAACCTTGATGGGAGTAGGCACACGAATTTTAGCTTCTCGTTTTTTGACATTACCAACTCAACTTGATGTGTTTTCGATCTAGACATAAGTTAATTTCGGTGCGTTAGTATAACACAACAAGCCGAACTTCAATTAAATTTCTTCCGAATTCTATTTTTGGTTAAAAAATTTCTAACAAAAAAACAAACTTGATCATTTTTCCTCAGACAGATAAACAATTTAAATTTAGCGTTGGGAAGTTCCTAAAGGGAAAGGAAACGTGAAAGTTGGATTGCTAAAAGTGAAGAAGGAATCGAATTACACGCATACTTCTGAAGATCAAAATGACAAAATGTACATGAAAAATTCTCATATTCCACAATGAAGAAAATTAAGCAGATAAATCAAACCTTTGGGTTTCAAAAAAAAACCCACAATTAAAACCTAGCATTCGACACTTTAAAAATATAAACCTTATATCAGGAGAAGGCTATTCCATATTTTAATTTTTTCTGATCGATATCTGAAAAATTGGCAGATGATAGCGGCACGACTGAAAATTTATCTTTCCAAGGTTTCTCATATATAAGGTCATCACGAGCTGTTAGATATTGCCTGAGAATCGAAACAAAATGAGTCATGCCTTTTTACAAAACTTCAATTTTCGGTGTTTTTAGAAACTCATCGCTAATCACAAAGTGCTCATTTTTGGCGTGTATAATATGCAATGTATGCATATAAACACAAGATGAGATTAAACGAAGAAAAAGTATGTTTTTAGAATGTACTTTACGCATTGCTTATACTAACAATAGAAAAGTATTTCAGAGAATGTTGAAATCGAATTTTAATCCTCAAAAAATGTTTCCAGAATCTTTATTTGGAAAATACTTTTCAGAGATATCGAAACGCCACAAACTAAGGAAACTTTAATATTTATTTCGGGACACGAAAAATTCCAATAAAAACAAGTTTTGTCATGTAATTTTGTGATGAGCCGATTCAAAAACAAATTTCCTTTCCATAAAATAATAGTTTTCGAAGATTTTCGTAAAACATTTGGGAGCAATAATTAATAATAAAGCGAAAGGTCAAATGAATTTTTCAATGATCTTTGTGTAATTTCTAATTTTTACTTGATTAATGTATATGTGAAATATTTTAATTAAATCTAAACCTTAAAAACTAGTATTTTCTGGGGGCAAACTCTAAATACAAAAAAAACATTGATGCCTTAATGGAAGGGCCAACGTGAATATGTTAAAATTACACTTCCGGTAAGTTTTTCCAAGAGCGAATTCAAAATGAACCGAGATAGAAAATAAAAAAAAATTTTCATAATCCCATCACGGTAAATAGAAATTCAGAGTACATTATCGTGTTTCGACAGAAATGTACGAATGTCCACGGAAATGTGCCTTCTTGGGGAAAACTTCTCGATTTTCGATCAAATGTCTTTCTTGTGATCAAATAATTGTCTTACTTGAGTTGCGTGGTTGACATATATCAACATGGACAAATTCATTTCCTTCTCTGGCTTTATTTTTCTCACAAAAAAAAACAAGAAGAATAATGTTAATGCATACCAAATGCCCGAATGAGTTTATTTTTATATTCATTGTGAAAGCAAATTGTTTTCTACGCGCAATTTATATGAAATTTTTAGGTCATAGAAACGACTTCTTCTGTATTGGGCCTCTTCGTAACAAAGAAGAATTCAAAAATTTTGCGTCAATTCTTTTTTAAAACGAACGTGTTACACATGAAATGACAACAATGCCCAACTTATTATAGCAATTTGTGTCAGAAATTCACTTGGCGCCACTCCACTTACATTAATTTCTTTCAACTGGACACTATATAAAAGGACAATAAAATTGAAGTATTGCGACATTTGGTTATTTACGAAAAGGCACATTTATGGTTATAACAACACCAACGAATGTATAGCGTTCATATTAATGTTTTACCTCGAATGAAGTGAAGCTTGAATGAAGTCAGCGAAATTTCAATTCAGTATTGTTTCGGAATCTGAAAAAAACGAACAAAGTGAAAATTTCGGATAATGAGAGACGTTCAAACATTTATAAGTCGTTATTAATGGCATGGTAATGCAAATCGTAAATAAATTAATCATTGGGCAGGAAATAGTTCGTAACAATTTGGAAATGGCCAATTCCGAATAAAAAATTGGCATCGATGTCTGGAAAACACGAAAACGTCGTTAACTCGCTCGAAAATACAACGATTGGATAAATAGAGAATTGAAACAAAAATGGTTGTTGGGTATGTTCCCAAAATGGCAACTGCTCCCAATGGGTCCCTCGAGGAAAGTCGGCAACGCAGACAAAAATTGAAACAACACTCACATGCATAACAAAATAAGAGTTTTAACAGTAGAACAAATGATCTTGTTTTTCTGAAATTATATCTCAACAATCAATCCGGAACCACCGTTGAATAAAGGCTTCTTCAGACAATTCGCAATGTGTTGTTGCTTGAATTTGGAGGAAATGACGAACAAGTCAGCATAGTTGTGCTTCCGTCTTCTTCGTCCTTCTTGTCAAAATTTCTTCGGCATAACGGAATTTGCATGAAAACAACACGAACATGCACAAAAAAAAATATCAAATTTGATGCATATCTGCAGAAATGAAAACGCTAACAAAAAATTGTGCCAAAACTGTCAATCTCATAGAAATTCTTTAGAGACATTTATTTTTTGTTTTGAACTCTTGGAGTTAGCCTTGGTTGAGTGGCTGTCTTATTTTCATTGAGAGTGACAAGTCGAACATCCCAATTGGATTCTTGCCACTTCCGAGGCGAAATAATGCATGCACACAATTTTTCACGAAATATGAGTTCTGACTTAACTGATTTTGCCAAAATCGACTTTGACAAATTAATCGATGTCGGAGGTAAATAATGAAAACAAATAAATTAATAAGACTGCAAAAACTGATATTCTTAAATAAAAAATTTAAAGGGTTATGTGTATATTTGAAGATTAGTGTTATAATTTACGGCTTCCTTGTTAAAAGTAAATATTAAATTATAGCTTCTATTTCCGGAAAATCTGAATCTCATAAGGAGTGCTAAATTTCAAAAATCCAAAAGCTTCT